GGGGGCCTGGATATATGAGGGGACTCTAATGGGGGCCTGGATATATGAGGGGACTCTAGTTGAATCTGATGTATGAGGGATTTTGATAATGGGAGACTCTGATATATAGAGGACCCTGATGTAAGAGGGGACTCTGATTGGGTCGTTGATGCATTAGGGGGGACTATAATATAAGGAGAGACTCTCATGGTGACCCAGATTTTTCATCCTGAGGATATTAGTGAAATATACAATGTGGCCTCTCGTAGTGAAAGTGTACATACAGTGGGGCAAAAACGTACTTAGTCACCACCAATGGTGCAAGTTCTCCCACTTACAGAGATGAGAGAGGCCTGTAATTGGCATCATAGGGAGACCTCAACTATGAGAGACAAAATGAGAAAACAAATCCAGACAATCTCATTGGCTGATCTGGAAAGAATTGATTTGCAAATTATGGTGGAAAATAAGTATTTGGTGACCTACAAACAAGCAAGATTTCTGGCTCTCACACAGACCTGGACCTTCTTCTTTAAGAGGCTCCTCTGTCCTGCACTCATTACCTGTATCAATGGCACCTGTTTGAACTTGTTATCAGTATAAAAGACACCTGTCCACAACCTCAAACAGTCACACTCCAAACTCCACTATGGTGAAGACCAAAGAGCTGTCGAAGGACACCAGAAACAAAATTGTAGACCTGCACCAGGCTGGGAAGACTGAATCTGCAATAGGCAAGCAGCTTGGTGTGAACAAATCAACTGTGGGAGCAATAATTAGAAAATGGACGACATACAAGACCACTGATAATCTCCCTCCATCTGGGGCTCCACGCAAGATCTCACCCCGTGGGGTCAAAATGATCACAAGAACGGTGAGCAAAAATCCCAGGACCACACGGGGGGACCTAGTGAATGACCTGCAGAGAGCTGGGACCAACGTAACAAAGGCTACCCTACCATCAGTAACACACTACGCCGCCAGGGACTCAGATCCTGCAGTGCCAGACGTGTCCCCCTGCTTAAGCCAGTACATGTCCGGGCCCGTCTGAAGTTTGCTAGAGAGCATTTGGATGATCCAGAAGAGGATTGGGAGAATGTCATATGGTCAGATGAAACCAAAATAGAACTGTTTGGTAGAAACACAACTCGTCGTGTTTGGAGGAGAGAGAATGCTGAGTTGCATCCAAAGAACACCATACCTACTGTGAAGCATGGGGGGTGGCAACATCATGCTTTGGGGCTGTTTCTCCACAAAGGGACCAGGACGACTGATCCATGTACAGGACAGAATGAATGAGGCCATGTATTGTGAGATTTTGAGTGCAAACCTCCTTCCATCAGCAAGGGCATTGAAGATGAAACGTGGCTGCGTCTTCCAACATGACAATGATCCCAAACGTACCGCCCGGGCAACGAAGGAGTGGCTTCGTAAGAAGCATTTCAAGGTCCTGGAGTGGCCTAGCCAGTCTCCAGATCTCAACCCCATAGAAAACCTTTGGAGGGAGTTGAAAGTCCGTGTTGCCCAGCGACAGCCCCAAAACATCACTTCTCTAGAGGAGACCTGCATGAAGGAGGAGATCTGCATGGAGGATGGGCCAACATACCAGCAACAGTGTGTGCCAACCTTGTGAAGACTTCCAGGAAACGTCTGACCTCTGTCATTGCCAACAAAGGATATATAACAAAGTATTGACATGAACTTTTCATATTCACCAAATACTTATTTTCCACCATAATTTGCAAATAAATTCTTTCCAGATCAGCCAATGTGATTGTCTGGATTTGTTTTCTCATTTTGTCTCTCATAGTTGAGGTCTCCCTATGATGCCAATTACAGGCCTCTCTCATCTTTGTAAGTGGGAGAACTTGTACAATTGGTGGCGGACTAATACTTTTTTGCCCCACTGTATATGTATGTGTGTGGGGGGGGGGGTGTAGGTGTGTACAGGTACATTGCAAACAATGGTCTTCATTTTACCTCTGTATAATACCCGCTGTACTGAGCGTCTTCAGGCTGCAGTGTGTAAGAGGACTTAGACATTTTTATTGCTTCACTTCAGGCAAAATCGCTGCTCCTTCCTTGAATTTTCTGGGGGGGGGGGTTGTCTTTCTTGCATAGTACATGTTCCCCAAGGCAGTACCCGGCCCTCCTTGACACGCCCGCGCCTATTCGCCTAGAAATGGGCATTTTTCAGTTTGACAGATTTGACTCTCATTGATTGCAGTAGAGTTCGGGTTCTGCATCCTTTTGAAGTTTGCCAAGTTGTGCTTGAATCAAACCCAGGGCTCCTCACTACTGACTCGTCTCTACACAGTGGGCAAAGAGGGAGGAGGAATATATAAAGCAGTGAAAGGGTGGTGGCAGGGGCGGACTGACAACTCATGGGGCCCCCAGGCAATAGGAGATCATGGGGCCCTTGTGTCCTTGCCCAAACTCAAAAAAAGCCTATGAAAAAGGTACCAGGGGCATCTCATGGGGCCCCCCTACTGACCCCGGGCACTCGGGCAGTGCCTGAGTTTCCAAATGGTCAGTCCTCCCCTGGATGGGGGATCAAAGGAAGAACAAACAGATGGGGTTGACAGGAGGGACAGAGGAATGGAATTCTAAAGAAGCAAAATATGGATGGGAGTCTACAGGAAAGACAGAGGGATGGGGTCCAAAGGAAGGTAGATGAGTATACATACGGGGCAGAGAGATTTGGGGGGGGGGAGGGTGTCAGATGATGTGTAATTATGTAATGAGGGAGGGTGTGGCCTAAGAAGATCAACACCCTATATCAAGGTGTGCATTTTTTATTTATTTTTTTTTAGGCAGCTTCTTTTTTTTTAGGCAAATGGGCCAAAAAAGAGGTTTAACTGACTCTGAAAGTCAAAAATTGTAAGTCTTTCAGAGGAATGCAGCACTCTTGAAATTGCTAAGATATTGGGACGTGGTCACAGAACCAACAAACATTTTGTTGCAAATAGTCAACAGGGTCGCAAGAAATGCATTGAGAAAAAAAAAAGATGAAAATTAACTGCCAAAGATTTGAGAAGAATTAAACGTGAAGCTCCCAGGGAGCCATTATCCTCCCAGCTGTCATATTCCAGAACTTCAACCTACCTGGAGTGGCCAGAAGTACGAGGTGTTCAGAGCTCAGAAACACGGCCAAGGTGAGGAAGGCTGAACCCCGACCACCACTGAACAAGACACAAAAGTTGAAATGCCGAGACTGGGCCAAGAAATATCTGAAGACAGGTTTTATGGACTGATGAAATGAGAGAGAATCTTGATGGACCAGATAGATGGGCCCGCGGCTGGATCAGTAACGAGCACAGAGCTCCACTTCGACTCCGACACCAGCAAGGTGGAGGTGGGGTTCTGGTATGGGCTGCTATTATTAAAGATGAGATAGCTGGACCTTTTTGGGTTGAAGATGGACTCAAAGTCCACTCCCAAACCTACCACCAGTTTTAAGAAGACACTTTCTTCAAGCAGTGGTACAGGGAAGTCTGCATCTTTCAAGAAGACCATGATATATATGCAGGACAATGCTCCATCGCATGCATCGAAGTACTCCACTGGGCGGCTAGCCAGTAAAGGCCTCAAAGATGAAAGAATAATGACTTGGCCCCCTTCCTCACCTGAACTAAACCCTATTGAGAACTTGTGGGTCCTTCCTAAATGGGAGATTTACGGTACACTTCTCTGAACAATGTCTGGGAGGCTGTGGTTGCTGCTGCACAAAACGTTGATAGTCAACAAGAAACCGACTCCATGAATGGAAGGCTTATGACTGTTATTGAAAAGTATGCTGTTTAGATTGGTCACTGATATTTATTATTATATTTTTTTTTGTCAAATGTTTATTTGTAAATTTTGAGTTATTTTTCTCAGATGAAAATAAAGAAGTGAGATGGGAGCATTTTCATTTAGTTGCATATTAATTCTCCACACTAATAGTTGTCCAATCATTGTGCACACAGATATTCTCCTAAGAAAGCCAAAACCTTGTTGCTACTTTCTTAACCCCTCGCCTGCCCACCGGGCACTTTTACCCCCTTCCTGCCTACCTGGCACTTCTGCCCCCTTCCTGCCTACCGGGCACTTCTACCCCCTTCCTGCCTACCGGGCACTTCTACCCCCTTCCTGCCCACCTGGCACTTCTACCCCCTTCCTGCCTACCGGGCACTTCTACCCCCTTCCTGTCTACCGGGCACTTCTACCCCCTTCCTGTCTACCGGGCACTTTCTACCCCCTTCCTGCCCACCGGGCACTTCTACCCCCTTCCTGCCCACCGGGCACTTCTACCCCCTTCCTGCCTACCGGGCACTTCTACCCCCTTCCTGCCTACTGGGCACTTCTACCCCCTTCCTGCCCGCCGGGCACTTCTACCCCCTTCCTGCCCGCCGGGCACTTCTACCCCCTTCCTGCCCGCCGGGCACTTCTACCCCCTTCCTGCCCACCGGGCACTTCTACCCCCTTCCTGCCCGCCGGGCACTTCTACCCCCCTTCCTGCCCGCCGGGCACTTCTACCCCCTTCCTGCCTACCGGAGACTTCTACCCACTTCCTGCCTACAGGGCACTTCTACCCCCTTCCTGCCCACAGGGCGCTTCTACCCCCTTCCTGCCCACAGGGCGCTTCTACCCCCTTCCTGCCCACAGGGCGCTTCTACCCCCTTCCTGCCTACAGGGCGCTTCTACCCCCTTCCTGCCTACAGGACACTTCTACCCCCTTCCTGCCTACAGGACACTTCTACCCCCTTCCTGCCCCCCGGGCACTTCTACCCCCTTCCTGCCCCCCGGGCACTTCTACCCCCTTCCTGCCCAGGCCAATTTCCAGCTTTCAGCGCTGTCACACCTTGAGTGACAATTGCGCGGTCATGCAACACTATACCCATGTGAAATTTTTATCATTTTTTTGTGACAGATAGAGCTTTATTTTGGTGGTATTTAATCGCCTTGGGGTTTTTTATTTTTTCTTAAACTGAAAACCACTGAACATTTTGGAAAAAAAATGTTTTTTTCTTAGTTTTTTGTTATAAAATTTTGTAAATAAGTGATTTTTCTCCTTCACTGATGTGCGCTAATGAGGCTGCAGTGATGGGCACTGATAGGTGGCACTGATGAGGAGGCACTGGTAGGTGGCACTGATGGGCACTGAAAGGCAGCACTGATACATGACACTGATAGGCGGCACTGACTGGCACTGTTAGGTGGCACTGATGCGCACTGATAAGCGGCACTGACTTACACTGATAAGTGGCACTGATTGGCATTGATAGGTGGCACTGACGGGTGACACTGAAAGGCAGCTCAGATGGGCACTGATATGTGGCATTGATGTGCACTGGTAGGCACTGATATGTGGCACTGATGGGCACTGACAGGTGGCACTGCTGGAGCTACACTGGTCATCAGTGCCCTGATGATCAGTGTACATGTCCTCTCCGCTGAATGCCGATTACCGGCTCTCCTCTCCTCTGTCAGCGTGGCAGCTCGTGAGGAGAGAAATGCCATATGACGTCCTCCCAGAACGAGAGAACCACCTTGCACCCCTCATATTACTGTATGGCGGGCGGGAGGTGGTTAAATATTCAGGTTTTGAGGTTTATTAACATTTTGGATTGGCTGAGAGCGCTGGAGTTGTTCAATAATGAGATGGATCCTCAGAAATACAACTTTCCTAATAATTGTGCACACAGTGTAGCAAGGAGGTGGGTTTCATGGGGGGGGGGGGGAGGACAAGAGAGGAACATATGAAGGATGGGGATCCAAAGGAATAAAATAACAGAGACCTGCTGGGTCCACTGGAATGACAGAGGGAAGGGGGTTGAATGACATGGGACAGATACGGGGGTTCAAGGGAGAAGACAGAGGAATGGGGGTTTGCCGGAGGTACAATAGGATGGAGGACCATAGGAGGGACATAGAAAATAGGGGTCTACAGGAGTGACATGAGAGGTTTGGAGTTCAAAAAAAGGGACTGAGGGATAGAGGTCTATACGTAGTAAGGACAGGAGGCTGGGAACCATATGAGGGACAGGAGGGATGGCGGTCTATGGGCAGGCAGGAGGATGGGGGTCAGAGGAGGGATGGAAGTCTATGGGACAGGAGGATGGGGGTCCAAGGAGGGATGGAGTTCTATGGGACAGGAGGATGGGGGTCCAAAACAGGGATGGAGTTCTATGGGACAGAGAGGATGGGGGGTCCAAGGAGGGATGGAGTTCTATGGGACAGGAGGATGGGGGTCCAAGGAGGGTTGGAGTTCTATGGGACAGGAGGATGATGGGTGGTCCAAGGAGGGATGGAGTTCTATGGGACAGGAGGATGGGGGTCCAAGCAGGGATGGAGTTCTATGGGACAGGAGGATGGGGGTTCCAAGGAGGGATGGAGTTCTATGGGACCGGAGGCATAGAGGTTTTTGGGGGTCCAAAGAGGAATGGAGCTCTATGGGACCGGAGGATGGGGGTCCAAAAAAGGGATGGAGGTCTAGGGGACAGGAGGATGGGGGTCCAAGGAGGGATGGAGGTCTATGGGACAGGAGGATGGGTCCAATTAAGGATGGAGGTCTATGGGACAGGAGGATGGGGGGTCCGAGCGAAGGTGTGATGGAGGTCTATGGGACAGGAGGATGAGGGTCCGAGGAGGGATGGAGGTCTATGGGACAGGAGGATGGGGGTCCGAGGAGGGATGGAGGTCTATGGGACAGGAGGATGGGGGTCCCGAGGAAGAATGGAGTTGTGTGGAATAGGAGGATGGGGGACAGAGGAGGAATTAGAGTTGTATGGGACAGGAGGATAGGGGTCAGAGAAGGGATGGAGGTCTATTGGGACAGGAGGATGGGGGTCCAAGGAGGGATGGAATTCTGTGGGACAGGAGGATGGTATATCGGGTCATGAGGAATGGAGGAGTCTATGGGACAGGAGGATGGGGGTCCAAGGTGGGATTGGAGGTCTATGGGACAGGAGGATGGGGGTCCAAAGGTGGGATGGAGGCCTAGTGCCTGGGACTAGGAGGATGGGGGTCCAAGGAGGGATGGAGGTCTGTGGGACAGGAGGAATGGGGGTCCAAGGTGGGATGGAGGTCTGTGGGACAGGGAGGATGGCAGGGTTCCAAGGCAGGGGATGGAGGTCTATGGTGCACACCAGGAGGATGGGGGTCCCCAAGGAGGGTTGGAGGTCTATGGGACAGGAGGATGGGGGTCCACGGTTGAAGGAAGGGCAGAGGGATAGAAGAGGTCTATGGGGCAGAATGATAGGTGTCCTAAGGAGGGGCGAGGGATTGGGGTCCTCAGAAAGCAATGGAGCAGTATAGTAGAGAAGAGGTCCATGGCATGAACGAGTAGAGAGGTGTGTGTGTACACTGAGAGAAGGGAGGACACCATGACGGGGCGAGATGTGAGCACAGACAGGTTCTCTTTCTAGATTGCGCACCATTGCACAGTAAGGCCTTGTAAGAGAATGAGGGATTCCTGCGTCTCCTTCCTACAGATCCGTAGAGTCCGCTACGAGAGAGCGTGCGTATAGACCGCTGAGCGACAAGCCGCGTCCACAGGGAGACCAAACGCTAGAGGAGAGAGCACAGACTCTGCTTGGACCTTTTTACCTTGAGAGAGTGTCACCTGAGACTTTTGCGGTGCTGTCTAGAGAGAGGTGCAGAGAATGGAGACCTGTGTTCTCCGCACATCGCACACCATGGACCGAGCGCAGAGACTATATATAGATGAAAGAGAGGAGAGAGACAGAGAGAAAAAGAGAGAGAGACACAGGGAGACCGCAGAGAAGAGAGAGAGGGAGAGATACACAGGAGAGAGAGGGGACAGAGACAGAGAGAGAGAGACACAGGAGAGAGAGAGAGAGCGCAGAGACTATATATAGATGAGAAGGAGGCAGGAACAGGAGAAAGAGGGAGACCGCAGAGAGACAGGAGAGAGAGAGAGACGCAGAGAGAGACAGGAGACAGAGGAGACCGCAGAGAGAGAGGAGGGAGACCGCAGAGAGACAGGAGAGAGAGAGACCACAGAGAGAGAGAGAGAAAGGAGACAGAGGGAGACCGCAGAGAGAGGAGGGAGACACAGGAGAGAGAGACAGGAGACAGAGGGAGACCGCAGAGAGACAGGAGAGAGACCGCAGAGAGAGAGAGGGGGGAGAGAGAGACAGGGAGAGACAGCAGAGAGACAGGAGAGAGAGGAGGGAGACCGCAGAGAGAGAGAGAGAGACAGGAGAGAAAAACAGGAGGGAGAGACAGACAGGAGAGAGAGACAGGGAGAGCGCAGAGACTATATATAGATGAAAGAGGAGAGAGACAGACAGGAGAAAGAGGGAGACCGCAGAGCGAGACACAGGAGAGAGAGAGACAGGGAGGGAGACCGCAGAGAGAAAAACAGTAGAGAGAGGGGGGAAACAGCAGAGAGAGAGGGGGGAGAGAGAGAAGCAGATAGAGAGGGGGGAGAGAGGGGGGGGGGACGGCAGAGAGAGAAAAGGGAGGGGAGAGACACAGCAAGAAGAGGGGGGGAGAGACAGCAGAGAGAGAGGGGGAGAGACAGCAGAGACAGCAGAGAGGGAGAGAGAGACAGCAGAGAGGGAGAGAGAGAGAGACAGCAGAGAGGGGGGAGAGGCAGCAGAGAGAGATAGAGGGGGGGGAGGCAGCAGAGAGAGAGGGGGAGAGAGACAGCAGAGAGAGAGAGGGTGGGGGACAGAAGAGAGGGGGAGAGCCAGCAGAAAGAGAGGAGGGGGAGAGACAGCAGAGAGACAGCAGAGAGAGAGGGGGGAGAGACAGCAGAGAGAGACAGCAGCAGAGAGGGAGAGAGACAGCAGAGACAGGAGAGGGGGAGAGAGAGACAGAGAGGGAGAGAGACAGCAGAGACAGGAGAGGGGAGAGAGAGACAGCAGAGAGGGGGAGAGCAGCAGAGAGAGAGGGGAGAGGCAGCAGAGAGAGAGGGGGGAGACAGCAGAGAGAGAGACAGCAGAGAGTGAGAAACCACAAAGAGAGAGGGGAAAGAGACAGTGGGGTGAGAAGGGAGATGAAACCGCAGAGAGGAAAGAGAGAGGGAGAGACCGCCTAGGTTGGTGATATTAGAGTGCAGTGTGGAGTTGTAGGCGGAGCTTCAGTGTATTTTTTGGATTTTTTGATCTTTGATATTTTTGTTACAATGAGATGAGTTTCTCATCATCCGCTGTCCCCTCCCCCTGAAAATGCTGCTTTCCTGGCTGTCATGCTGATCCTCTTCCGCTATATTTCCTGTAGATCCTGAACATTCCGCAGCCAGTCATGACGTCTCCTGATTGATCTGGTTTCCTGCCTGAGACAGTAGGAAAGCCAGAGGATGACCATAACAGCCAATGAAACTGGCATTTTCTGGAATGTAGGGTTCAGATATACTGTGTGTAGGGCAACACCAGGTGGCGGGGTCAACATATTTAATGAGCAGTCATAGCATGAGGCGGGGTCTGTATATATAATGAGCAGGAGGCGGGGCCTACATATGTAGTGGGCACCGCAGGAGGCGGGGTCTGCATATGTAATGAGTAGCCATGGCTGCCCACAGGTATGCAAAGAACTGTACCTTTAACACTGACCGCCTCCAGGCCGGTATAGAATATTGGCCCCAAATTCTGGCCTGTCTGTGGCCCTTTAGGGCCAGGTTTGGACAGCTCTGCGTGGTCATGTGATGACCTTTTCTATCTTTCGCAGGTTCTGCTCTGTCGGTATCATAATTCCGTGCTGAGCCGCTGCCACCGCGATGTCTTCACCTCCGTCAGAGGATTCACCACACAGACCACCAGGTGAGGGCCGGAGAATTCCACCTATGCGTATGCCTGTGACCCCGCCCAATACACCTGCATCCCATAACTCCACCCATTACTACTGTAGCATCTCCTCATGGTACAAAGGGTGGGGGGTCTGGCGCAGTGTACGGTATGGGGGACGAGGGGGTCTGGCGCAGTGTACAGTACGGAGAGTGGGGGTCTGGCGCAGTGTACGGTACGGAGGGCGGGGGGTCTGGCGCAGTGTACGGTACGGAGGGTGGGGGGTCTGGCGCAGTGTACGGTACGGAGGGTGGGGGGTCTGGCGCAGTGTACGGTATGGAGGGCGGGGGGTCTGGCGCAGTGTACGGTAAGGGGGGTCTGGCACAGTGTACGGAATGGGAGACGGGGGTCTGGCGCAGTATACAGTATGGAGGGAGGGGGGTCTGGCGCAGTGTACGGTATGGAGGGTCTGGTGCAGTGTACGGTATGGAAGATGGGGGACGAGGGGTCTGCACAGTGTATGGTATGGAGGATGGGGGTCTAGCGCAGTGTACGGGGGACGGGGGGTCTGGCACAGTGTACGGTATGGAGGGTGGGGGGTCTGGTGCAGTGTACGGTATGGAGGGCGGGGGGGTCTGGCGCAGTGTACGGTATGGAAGATGGGGGACGAGGGGTCTAGCGCAGTGTACGGAACGGGGGGGTGTCTGGCGCAGTGTACAGTATGGAGGGTGGGGGGTCTGGCGCAGTGTACGGTATGGAAGATGGGGGATGAGGGGTCTGGCGAAGTGTACGGTATAGGGAACGGGGGGGTGTCTGGCGCAGTGTACGGTATGGAGGGTGGGGGGTCTGGTGCAGTGTACGGTATGGAGGGTGGGGGGTCTGGTGCAGTGTACGATATGGAGGTGGGGGGTCTGGCGCAGTGTACGGTATGGAAGATGGGGGACGAGGGGTCTGGCGCAGTGTACGGTATGGAGGGTTGGGGGTCTGGCGCAGTGTACGGTATGGAGGGTGGGGGACGAGGGGTCTGGCGCAGTGTACGGTATGGAGGGTGGGGGACGAGGGGTCTGGCGCAGTGTACGGTATGGTATGGTATACTGAGTGTCTAGTACAGCATACAATGTGGAGGGTCCGTATATAATCTTTTTGCCACCTCCGGGGCCCCAGCACAGTGCGGCTCCCAGTGTCTCTCCTCTGTATCTGGTGTGTGGAGGACAGATGTGGAGATAGTGGCTGCAGGTCAGGGACGGTCAGCTGATGGATGAAGACAGGAGGAGGGTGGAGGGAGGTGAAGGGGGTTCCTGTTATTTCTGTTCTGGTGTATATTTAACCGGCTGTGCTCTGGATGGATGTGGTGAGGCAGACATGGCTTCAGGTGACCCGGGAATTCTGGGAAATGGGCCCCTCCATCAGGCCATCTCTCTAATAATGTAGAGGACAATGATGACATAGGTGTTCAGTGATGGAATTTCCAGAATCCTTCTTTATCTTCCCCCCACAGATCCTCCCCAAGACGGCGGATCCGAATTCTGTGGCTGGGCTCTCTCCTCGGGGCCCCGACTGTTGGGGCTCTGGCTTATTACACATCGGAATGGACCTAAGAGGAGAAGGATGAGGATCTCCGTGCAGGGCATCCTCCGCTTCAGCAGGTGAGAATGTTGGATTTGCAGCGAGTGGTTGGGAGTTGCGGATTGAGATGTTCTACTGATCTTGTGGCTTTCACACAACCCATCTGGTGCCCACAGACCTACCACATAAACCGCACTGAATCTGTCCCTCCATCCTCTATATTGTAGCATGTAGCCTTGATCCTGCCAATCCACATTCCAGAGATAAGGAGGACCTGACACTTGTTCTGATTGCTTTTTTAGATGAAACCTATAAAACTGGTCACCATCCATCTGTGGCCGGAAGGGAGACGCTAACCAGCAAATGTTTTGCCTTGTGTTCCCGGGCTGTACATGTGGCTGTGATCTGTAAATCCTGTTCAGTACCCATTCCCCCACCACCACCACGCTGGCTCTCTGTCCACAAATGTTGCTGTAACAAATATTTATTAAGTGTAGAGCTACTGACTCCCATCCAAGTACTAACCAGGCCCGACCCTACTTGGCCTCCAAGATCAGACGAGCTCGGGCGCATTCAGGGTGATGTGACTGTAGGCGTGACTGGAGCCCTCAACATTCTTGAACTTGGGCCTTCCAAGCTGGCATCTTGGACCAAAACTAAACCAGCAAAAAAACCAAAATGTCTACAGCACCTGGTATTCCCAGGTGATCTCCCATCCAAGTACTAACCAGGCCCAACCCTGCTTACCCTCCGAGATCAGACACATTTAGGGTGATGTGGCTGTAAGTACCCATCTCTAGAACCCTCAACCTTTTTGAATTTTGGTCTTCCAAGCTGACACTTTGACCAAAAAGAATATAGTACCTGGTATAGTACCAACCAGGCCCGACCTTACTTTGCCTCCAAGATCAGAGAAAATCAGGTGTATTCTGGGTGATGTGGCTGTATGTGCCCACCATTTGAGCCCCCAAACTTCTAGAACTTGGAAATGCCAAGCTTGCATCTTGGCCAAAAAAGCCAACAAGCCTACAGTGCCTGGTATTCCTAGGCTGCCTCCCATCAAAGCACAAACTAGTCCTGACCCTGCTTTACCTCCAAGATCAGACAAGATTGAGCACATAAAAGGTGATGTGGCCATAGACGCCCACCTTCGTCAAAAGAGCCAGCAGCACCTGGTATTCCCAGGTGGTCTCCCATCCAAGTACTAACCAGGCCCAACCCTGTTTAGCCTCCAACATCAGGCAAGACAGGGTGCAATCAGGGTGATTTGGCCATAGGCATCCACTGTGGGAGCCCTCAGCCTTCTTAAACTTGGGGAAGCCAAACTGGCACCTTCGCCAAAAAAAGAAAACAAAAACGTGCATTCAGGGTGATGTTGCCATAGGCGGCTACTAGTGAAGCCCTCAACCTACTTGAACTTAGGCCTACCAAGCTGGCTCTTTGGGACCAAAAACAAGCCAACCAAAACACCCATAGATGGTGGGCACATACAGCCACATCACCCGGAATACACCTGATTTTCTCTGATCTTGGAGGCTAAGCAAGGTCGGGCCTGGTTGGTACTTGGATGGTAGACTGCCTGTTAATACCAGGTGCTGTATGCTTTTTGGTCAAGGTGTCAGCTTGGAAGGTTGAGGGCTCTACAGATGGGCACCTACGGCCACATCACCCTAAATGTGTCTGATCTCAGAGGGTAAGCAGGGTGGGGCCTGGTTAGTACTTGGATGGGAGATCACCTGGGAATACCAGGTGCTGTAGACATTCTGGTATTCCCGGGCGGACTCCCATCCAAGTACCAACCAGGCCCAACCCTGCTATACCCCATATCCAAACCTGGTCCACAATTTATTCCTTTAAGGTCAAATTGGACTTTTCCAACAGCAGATTCTTCTGAAAGGTTTCTCCTGAATATTCTGGATGAAGACATTTCTAAGACCTCTGTTAGAACTATGTTCAGATACATTTGCTTTAACTTGAGGGACTTTTTCTTGGCTTGAATGGGAAACTAGATAACCTCCTAGTCCAGGGATAGGGAATGTATGCGATGTGATGTTTTATTGTACAGATATTCAGTGTGGAGTTCCGTTGACTCCCACCTAGATGTTGTACAAATGTGGGTTGAATGTTACCTGTGAATACAACGTGCATACGTAATCCAGGGCTACACCCCCACTCTATGGGCTCTCTCATATTTTATCAATTCAATTCTCAATTCAAGAAAATACCACACTGTGGCCACTAGATTGAGTGACCAGCAATATAAGGAGCCATTAAATGGAGCTAAAGATCATAGAAAATAAATACTTGTTTTCTATGATCATCAGTGACATCTAGTGGTCATAATACGGCTGCCAGACCCATTCACCTTTCCAACCGCTCCATCTCCGCCACCCCCCTCTGCCAATCCCTCCACTGGCCTCCACTCAGTGTCCTCCACCCCCCTCTGCCAATCCCTCCACTGGCTTCCGATTGCGCAACGGATCAAATTCAAAATCCTAACACTGACGTACAAAGCTGTCCACCATACTGCCCCGAACTACATCACTGACCTAATATCCAAGTACTGCCCAACATGCACACTCCGCTCCTCACAAGACCTCCTTCTCTCTAGTTCCCTGGTCTCCTCCTCCCATGCCCGCCTCCAGGACTTCTCCAGGGTGTCACCCATCCTCTGGAACTCCCTGCCCCAACCCATCAGATTATCACCTACTCTCCTCTCCTTTAGGCGCACCCTGAAAACCCATCTCTTCAGGGAAGCCTACCCCACCCCCTGCTAACTTGCCGACCTCCTCCACTCTCCTACCACTCCATCCCCCACAGCTATCTCCTCCTGTACCACCATCCCCTCCCTCCTAGATTGTAAGCTCGAAAGAGCAGGGCCCTCGATCCCCTCATGTATTGTATTGTATTGTATTGTATTGGTATTGTTCTGTCACATGTTCTGTCCCCCTCTGTAATGTACAGCGCTGAGCGAACTATCGGCGCTTTATAAATACTGTATAATAATAATAATAATGATAATAATAATAATCAATAGATAAGTAAAAATCTATGAAAAATGAACACCTCTTAAAGCTGTAGAGTGGTGTGTGGCCCTTCAGGGTCGTATTATGACTTGCCCGGGCAGTCGAATCTCTACAGATAATATATCAGCGGGAATGGGCTGTGATCCGTTCCGAATGTTGTTCCTCCTCACTGATATTTCTGATTTTTCTCTCACAGATCTCTGAAGATCGCCTCCCACATATCCATAGACTACTGGTGGACGAGAAATGTGACTCTGAGGAAGGAGGATGAGGTGAGTGCGGGGTGGGAGGGGTCACTTATATCAGGACTGCGCTTTGTAGTGTGACCGCGGTGACCCGCCCCCCACATCACATCTCCGGGACAATCATTCTAGAATAGGAGGGTGGTAGGCTGGACTGATACAAAGCAGATTCTGATTTAGGTTGATGTTCCTATAACAAGAGTAGCCTGCAGTGAAGGAATGGTGAAAAATGACCTGATTGTGGCTGCTGCCCCTCTGATTGGGTGTGAACGAACCGCTCAACAGGTAATCCATTTTTGAGTATAAAGTCAGGAGCTCAGATGGTCAGATAACTTGATATTGGTATGAAATGTTTATTGGATACAATATGTTGTGTTCTGTAGTCCTATCACACTTCCTGTTGTAGGGTGACCACGTGCTCCTCCATAGATGCAGTACGATGAGTTGAGGGTTGTCACCCTAGGACAGGATCACTAGATGCGCATGTTCTATATGACAGTATAATCCATCTCTGCATCATACCACATGGAGGGGGGGGGGATATGGCTTTGGCGGGCCTCTGATGGTGTCACCTTTTGTCTGTGTGTCTTGTGGCAGAAACAGTCCGCTACACCAGGCCGTCATGTCTCAGTGTCACCAGAGGACGGCGGACAGACTGGTGGACGGGGCCCTGCTGAACGGGGGTCTCTACATCAAACTTGGACAAGGTCTGTGCACCTTCAACCACCTACTGCCCCCAGAATACATTGCAACGCTGCGGGTGCTGGAGGACCAGGCACTGCCTCGGAGGACCAATGAGGTGAGGATGCTGCACTGTGTTTTGGCTCCAAGATGAGGGATTGTCTTTTAGATTTCTGTTCTGTTTGGACTAGAACAGTCCCTGGGATCGACAGAGCAGTCTGTCTCTATGAAAGTCCAGGGGCCATGTTGGGGGGAGTAGGAAATAAATGTCTTGATTGTATCTTACCATTTGGCTCTGCAACATCTTCCCAAGTCTTTTGGCAAACCCCGCTAAAACCAATTTATTGGGGGTCAGTAGGTGTAATGGAACCGGACCCAGACCGCACTTGGGTATTTCCGAACACAGATCCCCGGACACCACTGTTGATCATGCAGGAAATAAGACAGCACCAGACTGTTCTTAAAACAGGAAGTCAACTGCTTTATTTTAACACAAACACAAGATATATACACAGGGCGGGGAAATACAACCAGGAACAGGAAACACATCAGCAGGCCGTCCCATCAGGGGGAAGGGCTGCTGGTAACACCCCCCACCAAACCGAGACACACAATAGAACAAAGGGGATACACCACATGGCAGTAGACAATACAGGAACACATACATCCCATAATAGTTTGCTGGCCAGCAAGACACAATAGAACAATGGGATGCAGCACATGGCAGTGAACAATGGACAACCACATGGCAGTGAACAATGGACAACCACATGGCAGTGAACAATGAACAACCACATGGCAGTGGCAGTGAACAATGGACAACCACACAGTGAACAATGGCAGTGAACAATGACAAACAGTGAAATGGACAACCACATGGCAGTGAACAATGGACAACCACATGGCAGTGAACAATGGACAACCACATGGCAGTGAACAATGACAACCACATGGCAGTGAACAATGGACAACCACATGGCAGTGAACAATGGACAACCACATGGCAGGAACAATGGACAACCACATGGCAGTGAACAATGGACAACCACATGGCAGTGAACAATGGACAACCACATGGCAGTGAACAATGGACAACCCCCACACCAATACACAATATCAGGACAGACCACCCTGTACCCCTAACGGGCACAGGGTGGGTTACACATAAGAGGAACAACAGGGGTCCCCCCACCCCAAAAGTCACTCCCGTCACAATAGGAAAATGCCCTTTTTACATCAGAGGCCAGCAAAAAGAATACCTTTCCGCTAATGGTCTAAATATCCCCCTTACAGATGGCTAAAACGTTAACCGGCACCATGTGACGTTGGCCCCGGGACTATGCACCAAGGGGAGGCCAATCGGTCACAGCTCAAGGAACCTCTACCTCTGCTGGGGAACGCTGGCTGACCATGGCTGATTTATGGCAGATCCTCCATTCTAGGTGGGATGTTCCAGTGATTGGGCAATGGTTGTCTTGTTGGTGGAGCTTGTAGACCAGAGATTAGCAGCCCTCTTTGGTTCTGTGCCATTTGTAACCAATTTCGATGACCATCCCGAGCCTGTTGGTGTCCTGAGGCTCCCAGCCAACCAATCGATGTCTCTGGAGGTGGCTGGTGACTCTAGTGGTAGGTGTTGGGGTTCATCTGGAAAGCCCGGATGAGCCCCCATTTATGTTCTAGATGTCTGCTGCCTGATGATTGGGCAGAGTACAGGCCGTGTAGATGGGGATAGGTAGTGTGCTTACAGATATATCCAAATTGGTTAGAGATCCATATGAGACCCTTCTGAGTTCCATCACAGGTACAGCGGAACGTCCTCCTCAGATGAATGATGACACTTTTGCATTCCCATTGGTCTGTATGAAGGGGGGGGGGGGGAAACAGTTTCTGAACAATACATGGGCCCTGAGTGATCATTTCCTGGCTCTGTTGCAGGTGAATGAGATTCTTTTGGAAGACTTCGGTGAACCCGCTGAGAAGCTCTTCCAAAAATTTGACCAAAAGCCGATGGCAGCGGCAAGTCTAGCCCAGGTGCACCGCGCGACCTTACATGATGGAACTGAGGTGGCGGTGAAGGGTGAGTCGTGTAAAATGTGTGTTTCTCCTAATTCCCCTCCCCATTGGATGATAAATATTGTGAGCGTATCCAAAGAGGGGAGATGGGGGGGGGGGGCACATGGGAAGTTAGAAAGTTACACATTAGGTACGATCTACATTCCCCCCCCCCCCCCCCCCCTCCTTCCCCACCACCATCTCTTTGTATTAACTGTAATCTGTGCAGTACATTTACCATCCCTCTTTTTCTCAATGGATGAGGAGTATCATATATACAAATCCCTTCCCCCCCCCCCCCCCCCCCCCCCCCCCCCCATCAGTTAACATGTGATCTGTACATAACACCCCCACATCGGGTGATGAGTTAACTAACTACATAATGTCTCCTGTACAAATATAAATCCCTCCACCCTACTGAATGATGACTAGGTATACAGCAAGTTCCCCCACCCCAATTGCCTACCCTGCCAATTGGATGGAGGGTATAAGATGTTCATAAACTGCCCCCCCCCCCTACCAACTGGATGATGGGTATAAGATGTACATAAATTGCCCCCCCTACCAATTGGATGGAGGGTATAAGATGTACATAAACTGCCCCCCCCCCACCACTTGGATGGAGGGTATAAGATGTACATAAACTGCCCCCCTACCAACTGGATGATGGGAATAAGATGTACATTATTATTATTATTATTATTATATTACTACGCGTTTATATAGCGCCAAAGGGTTTGCTCAGCGCTGTACAATAGGGGGACAATACATGGCACAGTACAACAACAACAAACAATGTACGAGGGGTAAGAGGGCCCTACTCTTTCGAGCTTACAATCTAGGAGGGAGGGGGTAAAGGTACAGTAGGAAGTGGCTGAGGGGAATGAGGGTGGGAGGAAAGAGGGAGAATGGCCGTTAGGTGAGGGTGGGGTAGGCTTCCCTGAAGAGGTGGGGTTTTCAGGGAGCGCCTGAATGTGAAGAGGGAAGGCGACAGTCTGATGGATTGGGGCAGTGAGTTCCAGAGGATGGGGGAGGACCTGGAGAAGTCCTGCAGTCGTGCATGGGAGGAGGAGACCAGGGAGCAGGATAGAAGGAGGTCCTGTGAGGAGCGAAGGGTACGGGTAGGGCGGTTGGTACTTGGGGATCAGGTTGGTGAGGTAGTCAGGGGCAGTGTTTGTGAACGGCTTTGTAGGTCAGGGTTAGGAGTTTAAATTTGATGCGTTGGGCAATCGGGAGCCAGTGGAGGGAGAGGCAGAGGGGGGTGGCAGAGGTGGAGCGGGGTGGTGAGGTGGATGAGTCTGGCCGCTGAGTTCAGGATAGTCTGGAGCGGGGGAGAGCCTGCACTTGGGTAGGCCGGTGAGAAGAGAATTACAGTAGTCAAGGCGTGAGATGATGAGGGAGTGTACTAGAAGTTTGGTGGTGTCAAGGGTGAGGAAGGTGCGTATCTTGGCAATGTTGTGAAGATGGAGCCTGCATGTGTTTGTAAGTGATTTGACATGCGGTTGGAAGGAGAGGTTCGAGTCAAGAATGACGCCAAGGACTTTGGCTTGCGGGGCGGGAGTGATAGTGGAGTTGTTGGTGATGATGGATAGGATGGGGGGGGGTGTGGGCAGGGGGAAAGACGAGGAGCTCGGTTTTGGAGAGGTTAAGCTTGAGGAAATGTAGCGACATCCAGTCTGAGATGTCATTTAGGAGGTGAGTGATGCGGGCGGAGATAGTGGGGGTGAGGAGAGGGGTGGAGAGGTAGATTTGGGTGTCGTCAGCGTAGAGGTGATAGTTGAAGCCGTGAGAGTGTATGAGTTTGCCCAGGGAGGAGGTGTAGATGGAGAAGAGAAGGGGTCCAAGGACAGAGCCTTGGGGGACCCAACAGAGAGGGAGAGGGAAGGGGAGGTTGCACCATTGTAGGTGACGCTGAAGGAGCGTCGGGATAGGTAGGATGAGAACCAAGAGAGAGCAGTATCTCTGATGCCAAGGGAGAGTAGTTTATTAAGGAGGAGGGGGTGGTCAACTGTGTCGAAGGCCGCAGAGAGGTCCAGGAGATGGAGGACAGAGTAGTCGCCCTTGGCTTTGGCGTTGAGTAGGTCGTTAGTGATTTTGAGGAGGGCAGTTTCAGTGGAGTGTAGGGGACGGAAGCCGGACTGTAGAGGGTCAAGGAGGTTATTGTCATAAGGTGGGCGCTTAGGCGATCGTAGAGACTATGCGCTCAAGGAGCTTGGAGGTGAGTGGCAGCAGGGAGATGGGTCTGAGGTTGTTGGGGTCCGCGGGATCCAGGGAGGGCTTTTTGAGGATGGGGGTGATATGCGCGTGCTTTAGGGGGGAGGGGAATACGCCAGTAGAGAGGGAGAGATTGAAGATGTGGGTGAGGGAGCGGATGAGGGGAGGCGGGGGGTGACCGGAGGAGTTGAGAGGGGATAGGGTCCAGGGGGCAGGTAGTGAGGCGGGCTTCTGAGAGGACTTTGCCGACTTCCTCAGTAGTGACAGGGCTGAGGGAGTGCAGTGCGGGGGGGTTACGGTGGGCGGGGCATTGGGAGAGGTGGGGGGGCAGTGCGGTTTGTGAGGGCAGAGGGAGGGGGGAGATGAAGGGGTGACGGGGGTGGGGAGGTAGATTGCAAGTTGACGATGTCCTTACGGATAGCGTCAATCTTGTTGTGGAAATGGGTGGCAATCTCGTGGGCGGTGTGTGAGAGAGGTACTGAGTGGAGGAGGGGGGGGGGGGGAGAGAGCAGGGAGTTGAAGGTGGAGAAGAGTCGGAGTCGGCGGGGGCAGGAGGAGAGGGTGTTAATCAGGTTAACAAAGTAGGCCTGCTTGGTGGCGTGGAGGGAGGAGGTGTAGATAAGAAATGCAGATTTGTAGAGGGAGAAAGTATGAGGGGACCTGGTTTTGCGCCACAGCCTCTCCAGCGCGACTGCGACGTTTGAGGCGTTTAGTGCTGTCATTCTGCCATGGTTGGAGCGGTCTGGGTTTGATGATGCGTGTGGTTAGGGGTGCCAGAGAGTCTAGGGCAGCTGACAGTGAGTCATTGTACAAGGTGGTGGCTATGTCAGGACATGACAGTGGGAGGATGCTGTCGTGTAGGCAGTCGGCGGCTGAGTGGAGGGGGGCCGGGTTTAGCTTGCGGAGGTTGCGGCTGGTGATGGTTTGGCGTTTTTGAGGGGGGGAGTTGGGGGGGAAGGGGAGATGGAGAAGGTGATGATGGTGGTGGTCGGAGAGAGGGGAAGGGGGTGTTAGAGAACTGGTTGAGGGTACAGAGGTGGGAGAAGACAAGGTCCAGGGTGTTCCCTCCGAAGTGGGTGGAGGATTGAGTGTGCTGTGTGAGCGCGAAGGAGGAGGTTAGGTGGAGGAATTGGGAAGTGGCCGGGTTGTTGTCGTTGATGGGGATATTGAAGTCCCCGAGGATGATGGTCGGTAGCTCAGAGGAGAGGAAGAAGGGAAGCCAGGCGGCGCGAAGTTGTCCAGGAAGTGGGGTATGGACCCAGGAGGTCTGTAGATCACTGCGATCCTTAGGGGGGTGGGTGAGAAGAGTCGGATGCAGTGCGCCTCAAAGGAGGGGAAGGAAAGAGAGGGTGGGTTAGGGAGGACTTGGAAGGTGCTCAGCGGTGATGGAGCAAGCCGACACCACCACCTCTGCGATCGCTCAGTCTTGGTGAGTGGGTCCAGATGAGACCTCCATGGTGAGTGCCGCAGGGGAGTGGAGTCAGTGGCCTGTACCCAGGTTTCGGTGACTGCTAGGAGGTTGAGGGAGCGGGAGATGAAGAGGTCATGGATGGCGGTAAGCTTATTGCAAACCGAACGGGCATTCAGGAGTGCAACCGAGAGAGGGGGGATAGGTATGGGGAGGAGGGGTACATGTATGAGGTTGAGGGGGTCGCGTCGGCTGGCGTGAGCAGGGGGGGGCTCTAGGGGGGGGGGTGAGGTGGTGAGGGGCCAGGGTTCGGGGAGATGTCTCCAGCTGATATGAGGAGGAGGAGGGTGAGGAAGGTGGCGTGGGAACAGGAGGTGTAGGAGCGCGTGGGTCTGAAAGTGGTGGCAAGTGGGTCAGCGGGGCAGTGGGAGTAGCAGGAGGAGGTGGTGGGTGCCGTAGTAGGGTGGGGGAGAGGGGAGAAGTGAGGGGGGCGATATAGAGCTGCTTAGCGGGGGTGGGTGGGTAGAGGAAGGCGGTTTTAGGGATGGAGGAGAGGAGGACAAGGAGGAGGGAGCGCGGGCGGCATGTTGGGGTGAGCGGGGTGCTGGAAGGGTCGGGGTGGGTGAGGGGGTGCTGGTCAGGGATGGCGAAGCAGTGTCCGAAACGCCGTGGGAGGTGGCTGGTAGTCCCAGGTGGGGTGGAGGGCAGGGGATCCCTGGGGGGATGGTGGCCGTGCTATCCCTGGTGGGGTAGTAGCGATCCCTGGAGGGATAGTGGTTTAGGGTCCCTGGTGGTTAGGGTTTCCGGTGGATGGTGGGATCCCCGAGTGTGTCCCTGGTGGCTGGCGGTGGGATGGTGGTTGGGCTCCCTGATGGGTAGTGGGTGCCCCTTACATGTACATAAACTGCCCCCCCCCCCACCATGCCCCCCCCTCCACCAATTGGATGATAGGTATAAGATGTACATAAACTGCCCCCCCTACCAACTGGATGATGGGAATAAGATGTACATAAACTGCCCCCCCCCCCTGCCTACCAATTGGATGATGGGTATAAGATGTACATAAATTGCCCCCCCCCCTACCAACTGGATGGAGGGTATAAGATGTACATAAACTGCCCCCGCCCCCCCCACCACTTGGATGGAGGGTATAAGATGTACATAAACTGCCCCCCCCCCCACCACTTGGATGGAGGGTATAAGATGTACATAAACTGCCCCCCCCTACCAACTGGATGATGGGAAATAAGATGTACATAAAACCCCCCCCCCCGCCTACCAATTGGATGATGGGTATAAGATGTACATAAACTGCCCCCCCCCCCCCCCCCCCGCCTACCAATTGGATGATGGCTATAAGATGTACATTAGGCCGTGTTGCTCCCACCAGTAGGATGATGGTAATAATATGGCCCTGTTACCCCCCATTGGGGGAGGTGTACTGGCCTCAGGAGGACGTCTTTGTGACGCATTTCCTGCGCTCTCCCAGGTCCAGTACATCGATCTTCGAGATCGCTTCGATGGGGATATTAAGACTCTGGAATGGCTTCTCCGGCTCATTGAGTTCATGCACCCCAAGTTTGGGTTCAGTTGGGTTCTGAAGGTAAGTGTCTTCTCATCATCATTCTTCTCTGCTCTCCATATCGCCCCCAATGCATCACCCTCTATACATCCCCTTCCTCATACAGGACCTGAAGAACACATTGGTGCAGGAGTTGGACTTCGAGAACGAGGGGCGAAACGCTGAACGATGCGCACAAGATCTGAGAAAACTCTCCTATGTCCTGATACCCAAAGTACACTGGAAGTACACCAGCAAGGTGAGGAGGAGGAAAACCAGTGCAGACCTATCCCACAATGCAGCTGTAATATGTGGAAGGATCCCATCATTGGTGTCAGTGGGAGGAATAGTGCCCCATCATTGGTGTCAGTGGGAGGAATAGTGCCCCATCATTGGTGTCAGTGGGAGGAATAGTGCCCCATCATTGGTGTCAGTGGGAGGAATAGTGTCCCATCACTGGTGTCAGTGGTGGGAGGAATAGTGCCCCATCACTGGTGTCAGTGGGAGGAATAGTGCCCCATCATTGGTGTCAGTGGGAGGAATAGTGCCCCATCATTGGTGTCAGTGGGAGTAATAGTGCCCCATCATTGGTATCAGTGGGGGGAATAGTGTCCCATCATTGGTGTCAGTGGAGGAATAGTGCCCCATCATTGGTGTCAGTGAGAGGAATAGTGCCCCATCATCGGTGTCAGTGGGAGGAATAGTGCCTCATCATTGGTGTCAGTGGGAGGAATAGTGCCCCATCATCGGTATTAGTAGGAGGAATAGTGCCCCATCATCGGTGTCAGTGGGAGGAATAGTGCCCCATCATTGGTATCAGTGGGAGGAATAGTGCCCCCATCATTGGTGTCAGTGGGAGGAATAGTGTCCCATCATTGGTGTCAGTGGGAGGAATGGTGCCCCATCATTTGTGTCCGTGGGGAGGAATGGTGCCCCATCATTGGTGTCAGTGGGGAGGAATGGTGCCCCATCATTGGTATCAGTGGGAGGAATGGTTTTCCACCACTGGTGTCAGTGGTGGAATGGTTTTCCATCACTGGTGTCAGTGGGAAGAAATGGTACCCCATCGTCGGTGTCAGTGGGGAGGGAATGGTACCCCATCGTCGGTGTCAGTGGGGAGGAATGGTACCCCATCGTCGGTATCAGTGGGAGGAATGGTTTTCCATCACTGGTGTCAGTGGGGAGGAATGGTGCCCCATCATTGGTGTCAGTGGGGGAGGAATGGTGCCCCATCATTGGTGCCAGTGGGAGAAATGTTGCCCCATCATTGGTATCAGTGGGAGAAATGTTGCCCCATCATTGGTGCCAGTGGGAGAAATGTTGCCCCATCATTGGTGCCAGTGGGAGAAATGGTGGCCCCATCATTGGTGCCAGTGGGAGGACTAGTGCCCCATCATTGGTGTCAGTGGGGGAAATAGCGCCCCATCATTGGTGTCAGTGGGAGGAATAGTGCCCCATCATTGGTGTCAGTGGGAGGAATAGTAGTGCCCCATAATTGGTGTCAGTGGGGGGGAATAATACCTTGAGGGCCAGATAAAGCAAAGGGCCGCAACCTGGAGACCACTGATATGGAAGGATCCCGCAGGCAGATGTAATCTGTATTCTAGTTGTGTTTTTGAATATTGGGCTCTTGCTGTGTCGGGATATGAACGTTTTGTAGGGAGTTTCATCTAGTCTGTGGTGTCAGGAGGTGTCTGTGTGCCGTCTATAAATCCCGTCTCCTCCTCCTCCTCTCTCCACAGCGGGTCCTCACGGCGGATTACTGCGAGGGCTGCAAAGTCAGCAGTGTGGACGGGATCAAGAAGCAGGGCCTGGAGCTGAAGGATGTGAGTGTGACCCACCAACTACTACTACTAATGTGCCTCCTCCTCCTCGCAGATCCCCCCGAGCACAGCGCAGATCCCCCCCTCCCCCCCCCCCCCACGCACAGCGCAGATCCCCCCCACGCACAGCGCAGATCCCCCCCACGCACAGCGCAGATCCCCCCACGCACAGCGCAGATCCCCCCCACGCACAGCGCAGATCCCCCCCACGCACAGCGCAGATCCCCCCACGCACAGCGCAGATCCCCCCCCCCGAACCCAGATCCTCACACACAGGGCAGAATCCTCCCCCCCCCACACGCACAGGGCAGATCCTCCCCCCCCACACACAGGGCAGATCCTCCCCCCCCCCCCACACACAGGGCAGATCCTCCCCCCCACACACACAGGGCAGATCCTCCCCACCCACACACACAGGGCAGATCCTCCCCCCCCACACACACAGGGCAGATCCTCCCCCCCCACACACACAGGGCAGATCCCCCCCCCCCCCCACACACAGCGCAGATCCTCCCCCCCCCCACACACAGCGCAGATCCCCCCACGCACAGCGCAGATCCCCCCCCACACACACACACAGGGCAGATCCTCCCCCCCCACACACAGGGCAGATCCCCCCCCCCACACACAGGGCAGATCCTCCCCCCCCCCACACACACAGCGCAGATCCCCCCCCCCCACACACAGGGCAGATCCTCCCCCCCCCCCCCACAGCACAGGCAGATTCCCCCCCCCCCCACACACACAGGGCAGATCCCCCCCCCCCACACACAGCGCAGATCCCCCCACACACAGGGCAGATTCCCCCCCCCCACACACACAGGGCAGATCCCCCCACACACAGGGCAGGCCTCATGGATGTTAAGAGGTCTAATCTCCAGATGTAGAAAGGCTTCTCTACTGTAAGAGCTGTAAAGATGAGTGTAACGGAACCGGACCCGACTGCACTGGGGTATTTCCGTTAGACTCGCGCTTCCCTGTCCGAACATTATATACGGACACCACCGCTGACCATACAAGACCAGACTTGTATTAAAACAGGAAATAGACGGCTTTATTTTAACACAGACACAAGATATAAACATTCAAGAGAACAACCCCCCCTCCTGCATAATGACACAGGGCGGGGCAAACCACATCTAGCAATAAGAAACACATCAGCGGACAGTCCCATCAGGAGGGAGGGCTGCTGGAGACACCCCCAACCCCCTCCCACCAAGCCAATACACAAACACATACATCCCATAATAGTTTGCTCCAAAGCAAGACACACAATAGAACAATGGGATGCACCACCTGGCAGTACAATGAACAACCCCCCCACCCCACCTATACATGTCTACACAATATCAGGACATTCCACCCTGCACCCCTAACAACAGGCACAGGGTGACTTACACATAATAGGGATATGGGGAGCTGAGACAGGGGTCTCCCCACCTCTCCAAAGGGGGCTGTGTTCCATGGGGCCCCCCACCCAAAGTGACTCCCGTCACAATGAGGAATGGACTTCCCTAGGAGATGGTTCTAGCAGATAGATATGATTGCTCCAAAGATTGTTGTCAGATCTTTTACTGAAAGAGCAAAATGTAACGCTAGCCCCCGCATGTCACAATCTGATTGGACAATCTCCTCCGGAGTTCCGGGCAGTGATGTAGTGCGAGGGTCTCATACACATTGGACAGGTTTTTAGGTCGGTAAATACAGAGATTGTACATTGTGTGTGTTCCAGTACCTCCTGCCTGAGCCGGGAATGGTTCCCATGGGTTGTGTTTGTGGGTGGATTGGTCCAATTGGAAGGCCTGAGGGTGGGAAAGGTTTGTGGGTGGATTGGTCCAATTGGAAGGCCTGAGTGTGGGAAAGGTTTGTGGGTGGATTGGTCCAATTGGAAGGCCTGAGTGTGGGAAAGGTTTGTGGGTGGATTGGTCCAATTGGAAGGCCTGAGTGTGGGAAAGGTTTGTGGGTGGATTGGTCCAATTGGAAGGCCTGAGTGTGGGAAAGGTTTGTGGGTGGATTGGTCCAATTGGAAGGCCTGAGTGTGGGAAAGGTTTTTGTGGGTGGATTGGTCCAATTGGAAGGCCTGAGTGTGGGAAAGGTTTGTGGGTGGATTGGTCCAATTGGAAGGCCTGAGTGTGGGAAAGGTTTGTGGGTGGATTGGTCCAATTGGAAGGCCTGAGTGTGGAAAGGTTTGTGGGTGGATTGGTCCAATTGGAAGGCCTGAGTGTGGGAAAGGTTTGTGGGTGGATTGGTCCCAATTGGAAGGCCTGAGTGTGGGAAAGGTTTGTGGGTGGATTGGTCCAATTGGAAGGCCTGAGTGTGGGAAAGGTTTGCTCACCATCCTCCCCTCTGTCTCTGCAGGTGGCGGAAAAGGTGATAAAGGTTTTTGCAGAGCAAATTTTTTCTTCACGGGATTCATCCACGCCGACCCCCACCCCGGAAACGGTAAGAACGCACACCACACTGCGCACACCATCTATGGACACGGGGGTCACGAGAGTCCACTTGTACCTTTTTGTATGCCGAAATATTACAGAGAGATGGACCACAGCCGGTACAGATATCCATTGTTTACCAAGAGATGATGGGAACTGGCCTGAGATCACATGACCGCCATTGATTGCAGTGATGTCCCCAGGCATATGGTGACCCCCAAACTGTCTTTTGTCTCTGCAGTTCTGGTGAATGTGGGGAAGGACGGGAAGGCTCGGCTGGTTCTCCTGGACCACGGACTGTACGAGTTCCTGAGTCCGAGGTAACATGGCGTGCTTGCGTCACTTCGTGTGTCTGACATGATGTATGCTGAGCTGCGGGTCACTTCCTGTGTGTGTACAGATTCGGTGCACGTCCCTCACTCTGCACGGCGTGGCGTTCCACGCTCCCTGCACGTCCCTCACTCTGCACGGCGTGGCGTTCCTCGCTCCCTGCACGTCCCTCACTCTGCACGGCGTGGCGTTCCTCGCTCCCTGCACGTCCCTCACTCTGCACGGCGTGGCGTTCCTCGCTCCCTCTGCACGTCCCTCACTCTGCACGGCGTGGCGTTCCTCGCTCCCTGCACGTCCCTCACTCTGCACGGCGTGGCGTTTCCTCGCTCCCTGCACGTCCCCTCACTCTGCACGGCGTGGCGTTCCTCGCTCCCTGCACGTCCCTCACTCTGCACGGCGTGGCGTTCCTCGCTCCCTGCACGTCCCTCACTCTGCACGGCGTGGCGTTCCTCGCTCCCTGCACGTCTCTCACTCTGCACGGCGTGGCGTTCCTCGCTCCCTGCACGTCACTCATTCTGCACAGCGTGGCGTTCCCTCGCTCCTGCACCTCCCTCGCTCCCTGCACGTCCCTCATACTGCACGGCGTGGCGTTCCTCGCTCCCTGCACGTCCCTCATTCTGTACGTGGCGTTCCTCGCTCCCTGCACGTCCCTCATTCTGTACGTGGCGTTCCTCGCTCCCTGCACGTCCCTCATTCTGTACGTGGCGTTCCTCGCTCCCTGCACGTCCCTCATTCTGTACGTGGCGTTCCTCGCTCCCTGCACGTCCCTCATTCTGTACGTGGCGTTCCTCGCTCCCTGCACGTCCCTCATTCTGTACGTGGCGTTCCTCGCTCCCTGCACGTCCCTCATTCTGCACAGCGTGGCGTTCCTCGCTCCCTGCACGTCCCTCATACTGCACAGCGTGGCGTTCCTCGCTCCCTGCATGTCCCTCATTCTGTATGTGGCGTTCCTCGCTCCCTGCACGTCCCTCATTCTGCACGGTGTGGCGTTCCTCGCTCCCTGCACGTCCCTCATTCTGCACGGTGTGGCGTTCCTCGCTCCCTGCACGTCCCTCATTCTGCACGGTGTGGCATTCCTCGCTCCCTGCACGTCCCTCGCTCCCTGCATGTCCCTCATTCTGTACGACGTGGCGTTCTTTGTTTCCTCCATGTCTCTCATTCTATATGACATGCTGTTTTGTCACATCCAATCACTGGATTTTTCTATCATTGTGGTAATATCATGGCTCGGTATCTTCAGCAGGTGTATGACAAGTAACGTGTGTGTGATATGTGATGACGGGTAACATGTGTGTGTAATATGTGATGACGGGTAACGTGTGTGATATGTGTTGACAGGTACTCTTTGTTTCAGGGATCGCACAGCTCTGTGTAAACTCTGGAGGTCCATTGTTCTGAGGAATTATCCGGCTATGGCGGAGCACTCGGCAGAGCTCGGGGTGAAAGGTTTGTGCTCCAGCAATTTGTGATTCTTTTGTCCACCAACTGGGCCCTTTCTTGAATTCACCCATTGGGACCTTTCTGTGTTCACCGATTGGACCCCTCCTGTGTCCGCTGGTCGGGCCCTATGACCCACTATCTGCGGTGAAATTGTCTCATTCAGATGTCTCTCTCCAGATTACTTCCTGTTCTGTGAGATTCTGCTGCAGCGCCCCCTATCCCTCACCGGAACTCTGGGGAACGCCCTGACACGGGAGGAGACGCGGTACATGCAGGACATGGCCAAGGAGCATTTTGATGACATCATGAGAGTCCTCCAAGCTTTGCCACGCCCCATGCTGCTGGTATTCCGGAACCTTAATACGGTGCGGGCCCTAAATATTGGACTGGGGGCCCCAGCGGATCGATATCTCCTTATGGCCCGCAGGTCAGTGTCCTTCTATGGTGTCACGTTTCCCCACAATGCTCGATTCAGACATTATTATCCCATTTGGTGAGAACGTAACGGCCTTCCCCTCCTCTGCTTGTAGATTGTAAACTCTTCCGGTCACGGATTTTCTTGCTCGTATTCCAGTGGAGGAATGTGTTAGGGAGAGGATCCTGTACATTGGTGGTTCCTCTGACCTCCTCGGTGGTTCCTCTGATCCCCTCTGTGTTTCTTGTTTTCAGTGCGGTGCGAGCGTGGAGGCGTCTGGCAAAGCAGAATTCCTCAGGGATCACACGTTGGGTGTCTGTGATGTGGGAACATTTAAAGTTTGAGGTGGCTCTCAGGTAAGCAGTTACAATTGGATCCAGCTGGAGTTGTCTGTGGTGCCCATAGATTGGTCAGAGAGGTCGGTCATGTGACCTATGCTAACGCAATATTCCCCCATGCACATGTTCCTGAAAATGGCAATTCGGGGGCGGTAGGGATCACAGACTGGGAACTGTGGACAATCCAAGTGACGAAATGTCACCAGCACACCAAGGACTTCTCAAAACGGGTCCAAAGCTTTATTTGCATGGTCAGAAGGCAAACACAGGACGTTTGTGAACCAGATAGGACCCCTTCGTCAGGTAGGTGACTTACCTGAAGAAAGGGGCTGTGACGATCGCGGTGTCAGACCCCCAGCCCTTCTCACCAACTCGTGACCGAAGGACTAGCCAATCTAAAACCGCACTGTCACGTGTGTAACAATGCCACGCCCAGCTGCACCCTGCACAAAGATTTTCCAGCTAATTGGAGCACAATCTGTGTACTTGCAGCCTGAGAGCGTTTGTTACTGGGTCAGGGTAATTACACAATTAACCCTTCACACTGCCACCACCACCTTTTTGTAGAGGAAAGGAGGAAACTCTGCAATATTAGCAACAACACTATGATGTTTGAATAATCGTCTGTATACCACTGTCACCACAGGCAGATGTATGCAGAAGTTTAAAACACACACATTAGCGCTCTTCAGAGACAGGGATTCTTAGTTTGCATTAAGAGCTTTAGAAACAATTCAACACTTTTTCAAAAATAAGATTTATTACTAAAAAGAGGTAGAGTACTTGAACAAATCCTGGGTTAAGCAGATCAAGTTACCTGAGCAAAAGGGCGCCTTTTCTCCCAAAGTTGGTTCCGATGTTAAAAGGGAGAATTCTTCAACTTCAACTCACTTCTCCAAACCTGACAGCCTTTTCTAGGAACTCAGCAGGGTGTCTCCTTACAGCAGAGAACCAATCGCCTCATTTGGTGAGGGGTGTTGTAGGCGGGGGGACTCAGGCTAGAACCAAAATCCCTCACAAGTTATACCAGGGCAATAACCTTCCCTAGGTACATGTAACAATCTATCGACGGGTAGATTAATATGCAGAATCATCTGCTGAATGTCTAGATAACAAACATGCCATATTTGACCATTCCAGCTAGAACTATATGGCTTTCTGCTCTCCCGTAGACTTCCACTAGGGGTGTAAGATATCAGACGACTCGCATTAAACTGAGCTATCCGAATATATGCTTTATGTTTATGTAATTATTTCCTACCTTAAGATATAAAATTATATGGAAAAGTGGGTTTTAAATGTGAGGTCTGTTTTACGGCTAGCTGGAATGTCTTTGAAGCCCAGTGAAGGACTGGTTTATGGCTTTAGGATTTTTTCCAAGCAAGAGTCTCACAGACATACTGGGGCCAGGCTAATTGGGGTTTATAACCCTGAAGCTCCCCAGCTGGGCCTGATGCCTGTGATCTCTCGGCATCATACAGACCACATTCCTGAGGAGGGGGATTGGAGGAGGGAGAGAGATACAAGATGGAGGGTCTTGAGCACGATGGATGACCGCGTCCATCTCTACGTACAATTGCTACAGGTACTCTGTATGGCTCCAAACATTGCCTGATGTTTACCATGTGACCACGAAGATAAACGTTTTGGACCCATTTTGAGGAATCTTTGGTGTGCTCTTACCATTTCTTCACTATGCTATGACCTTTCACCCTTTGTTAGCTGCAGCTGGTGGAGTTTCACATATAATTGTGTTCTTGGTTCTCTCGTTCTGCAGGTGGGACAGCTTCATGCAGCATTTCACCTTCTTCATCATCCGTCTTCTTATCCGCTTTGACTTTCTCACTGAAAACGAGCAGATTCGGCAGTTCCTTCAATCGTAGTTGGAGGTCACGGGACCTTCCACCACAGAACCTGCTACTGAACCTCCAGCCAGGAAGCTGGTTTGCCTCAGAGGCTGGATAAACATTTGCCAAAGCTGACACAATGCCAATATAACCTGTTTGTAAATGTCTTTCAACATGCAAGACAAAGCCAAAATCTGGACTTCCAGAACCTCATTAGAGGACAGTGTGTACATAGAGGACTATATAACAATGCAAATTATGGACCTTACCTTGTGATAGCTCTGTCTGGCTGTAGACATTGGAAAGATGGGCCGCAGGGGGCCACCTTCATACCAGGACTGTGATGGAGGGTAACGTTTTTAATATGTAAATATTCGGAATACAAGTCTGTTCCCATGAAAGCTTTGCAGGTCTGCAGATCTATTCAATAATAGCAGAGCTCCCGTTGAGTTTTGTGCAGAGACGACCAGAGGCACCAGCTTGGGCAGGCACTGTGGGGCTTATTCAGCCAGGGCGGGGCTTGTTCTAAGGCGGATGGGTATTTCAGGAATTGTTCTCTCTGGCCTGATCAGGCACAATGGAGCTTGTTCTCTGGCAAAGCTGGGCACCCCAGGGCTCATTCTCTTTGACCCCCCTCCATGCCTGATGGAGTATTCTGTCTAACCCAGTCAGGCATGGTGGAGCATGTTCTCTTTGGTCTGGTCAAGCACAATAGAGCTCATTCTCCCGGACCTTATTGGGCACCCCAGGGCTCTTTCTCTTTAGCACAGTCAGGCATGGTGGAGCTTGTTCTCTCTGACCTAGCGGGGCACCCCTGGGCTTCTTCTCTTTGGCTCAGTTAAGCATGGTGGAGCTTGTTCTCATTTGCCCACTTGGGTACCCCTGGGCTCATTCTCTCTGTAGTGAAGAAGCCCCTGGAGTACCCAACTGGACCAGTATGATGAGGCATGGCTGAGTATTCCAGGGCTTGTTCTCTCTAGTCTAGACAGGTATGATGGAGTTCATCTTCTCTAAGCCGCTGAAGCTCATTCTCTTTGGCCCAGCTGGGTACCTCAAGGCTTGGTCTCTCTTGCGTGGTAGAGCTTATTCTCTCTGACCTGGGCACTCCACGCTTCTTCTCTTTGGCTCAGTCAAGCATGGTGGAGCTTGGGGTACCCAACTGGACTAGTCTGGTCAGGCATGGCAGAGCCTTCTAGGGCTTGTTCTCTCTAGTCTAGACAAGTATGGAGCTCATTCTCTCTGGCTCAGTTGGGTACCCCAAGGCTTGGTCTTTCTTGCATGGGCGGGCACAGTAGAGCTGGTTCTCTCTGGATAGGTCAAGCATGGTGGAGCTTGTTCTGTGACCCAGTTAGGTACCCCAGGGCTTGTTCACTCAAGCCAAGTAAGGTACGAATCATCCTCTCCACCTGACATTTGACATTTTTAAGTAATTCTCCCTCAAGCAGGCAGAACATGCAAAATCCATTGCTTCCAGCAGAAGGGGAAAGAATTAACGATATCCTCCACAAAAACACTTCACGAGCGTAAGCCGTGAAGAGCCGGCAACTTGTCCTTCCAAATAAGTGACTATTTCATTCGAGTAGCGTGTACAGAGAAGACCGGCTTATGCGTTTCGGCAATAAGCCTTAATCAGAGCCATGGCTACTCAGATGAAATAAAGGAACTTGTCCGGAAGGCCACATTTCCGGCTCTTCGCTCCTTACTCTCAAGTTACATTGGTGTGGGGAAGACACCAGGAGCACCGTTGGTTTGCCTCCATTGGGAATTCATCGGGGCGTAGTATCTCCCTCTGTACAACACACACTTCATGTCTTCAGGAGCCTTGAACCCTTTTGCTGTCATTTCCATGTTGTGTTTTTTTGTAACACGTTTCAAAAAATAATTTTTTGCTGTAAAGATTGCATAAAACAAACATTTTATATTTTCTGAAGGAAGGCACCCTAGAGCGGGGGTAGACTACCTGTGAGTGGTGATCCACCTGAACACTGGATACTAATAACATAGAAAGTTGATCCAAGGATTATCCGATTGCCTCTCAGGGGATCAGGAAGGAATTTTTTTTTTCCCTGCGGGAGCAAATTGGATCGTGCTTTGTTGGGTTTTTTTATTTTGCCTTCCTCTGGATCAACTGTGGGTGGAGGATTATAACTTTTTCTTTTCTTTTTAATGGTTGAACTGGATGGACATTTGTCTTTTTTCAGCCAGACTAACTATGTAAAACATGAAAAAGATTACTGGGGTTTGGCACCTTCATATTTTTTTTAAAGGAATTAATGAGCAAGGTCTAACTGAATAGTAAAAAAAAAAAATAAATAAAACAAAAGTCACTGTAAAAATATAAACACAACCTACCGTAAAAGTGGCCGGTGGTGATAATTTATTTATTTTTTTAAGGAGCCCTTTGGTGAAGTAGCTGAGATCTAAGCAGACCCCTAAGCAGATCAGGGGTGGACTGACCATTTAGCCACTCAGGCACTGCCCGAGGGCCCAGGGTCAGTAGGGGGCCCCATGAGATGCCCCTGGTACCTTTCATAGGCTTTTTTGAGCGTGGGTGAGAATACAGGGGCCCCATGATCCCCTATTGCCCGGAGGCCTCATGAGTTGTCAGTGCGCCTCTGGTTAGAAGGAAGACATCCAGCCAATCCTGACTGTTAACCTCAGCAAGGCTCCGTGGGGGCGTGTCAAGCAGACTGACTACAGAGCTACAGGCATGATGTGGGTCTAATTAGAAGGCAGGCAAACTGACCAGGTGAATGTGGATTAGGGGCGGACTGACCATTTGGAAAGTCGGGCACTGTCTGAGGGACCGGGGTCAGTAGGGGGCCCCATGAGATGCCCCTGGTACCTTTTTTTTTGTAGGCTTTTTTGAGCTTGGGCAAGGACACAGGGGCCCCCTGATCCCCTATTGCCCGGGGGCCCCATGAGTTGTCAGTCCGCCCCTGACATGGATCCGTTTCCCTGCATGGGGGGGGGGGGGGTCAGAAACCTTTTTTGGGTGTGGGCAAGGTCACAGGGGCCCCATGAGTTGTCAGTCCACCCCTGCCCCTGATGTCTCACTTTTGAGATAGAAAAAAGGGACTGAGGACAGATTCGCCAGTCTTTGCTGCAGTTGTAATAGTCTGCGAACGAATGGGAAGCGTGTTGAGAGCCTTCCTGTTCATTCCTTTTCTGAATGAACACAGTGATCAGTACCAATCATTCTCTGTGTTCTTTCAGAAAAGGAAGGGGCTGGCCAATGGTCCCCTTTCCCCGCTCTCCATCCTGAAACATCTCCCTCAGGAGGTGGAGGACCCGAGCGGCAGAAAGAAGGGGAACCTGGAGAGGAAGGACAGCATTTCGTGGAAGCAGCTGTATTTTCCTCCTGCAGCAGTTGAACGCTGGGGGGAGGGAGGGAGAGAGGAAAAGTTGGCTTTTACCCAATTTTTGGAAAAATATAAAAGTTGAGATTGTACCGAGTAAATAGATACCAAACATGCCAAACCCTAAAATTGCGTGTGCCTGTAAAATGGCAACAAAAGGTACCCTATATTTTCCATAGGTGATGCATTGAAAGCCCCTCCAGGTCATCAGTTTGGAGGTTCACAGGAGCTCCGGTGCTAAAATGATCGCTCTCCAGCATGTGTGGCGCTACTTAGCGTGTTCCCATTCATATGTGTGTGTATATGAGGGGGAGGGCCCTCAATTTGGGGTGTAAGGGAATTCTTTTCACATAGGGGACAATAAGCAGTGCGTTTGATTCTTCTGTGGCCAGTAGAGGGGGACCCGAAAGTAAGGTCGCTTCCATGTCAGCACAGAGAGGAAGAAACCGACAGATCTCTCCTCTCTATGGGGCGGTACCTGACACACTGGTCCCAGGTATGCAGATGGGCAAGTGGAGTCCAAGATCCATGGCCGTGGCACAAATGTGGGGGGAACTCCCTTGTTCAGCCTGGGATAAATCTAATAGATTCCTCCATTCACATGGACAGCGTTGATGGAGGAACCGCTGTCAGATCCTGTATTCAAGCTGCTGCATCCGACTGGATGATACTTCTGACTGGAAAAAGTTGCTTTTCGGCCAACAATTTTCCACGCAACTTCTTTAAATTTTTCACTTCAAGATTGTCAAAGCCAGGTGGTGCCGACAGGCTGTATGTGGCCAGCTCACCCTTTTATACTGAGAGATGCCCCTGGGGTAATTCAATGGTTATGGACCTACTGCTCACCCTTTTATATGAAGAGATTCCCCGGAGGTAATCAGAGGGTTGTGATCCCCCAGTTCACCCATATATATGGAGAGATGCCCCAGGGGTAATCAGAGGGTTGTGACTGCTCCCCCCTCCTGGTTCACCCATGTATATGGAGAGATGCCCCAGGGGTAATCAAAGGTTGTGACCCCCCCAGTTCACCTATATATATGGAGAGATGCCCTAGGTAATCAGAGGGTTGTGACTGCTCCCCCCTCCTGGTTCACCCATGTATATGGAGAGATGCCCCGGGGGTAATCAAAGGGTTGTGACCCGCCCCAGTTCACCTATATATATGGAGAGATGCCCTGGGGGTAATCAGAGGGTTGTGACCCGCCCCAGTTCACCTATATATATGGAGAGATGCCCTGGGGGTAATCAGAGGGTTGTGACCCGCCCCAGTTCACCTATATATATGGAGAGATGCCCTGGGGGTAAGCGGAGGGTTGTGACCCGCCCCAGTTCACATATATATATGGAGAGATGCCCTGGGGGTAATCAGAGGGTTGTGACTGCTCCCTCCCCCCCCCTCCTGGTTCACCCATGTTTATGGAGAGATGCTCCAGGAATAATCAGAGGGTTGTGACCCCAGCAGTTCACCCATGTATATGGAGAGATGCCCTGGTGGTAATGCAATGGTTATGGACCTACTGCTCACCCTTTTATATGAAGAGATTCCCCGGAGGTAATCAGAGGGTTGTGATCCCCCCCCCAGTTCACCCATATATATGGAGAGATGCCCTGGTGGTAATCAGATGGTTGTGACTGCTCCCCCCTCCTGGTTCACCCATGTATATGAGAGAGATGCCCCAGGGGTAATCAAAGGGTTGTGACCCGCCCCAGTTCACCTATATATATGGAGAGATGCCCTGGGGGTAATCAGAGGGTTGTGACCCGCCCCAGTTCACCTATATATATGGAGAGATGCCCTGGGGGTAATCAGAGGGTTGTGACTGCTCCCCCCCCCCCCCCCTCCTGGTTCACCCATGTATATGGAGAGATGCCCTGGGAGTAATCAGATGGTTGTGACTGCTCCCCCCCCCCCCCTCCTGGTTCACCCATGTATATGGAGAGATGCCCTGGGAGTAATCAGATGGTTGTGACTGCTCCCCCCCTCCTGGTTCACCCATGTATATGGAGAGATGCCCTGGGAATAATCAGATGGTTGTGACCCCCTAATTCACCCATGTATATGGAGAGATGCCCCAGGGGTAATCAGATGGTCATGACCCCCCAGTTCACCCATGTATATGGAGAGATGCCCCGGGGGTAATCAGATGGTCATGACCCCCCAGTTCACCCATGTAAATGGAGAGATGCCCTGGGGGTAATCAGCTGGCTGTGACCCCCAGCTTACCAATGTATATGGAAAGATGCCCCAGGAGTAATCAGATGGTTGTGACTGCCCCCCTTCACCCATGTATATGGAGAGATGCCCTGGAGGTACGTAGAAGGTTGTGACCCCCAGTTTACCCATGTATATGGAGAGATGCCCCGGGGGGGAAGCAGATGCTCTTGATGGGTCTGGTTTTAGAGGGTAATCTTCCATTTTCTTCTCTGAGCCAGTTACCTTTTCCTCCTACATCTGAAGGGTTTCTGTCATCTTCATCCTTGGGGATGGGGGGGAGATGACGTCATGGCCTCCTCCCCCCTCACACTCTACCTATGCCGTGATCATTGCTATGTGATTGCTATAGTGATCCATCGTTGGCATCAGTGGGGGGGAGAACAGAGATCCATCGTTGGCGTCAGTGGGGGGGGGGGGGAGAACAGCGAGCCATCGTTGGCGTCAGTGGGGGGGGGAACAGCGAGCCATCGTTGGCGTCAGTGGGGGGGGGGGGGGGGGGAACAGCGAGCCATCGTTGGCGTCAGGGGGGGGGGGGGGGGGGGGGGGGGGGGACAGCGAGCCATCGTTGGCGTCAGTGGGGGGGGGGGGGGGGAACAGCGAGCCATCGTTGGCGTCAGTGGGGGGGGGGGAACAGCGAGCCATCGTTGGCGTCAGTGGGGGGGGGGGAACAGCGAGCCATCGTTGGCGTCAGTGGGGGGGGGGGGGGACAGCGAGCCATCGTTGGCGTCAGTGGGGGGGGGGGGAACAGCGAGCCATCGTTGGCGTCAGTGGGGGGGGGGGGGAACAGCGAGCCATCGTTGGCGTCAGTGGGGGGGGGGAACAGCGAGCCATCGTTGGCGTCAGTGGGGGGGGGGGGGGAACAGCGAGCCATCGTTGGCGTCAGTGGGGGGGGGGGGGGGGAACAGCGAGCCATCGTTGGCGTCAGTGGGGGGGGGGGGGGGGGGGGAAACAGCGAGCCATCGTTGGCGTCAGTGGGGGGGGGGGGGGCGAACAGCGAGCCATCGTTGGCGTCAGTTGGGGGGGGGGGGACAGCGAGCCATCAAATCAAATATGTCAGTGGATCACTATTCCTCCCCCTGACGCCAACGATAGGGCACCCATCGTTAGTATCAGTGGGGGGGGGGGGGGAATAGTGATCCATCATTGGCATCAGTTGAAGGAATAGTGCCCCATCATTGGCGTCAGTAGAAGGAATGGTGCCCCAATGTTGGTGTGGGGGGAGGAATACCAATGATGGGGCACTATTCCTCCCCCCACACCAATGATGGGGCATCATTCCTGCCACTGACACCAACGATGGGTCACTATCCCCCCCCCCCCACACTGTTACCAATGATGGGGCACTATCAGTGAGAGGAATGGTGCCCCACCATATGTGCCAGTGGGAGGAATGGTGCCCCATCATTGGTGTCAGTGGGAACGACCCTGGATGATGCTTGCACAAAGATGATGCTGTCTTCTCAGAGAGGAAATCAGATGGCAGCATTATCATGGGGAGTCCTGTGGTCTCTATGAGAGGTAATAAATACCTGTGGTACATTGGTGGTTGTACAGTCTGTGGTTTACAATGACTTGCGTATACCATCTACTATAATGATTTCCAGTCCTGCCGCCATTTGCAATTATGTCCCCCAGGCGGCGTCTCCCCCTATCTTATGCCTTCTTATTAGTAGAGCAGAGATTACTGAGCTTACAAGGACCGGCACCAGATGCCTTCATTACGAGGGCGGCACTGAATTGCAATGCCTTACATATGCCACAATGAGGTCATCTTCATACCTCCCCATCCTCCCATCCCCACCATGGAGAGCTCGCCTCCCCTCCATTACCCAACGGAGAGCTCGCCTCCCCTCCATTACCCAACGGAGAGCTCGCCTCCCCTCCATTACCCAACGGAGAGCTCGTTCCCCCTCCATTACCCAACGGAGAGCTCGCCTCCCCTCCATTACCCAACGGAGAGCTCGCCTCCCCTCCATTACCCAACGGAGAGCTCGCCTCCCCTCCATTACCCAACGGAGAGCTCGCCTCCCCTCCATTACCCAACGGAGAGCTCGCCTCCCCTCCATTACCCAACGGAGAGCTCGCCTCCCCTCCATTACCCAACGGAGAGCTCGCCTCCCCTCCATTACCCAACGGAGAGCTCGCCTCCCCTCCATTACCCAACGGAGAGCTCGCCTCCCCTCCATTACCCAACGGAGAGCTCGCCTCCCCTCCATTACCCAACGGAGAGCTCACCTCCCCTGTATATGACACATATGGAAATAAAAATCAGACTTTGTATGAAACAACCTCTTATATTTACAAAACAGAACCTCTAAAATGACGGTTGGCAGTTGTAGATGTTGGGTGTCGATGAGCTCCCTCCCGGACTTTGCTCTGGCAGGAACCAATGGAGCGCAACGTTGTGCGAAAACTGTGATATGAATATAAAAACCCACAAAATATACAAAGACATGTCCAGTCCAAAAAAAAAAAAATAATAGGGCTCAGAAATGAGATGTCACCCGATCAATTTCCAGCAAATCTTCCATAATCTGAGGAGAGAGAACAGACGATGGATGTGAGAGACCCGCAGCATGGAGGAGGGGAAGAACAGCCAGCAGGGGGCGCACTAATACCACCTACAACCCTCGATCCTCTCTTCTATAGGCCAATGAGGACACCTGAACGAAAAAGCACCAATACCGCCTACAGACCTCCCCCACCCCTTCTATAAACCAATGAAGACACCTGGCAAGGGGAGCACAAATACCGCCTACAGACCTCCCCCACCCCTTCTATAAACCAATGAGGACACCTGGCAAGGGGAGCACCAATACCACCTAAAGACCTCCCCCCATCCCTTCTATAGACCAATGAGGACACCTGACAGGGGGAGCACCAATAACGCCTACAGACCTCCCCCACCTCTTCTATAGACCAATGAGGACACCTGACAGGGGGCGCACCAATACCGCCTACAGACCTCCCCCACCCCTTCTATAGACCATTGAGGACACCTGAAAGGGGGAGCACCAATACCACCTAAAGACCTCCCCCCCATCCCTTCTATATATACCAATGAGGACACCTGACCAGGGGCGTACCAATACCGCCTACAGACCTCCCCCACCCCTTCTATAGACCAATGAAGACACCTGACAGGGGGAGCACCAATACCACCTAAAGACCTCCCCCCGTTCCTTCTATAGACCAATGAGGACACCTGACAGGGGGCGCACCAATACCGCCTACAGACCTCCCCCACCCCTTCTATAGACCAATGAGGACACCTGACAGGGGGCGCACCAATACCGCCTACAGACCTCCCCCACCCCTTCTATAGACCAATGAGGACACCTGACAGGGGGAGCACCAATACCGCCTACAGACCTCCCCCACCCCTTCTATAGGCCAATGAGGACACCTGGCAGGGGGAGCACCAATACCGCCTACAGACCTCCCCCACCCCTTCTATAGACCAATGAGGACACCTGACAGGGGGAGCACCAATACCACCTACAGACCTCCCCACCCCTTCTATAGACCAATGAGGACACCTGACAGGGGGAGCACCAATACCGCCTACAGACCTCCCCATCCCTTCTATAGACCAATGAGGACACCTGACAGGGGGAGCACCAATACCGCCTACAGACCTCCCCCACCCCTTCTATAGGCCAATGAGGACACCTGACAGGGGGAGCACCAATACCACCTACAGACCTCCCCCACCCCTTCTATAGACCATTGAGGACACCTGACAGGGGGAGCACCAATACCACCTACAGACCTCCCCCACCCCTTCTATAGACCATTGAGGACACCTGACAGGGGGCACACCAATACCGCCTACAGACCTCCCCCACCCTTCTATAGGCCAATGAGGACACCTGACAGGGGGCACACCAATACCGCCTACAGACCTCCCTCACCCCTTACGTAGATTAGGCATGAGGGATGAAATCTGGACAGAATATTCTGCTCTTACGATTTCCGTGGTGGTCCCGATCTTCTTGGCGAGCTCGCTGCGTTCCATGCTGCTCAGATACAAGAAGCGGTTTAGCAGTTCGCCATCCAAAACGTTCTTCACGGCGTTCTGAAGGGGTGCGGCGGCCGCTGTGCAACATCCTGAGGTGAAGAAAAGAGAAATCACAGATTTTCCAGAGATTGTAATCAAAACATTCACCACTTTGAAGGTGTCACCCCCTTCATGACCAGGCCACTTTCTGCTATTCAGCACTGCGCTACTGATAACTGCGCAGTCATGCAACACTGTAGACAAATGAAATTTATATCATTTTGTCACACAAATAGAACTTTCTTTTGGTGGCATTTGATCACCACTGGAGTTTTTTTGGTATAGAAAACGAAAAAAGACTGAACATTTTTTTTTTTAAAAAAAACTCATTTTTCTTTGTTAAATTATAACATTTTGTAAATAAATAATTTTTCTTCATAAATTTAGACCAAAATATATTCTGCTACATTTCTTTGGTATAAATAATCCAAATCGGTGCATATTAATTGCTTTGTGTGAAAGTTATCGACTCTACAAACTGTGGGATATATATCTGAAAATCGATCAATCCTGATGTGCTGACGGCCGAACTCATTTCCTGAGGCCCTAAAATGTCAGGACGGTACAAATCCCCCCCAAATGTCAGGACGGTACAAATCCCCCCAAATGTCAGGACGGTACAAATCCCCCCAAATGTCAGGACTGTACAAATCCCCCCAAATGTCAGGACTGTACAAATCCCCCCCCAAATGTCAGGACGGTACAAATCCCCCCCAAAATGTCAGGACGGTACAAATCCCCCCCAAATGTCAGGACGGTACAAATCCCCCCCAAATGTCAGGACGGTACAAATCCCCCCCAAATGTCAGGACGGTACAAATCCCCCCAAATGTCAGGACTGTACAAATCCCCCCCAAATGTCAGGACGGTACAAATCCCCCCAAATGTCAGGATGGTACAAATCCCCCCCAAATGTCAGGACTGTACAAATCCCCCCCAAATGTCAGGACTGTACAAATCCCTCCAAATGTCAGGACGGGACAAAACCCCCCCAAATGTCAGGACTGTACAAATCCCCCCCAAAATGTCAGGACGGGACAAAACCCCCCCCAAATGTCAGGACGGGACAAATCCCCCCCAAATGTCAGGACGGTATAAAAAACCCCCCAATTGTCAGGACGGTACAAATCCCCCCAATTGTCAGGACGGTACAAATCCCCCCAAATGTCAGGACGGTACAAATCCCCCCAAATGTCAGGACGGTACAAAACCCCCCCAAATGTCAGGACGGTACAAATCTCCCCCCAAATGTCAGGACGGTACAAATCCCCCCCAAATGTCAGGACGGTACAAATCCCCCCAAATGTCAGGACGGTACAAGTCCCCCCAAATGTCAGGACGGTACAAGTCCCCCCAAATGTCAGGACGGTACAAACCCCCCCAAATGTCAGGACGGGACAAAACCCCCCCAAATGTCAGGACGGGACAAACCCCCCCAAATGTCAGGACGGTACAAACCCCCCCAAATGTCAGGACGGTACAAATCTCCCCCCAAATGTCAGGACGGTACAAGTCCCCCCCAAATGTCAGGACGGTACAAGTCCCCCCAAATGTCAGGACGGTACAAGTCCCCCCAAATGTCAGGACGGTACAAGTCCCCCCAAATGTCAGGACGGTACAAATCCCCCCAAATGTCAGGACGGTACAAAACCCCCCCAAATGTCAGGACGGTACAAATCTCCCCCAAATGTCAGGACGGTACAAATCCCCCCCAAATGTCAGGACGGTACAAATCCCCCCAAATGTCAGGACGGTACAAATCCCCCAAATGTCAGGACGGTACAAGTCCCCCCAAATGTCAGGACGGTACAAGTCCCCCTAAATGTCAGAACGGTACAAGTCCCCCCAAATGTCAGGACGGTACAAGTCCCCCCAAATGTCAGGACGGTACAAATCCCCCCAAATGTCAGGACGGTACAAATCCCCCCAAATGTCAGGACGGTACAAATCCCCCCAAATGTCAGGACGGTACAAATCCCCCCAAATGTCAGGACGGTACAAATCCCCCCCAAATGTCAGGACGGTACAAATCCCCCCCAAATGTCAGGACGGTACAAATACCCCCAAATGTCAGGACGGTACAAATCCCCCCAAATATCAGGACAGTACAAATCCCCCAAATTACCCTTTTTGGAAAGTAGACAGTCTGAGGTTTTTAGTAAGAGGCATGGCAAGTTTTTTTGAGGTTGCAATTTTTTTGGAAAATGAAGATATTACAGGTAAGGTACCATGTGTTAGCTGTGAGCCAATCACAGCATCACACAACAGCAAGCAAGCTGTCATGAATGAAAGACATTCGACTTACACTTTTCCTCCTACTGACACCAATGATGGGGCACTATTCCTCCCACTGACACCAATGATGGGGCACTATTCCTCCCACTGACACCAATGATGGGGCACTATTCCTCCAACTGACACCAATGATGGGGCACTATTCCTCCCACTGACACCAATGATGGGGCACTATTCCTCCCACTGACACCAATGATGGGGCACTATTCCTCCCACTGACACCAAAGATGGGGCACTATTCCTCCCACTGACACCAAAGATGGGGCACTATTCCCCCCACTGACACCAATGATGGGGCACTATTCCTCCCACTGACACCAATGATGGGGCACTATTCCCCCCACTGACACCAATGATGGGGCACTATTCCTCCCACTGACACCAATGATGGGGCACTATCCCTCCCACTGACACCAATGATGGGGCACTATTCCTCCCACTGACACCAATGATGGGGCACTATTCCTCCCACTGACACCAATGATGGGGCACTATTCCTCCCACTGACACCAATGACGGGGCACTATTCCTCCCACTGACACCAATGACGGGGCACTATTCCTCCCACTGACACCAATGACGGGGCACTATTCCTCCCACTGACACCAATGACGGGGCACTATTCCTCCCACTGACACCAATGACGGGGCACTATTCCCCCCACTGACACCAATGACGGGGCACTATTCCTCCCACTGACACCAATGACGGGGCACTATTCCTCCCACTGACACCAATGACGGGGCACTATTCCTCCCACTGACACCAATGACGGGGCACTATTCCTCCCACTGACACCAATGATGGGGCACTATTCCTCCCACGGATACCAATGATGGGGCACTATTCCTCCCACTGATACCAATGACGGGGCACTATTCCTCCCACTGACACCAATGATGGGGCACTATTCCTCCCACTGACACCAATGATGGGGCACTATTCCTCCCACTGATACCAATGATGGGGCACTATTCCTCCCACTGATACCAATGACGGGGCACTATTCCTCCCACTGATACCAATGATGGGGCACTATTCCTCCCACTGACACCAATGATGGGGCACTATTCCTCCCACTGACACCAATGATGGGGCACTATTCCCCCCACTGACACCAACGATGGGGCACTATTCCTCCCACTGACACCAATGATGGGGCACTATTCCTCCAACTGACACCAATGAGCAGGCACTATTCCTCCCACTGACACCAAATGATGGGGCACTATTCCCCCACTGACACCAACGATGGGGCACTATTCCTCCCACTGACACCAATGATGGGGCACTATTCCTCCAACTGACACCAATGAGCAGGCACTATTCCTCCAAATGACACCAATGATGGGGCACTATTCCTCCAAATGATACCAATGATGGGGCACTATTCCTTCCACTGACACCAATGATGGGCCACTATTCCTCCCCCCAATACAAAAGATGGGACACTGTTCACTCCCACTGGGCACACCCGACCTCCCTAACGTCTGAAGGACAGTACACTGGCCCTTTGTTCAGAAAGTTTGGAGACCCCCGATCTAGGAGATTGGCAACACAGCTCTGCCTATGTAAACAAAGCACAGCTGTGTCCTGTCAGTGGCAGTGTGCTGGATTCTCTTTCCCTGCAAGCAGGGAATACAATCCAGCACACTACCTAGTGAAAAACAACACACACAGTACACTTTACACATAGCTAGGCTCACAGATAACCCCTTGATCACCCGAGAGGTTTAACCCCTTACCAGCCAGTGTCATTAGTACAGTGTACACTGATCACTGTATTGGTGTCACTGGTTCCTGCAAAGTGCCAGTTGGTGTCAGTTAGTGTCCGATTGTCCACCACAATATCGCAGTCACACTATAAGTCGCCCTTGCTTGGTGTCACCAGCATACATCAGCACACAGTACCTGCCCTTGTTTGGTGTCACCAGCATACATCAGCACACAGTACCTGCCCTTGTTTGGTGTCACCAGCATACATCAGCACACGTACCTGCCCTTGTTTGGTGTCACCAGCATACATCAGCACACAGTACCTGCCCTTGTTTGGTGTCACCAGCATACATCAGCACACGTACCTGCCCTTGTTTGGTGTCACCAGCATAAATCAGCACACAGTACCTGCCCTTGTTTGGTGTCACCAGCATACATCAGCACACAGTACCTGCCCTTGTTTGGTGTCACCAGCATACATCAGCACACAGTACCTGCCCTTGTTTGGTGTCACCAGCATACATCAGCACACAGTACCTGCCCTTGTTTGGTGTCACCAGCATACATCAGCACACAGTACCTTGTTTGGTGTCACCAGCATACATCAGCATACAGTACCTGCCCTTGTTTGGTGTCACCAGCATACATCAGCACACAGTACCTGCCCTTGTTTGGTGTCACCAGCATACATCAGCACACGTACCTGCCCTTGTTTGGTGTCACCAGCATACATCAGCACACGTACCTGAAGGCTTTGGGATTCAGCCCGGCGTGGTGCGGGATCCAGGTGAGGAGATGATTCTGTAACATCAGCAATCTGCGATACGTCTTCTCTTGCATGGGCAGCAGGAGGCCAACGCCGCCGTCCAGCGTAGCGAACCACGTGATCTGTTTGTTGTCCCACAATGCCGTTTTACGACTGGAGCCTTCATTGGCTCCACGGCACGGAGTCCTCCAGAAAGTGTTGACGTGGGAGCCCGCGTGGAAGTCTGCTCGTCTCAGGAGGCGCAATCCCCCAAAACTTTCCTTTGCTGGAACACATAATGGAGACATAGAACCAGCGTCAGGACAGGGGGGCTGTGATGGAAACCTCCTGCCTCCAGGGTCACCAAGACATGGAGCTCCAGACTAGGACATGGCTGATGACGTAGGTGATGACCCTGTTTGACATGGCTGGTGACGTAGGTGATGACCCTGTTGGACATGGCTGGTGACGTAGGTGATGACCCTGTTGGACATGGCTGGTGACGTAGGTGATGACCCTGTTGGACATGGCTGGTGACGTAGGTGATGACCCTGTTGGACATGGCTGGTGACGTAGGTGATGACCCTGTTGGACATGGCTGGTGACGTAGGTGATGACCCTGTTGGACATGGCTGGTGACGTAGGTGATGACCCTGTTGGACATGGCTGGTGACGTAGGTGATGACCCTGTTGGACATGGCTGGTGACGTAGGTGATGACCCTGTTGGACATGGCTGGTGACGTAGGTGATGACCCTGTTGGACATGGCTGGTGACGTAGGTGATGACCCTGTTGGACATGGCTGGTGACGTAGGTGATGACCCTGTTGGACATGGCTGGTGACGTAGGTGATGACCCTGTTGGACATGGCTGGTGACGTAGGTGATGACCCTGTTGGACATGGCTGGTGACGTAGGTGATGACCCTGTTGGACATGGCTGGTGACGTAGGTGATGACCCTGTGACGTAGGTGACACCCTGTTGGACATGGCTGGTGACGTAGGTGATGACCCTGTTGGACATGGCTGGTGACGTAGGTGATGACCCTGTTGGACATGGCTGGTGACGTAGGTGATGACCCTGTTGACATGGCTGGTGACGTAGGTGATGACCCTGTTGGACATGGCTGGTGACGTAGGTGATGACCCTGTTGGACATGGCTGGTGACATAGGTGTGACCCTGTTGGACATGGCTGGTGACCTGTGATTGTTGGACATGGCTGGTGACGTAGGTGATGACCCTGTTTGACATGGCTGGTGACGTAGGTGATGACCCTGTTGGACATGGCTGGTGACATAGGTGATGACCCTGGACTCACAGAGGAAAAAAGGAATAGCTCACCTGCTGGAAGGTACATATAAAGGAGGAGGTTCCGGTCCCGGTCAGACACTGTAACATAAAGGAGGTTGGTAAATAAGATCTCAGAGTCCTGGCCCCTCCCTCTCCCCCCCCATCTTCATCACTTGGAACTCACCGAGGAAGCCAAGCTGATTGTTGTCCACCAGGAACTCCACACTGTACACCTCCAGGGGCTTCACATCCTGAGAGAAAAGGGAGAGTCAGAGATTGATGGAGAGTCAACTGATCACCAACAATGACATTTCTGGAGGTCAGAAGGATATGGGAAAGGGGAGGAGCATGCACCCTGCTGACCAATGACAGGGAAGGGGATAGGGGAGGGGGCGTGCACTCGCCCTGCTGTCCAATGACAGGGAAGGGATAGGAGAGGGGGCGTGCACTCACCCAGCTGATCAATGACGGGGAAGGCATAGGGGAGGGTTGTGCGCTCACTCTGCTGACCAGTGTGACAAGGAAGGGATAGGGGAGGGGGTGTGCACTTGCCCTGCTGACCAATAACAAGGAAGGGATAGGGAAGGGGCGTGCACTCACCCTGCTGACCAATGACAGAAGGGATAGGGGAGGGGGCGTGCACTCACCCTGCTGACCAATGACAGAAGGGATAGGAGAGGGGTGTGCACTCACCCTACTGACCAGTGACAAGGAAGAGATAGGGGAGGGGCGTGCACTCACCCTGCTGACCAATGACAGAAGGGATAGGAGAGGGGTGTGCACTCACCCTACTGACCAGTGACAAGGAAGAGATAGGGGAGGGGTGTGCACTCACCCTACTGACCAGTGACAAGGAAGAGATAGGGGAGGGGTGTGCACTCACCTGGCTGACCAATGACAGGGAAGGAATAGGAGAAGGGTGTGCACTCACCCGGCTGACCAATGACAGGGAAGGAATAGGGGAAGGGTGTGCACTCACCCGGCTGACCAATGACAGGGAAGGAATAGGGGAAGGGTGTGCACTCACCCGGCTGACCAATGACAGGGAAGGAATAGGGGAAGGGCGTGCACTCACCCTGCTGACCAATGACAGGGAAGGGGATAGGGGCGGGGACGTGCACTCACCCGGCTGATCAATGACAGGGAAGGGAAGGGATAGGGGAGGGGCATGCACTCACCCGGCTGACCAATGACAGGGAAGGGGATAGGGGCGGGGACGTGCACTCACCCGGCTGATCAATGACAGGGAAGGGGATAGGGGAAGGGCATGCACTCTCCCTGCTGACCAATGACAGGGAAGGGAAGGGATAGGGGAGGGGCATGCACTCATCCTACTGACCAATCACAGAGAAGGGATAGGGGAAGGGCGTGCACTCACCCTGGTGACCAATGACAGGAAAGGGATAGGGGAGGGGGCGTGCACTCACCCGGCTGACCAATGACAGGGAAGAGATAGGGGAGGGGGGGCGTGTACTCTCCCTGCTGACCAATGACAGGGAAGGAATAGGGGAAGGGCGTGCACTCACCCTGCTGACCAATGACAGGGAAGGAATAGGGGAAGGGCGTGCACTCACCCTGCTGACCAATGACAGGGAAGGGGATATGGGAGGAGATGTGCACTCACCCTGCTGACCAATGACCGGGAAGGGATAGGGGAGGGGGCGTGCACTCACCCTGGTGACCAATGACAGAGAAGGGAAGGAATAGGGGAGGGGGCGTGCACTCACCCTGGTGACCAATGACAGAGAAGGGAAAGGATAGGGGAGGGGGCGTGCACTCACCCGGCTGACCAATGACAGGGTTTTGCTCTCCTCCTGGTAGCGCAGCAGTGAGATGCTTTTCATCAGATCTGCAGCCAGAATGAAGTTCTTTACGCTGATCATCTGGTGGATATAAAGCTGAGTGTCGATGAACGCCATCCCCGTCAGATCGTTGTCCTTCAGACTCCAGAGGAAGATCTAGGAAGGATGACAAAATTCCCATAATGCACAGGGGTCTGAAGACATGTCCATATTTCCCAAGCAGAGAGTCTGGATTGTACTGGGTTGCCATACAAACAATATGGCGGCCATCTCCTTGCTCTTATCTCCGATCCTCCTCCTAATTTCTCTCAGATAGCCAAAGAGAAGAAAATCCAAGGGGGGGGGGGGTCAGGCTTTCAGGACGTGGAGTCTAAACCGTCACAAAGCATGATGGGAGGTTCCCAGCACCCCCCAGAAACCATCCTCCATTACTCACCTTCTGGCCAATGGCCGTCACCAGATAGCCGTTACAATGGCAAAGGGCGGTGACCGGACCCTTCTGCTCCTTTTCATACAGAACCTTGAACTTGTTCTTGGTCAGAGGCTGCCCCGGCTCCGGGACCACTTCTATGATGTCCATGATAAGTATCTGAAGATGGGGAGAGAGCAGCAATAATGAGGACCTGGTGATGTAAAGATTAGTGTGCTCTGGGCACTTCGTATCAAACCACTGATGTCTCAGGGCAGGATTATGGATGGTGACAACAATGGATCTGAGTAAGGTGTTGAAACAGCCATTTATAGACTCCGTCAGAAGTCCCTGTGACAGAGTGACTATGCACAACTGGGAGACAGAGTGTTGTCACCCTATAACAGGAAATGCCTGAAGAAGGACCTTCCTGACCTGGATCACCAGGGATTACATTCCAATATTTGCTTTTTTACAGACAATATATCTCTTGAAACCAGGAAATTATCCTCTGTCCATATTTCAGCAGTCACGAACCCATTCATCCCATTCCTAGTCTGTTCTGGCTGCCCGACTTTGCCTATCTACAGTTTTCTTGTGTGTCTGACCCTTCATCCCAGGACTTACAATGGAAAGCGGAAATGGCTTCCCATAATGTGACTTACCCGCCCTCTACAGGTCACTTCCTCTCCCTGCATCAGACATGTGCCCACTGCAATGTACCCCTTTAGGCCAGACACCGTCTCTTCACTCTTCAAGTTGACGGTTTTCATGCAGGTGACGTGCTCCCATTCCTCCAAATCGATCCTGAAATACAGAGAAGATGCTGGCTTTATACCACATAACAGACCAGAAGCTGAAACCACTGTCCTCCTAAACACAGACCTTCAACCAAAAACCACCGTCCTCCTAGACACAGACCTTCTACTGAAAACTGCTATCATAAAAATAAATCTTCAAAAAACCACTACTGAACACAGACCTTCAACCAAAACTACTGTCCTCCTTAACATAGACCTTCAACCAAAACTACTGTCCTGAACATAGACCTTCAACCAAAACTACTGTCCTCCTGAACACAGACCTTCAACCAAAACTACTGTCCTGAACATAGACCTTCAACCAAAACTACTGTCCTCCTGAACACAGACCTTCAACCAAAACTACTGTCCTGAACACAGACCTTCAACCAAAACTACTGTCCTCCTGAACATAGACCTTCAACCAAAACTACTGTCCTCCTGAACAGAGACCTTCAACCATACTGTCCTCCTGAACATAGACCTTCAACCATACTGTCCTCCTGAACATAGACCTTCAACCATACTGTCCTCCTGAACATAGACCTTCAACCATACTGTCCTCCTGAACATAGACCTTCAACCAGAACTACTGTCCTCCTGAACATAGACCTTCAACCAAAACTACTGTCCTCCTGAACATAGACCTTCAACCAAAACTACTGTCCTCCTGAACATAGACCTTCAACCAAAACTACTGTCCTCCTGAACATAGACCTTCAGCCAAAACTACTGTCCTCCTGAACATAGACCTTCAACCAAAACTACTGTCTCCTGAACATAGACCTTCAGCCAAAACTACTGTCCTCCTGAACATAGACCTTCAACCAAAACTACTGTCCTCCTGAACATAGACCATCAACCAAAATTACTGTCTTCCTGAACATAAACCGTCAACCAAAACTACTGTCCTCCTGAACACAGACCTTAAACCAAAACTACGGTCCTCTTGACCACGGACCTTCAACCATACTGTCCTCCTGAAGATAGACCGTCAACCAAAACTACCGTCTTCCTGAACACAGACCTTCAACCATACCATCCTCCTGAACACAGACCTTCAACCATACCATCCTCCTGAACACAGACCTTCAACCATACCTTCCTCCTGAACACAGACCTTCAACCATACCATCCTCCTGAACACAGACCTTCAACCACACCTTCCTCCTGAACACAGACCTTCAACCATACCATCCTCCTGAACACAGGCATTCAATCATACCATCCTCCTGAACACAGACATTCAACCATACTGTTCTAAACAAAGACATTCAACCATACTGTCATCCTAAACACAGACCTTCAACCGAAAACCACCATACTCCTAGACACAGGCTTTCCACTGAAAACTGCTATCCTGAAAATAAATCTTCAAATAACCACTGTCCTACTTGGACCTTCAACCAAAACTACTGTCCTCCTGAACACAGACCTTAAACCAAAACTACAGTCCTCTTGACCACGGACCTTCAACATACTGTCCTCCTGAACATAGACCTTCAACCAAACTACTACTGTCCTCCTGAACATAGACCTTCAACCAAAACTACTGTCTTCCTGAACATAGACCTTCAACCAAAACCACTGTCTTCCTGAACATAGACCTTCAACCAAAACTACTGTCCTCCTGAACACAGACCTTCAACCATACCATCCTCCTGAACACAGACCTTCAACCATACCATCCTCCTGAACACAGACCTTCAACCATACCTTCCTCCTGAACACAGACTTTCAACCATACCATCCTCCTGAACACAGACCTTCAACCATACCATCCTCCTGAACACAGACCTTCAACCATACCATCCTCCTGAACACAGACCTTCAACCATACCATCCTCCTGAACACAGACCTTCAACCATACCATCCTCCTGAACATAGACCTTCAACCATACCATCCTCCTGAACACAGACCTTCAACCATACCATCCTCCTGAACACAGACCTTCAACCATACCATCCTCCTGAACACAGACCTTCAACCATACCATCCTCCTGAACACAGACCTTCAACCATACCATCCTCCTGAACACAGACCTTCAACCATACCATCCTCCTGAACACAGACCTTCAACCATACCATCCTCCTGAACACAGACCTTCAACCATACCATCCTCCTGAACACAGACCTTCAACCATACCATCCTCCTGAACACAGACCTTCAACCATAACCCACTGTTTTCTTAAACACAGGCTTTAAAAAATGAATACCTATAAATAAACTGGCCACATTAGTGCACACAAACCATTAACCGAATACTGGCCTCATTACTGAACACAAACCAACCAAAGCTTGAACTCATTACTGCTCACAGACCTTTAACCAAAACCATGGTCTCACATCAAAACAAAGACCTTCAACCAAGAACCACTGGCATCACTCCTGAACACTGAGCTTCAACCAATAACTTGTGGCCTCACTCCTGAACACAAAGGCATTGATAATTTAATGAGGACACAAGGCAATGCCGTCCTAAGTGCTCACAGGGTAAGGAGGCCCCCATTATGGGAAAAGATGGCTGAGAAAGTGATGGGGAAGAGGCCCCTGGCATGAGGGAACATCATTGAGAAAGTCTTCATTGCTTTTTGTGGTGTTTTCTTGTCATCTGTCTAACTACTGGAATATACAGGAGTTAGACACAAATATGGAAACACTCCTGATTTGCAGGAAGTGCAAAGCGGAGTGATGTAACATTCTTTCACTTCCGCTGTGCGATGAGACACCTAGCTAACAGGTGGGAAGCCTCACTTTCCTCAATCACTGCTGCTAGTAATATGGAGTCAAGTCAAAGCTTACTGAGCTGTAAAGAAATTGTTGGTGCTGCTTAGCTGGCACCTCTGTGACTGAAGTTGCCGATTTGCTGTGTGGCGAGGTTCAGTATTAAAGGTTATGACGGCATATACAGTTTCCGGGAAAATATCATCTATAAGCATAAGCACCGCCCACATGGTCACCTGACCAAAAGAGACAAAAGGACAATGCGCAGGATTGTGACCCGATAAAATAAGAAAACAAGTGACTGCAGAGCCTAACCTTAGTCTTCACATGACTCAGGAACTGAGATTGAGCTGTGCAATTACTTTTGTTGTTTTCCGATTTCGGGTCACAATCCTGCGCAATCTCCTTTTGTCTCTTTCGGTCAGGTGACCATGTGGGCGGTGCTTATGCTTAGAGACGATGTTTTCCCAGAAACTGTATATGTCACTATAACCTTTGATACTGGATATCACAACACGGTAAATAAATTGGCAACTTCAGTCACAGAGGCACCAGCTGAGCGGCACCAACATTTGCCGTCTTTGAAGCTCCGTAAGCTCTGACATGACTCCGTATTACTAGCAGCGCACGCTGTGAATGAGGAAAGAGGCTTCCCACCGTAGCTAGGTGTCTCATCACACAGCGAATGCCAAAAAAAGTTACATCCCTTCTGCTTTCACCGCCAAACATGGCGTCACTTCCACACTCGCAAATCATGAAGCGTTTCCATATTTTTGTCTAACCCCTGAACTAATTACGCATTAAAATAAAGCAGCATTGTTTGATAAATGATAGATTTGCTCAGCAATCCTGGACCCAGGAATCTGCTGCTGAAGGCGGAGGGGCGTTCCAGAGATCCAAGGCGGAGGGGCGTCCCGGGGATTGTCCCAGTGATCCGAGGCGGAGGGGCGTCCCGGGGATTGTCCCAGGGATCTGAGGCGGAGGGGCGTCCCAGGGATCCGAGGCGGAGGGGCGTCCCGGGGATTGTCCCAGGGATCCGAGGCGGAGGGGCGTCCCGGGGATTGTCCCAGGGATCCGAGGCGGAGGGGCGTCCCGGGGATTGTCCCAGGGATCCGAGGCGGAGGGGCTTCCCGGGGATTGTCCCAGGGATCCGAGGCGGAGGGGCTTCCCGGGGATTGTCCCAGGGATCCGAGGCAGAGGGGCGTCCCAGGGATTGTCCCAGGGATCCGAGGCGGAGGGGCGTCCCGGGGATTGTCCCAGGGATCCGAGGCGGAGGGGCGTCCCGGGGGTTGTCCCAATAATCCAAGGAGAAGGGGCATCCTGAGGATTGTCCCAGGGATCCAAGGAGGAGGGGCGTCCCAGGGATCCAAGGAGGAGGAGGGGCGTCCCGGGGATTGTCCCAGGGATCCGAGGCGGAGGGGCGTCCCGGGGATTGTCCCAGGGATCCGAGGCGGAGGGGCGTCCCGGGGATTGTCCCAGGGATCCGAGGCGGAGGGGCGTCCCGGGGATTGTCCCAGGGATCCGAGGCGGAGGGGCGTCCCGGGGATTGTCCCAGGGATCCGAGGCGGAGGGGCGTCCCGGGGATTGTCCCAGGGATCCGAGGCGGAGGGGCGTCCCGGGGATTGTCCCAGGGATCCGAGGCGGAGGGGCGTCCCGGGGATTGTCCCAGGGATCCGAGGCGGAGGGGCGTCCCGGGGATTGTCCCAGGGATCCGAGGCGGAGGGGCGTCCCGGGGATTGTCCCAGGGATCCGAGGCGGAGGGGCGTCCCGGGGATTGTCCCAGGGATCCGAGGCGGAGGGGCGTCCCGGGGATTGTCCCAGGGATCGAGGGCGGAGGGGCGTCCCGGGGATTGTCCCAGGGAATCCGAGGCGGAGGGGCGTCCCGGGGATTGTCCCAGGAATCCGAGGCGGAGGGGCGTCCCGGGGATTGTCCCAGGGATCCGAGGCGGAGGGGCGTCCCGGGGATTGTCCCAGGGATCCGAGGCGGAGAGGGCGTCCCGGGGATTGTCCCAGGGATCCAAGGCGGAGGGGCGTCCCGGGGATTGTCCCAGGGATCCGAGGCGGAGGTGTCCCGGGGATTGTCCCAGGGATCCGAGGGAGAGAGGAGGCGTCCCGGGGATTGTCCCAGGGATCCGAGGCGGAGGGGCGTCCCGGGGATTTTCCCAGGGATCCGAGGCGGAGGGGCATCCCGGGGATTGTCCCAGGGATCCAAGGCGGAGGGGGCATCCCGGGGATTGTCCCAGGGATCCAAGGCGGAGGGGTGTCCCGGGGATTGTCCCAGGGATCCGAGGCGGAGGGGCGTCCTGGGGATTGTCCCAGGGATCCAAGGCGGAGGGGCATCCCGGGGATTGTCCCAGGGATCCAAGGCGGAGGGGTGTCACGGGGATTGTCTCAGGGTTTCGAGGCAGAGGGGCATCCCAGGGTTCCGAGGCAGAGGGGGTCCCGGGGGTTGTCCCAATAATCCAAGGAGAAGGGGCATCCTGAGGATTGTCCCAGGGATCCAAGGAGGAGGGGCGTCCCAGGGATCCAAGCAGGAGGGGCGTCCCGGGGACTGTCCCAGGGATCCAAGGAGGAGGGGTGCCCCGGGGACTGTCCCAGGGATCCAAGGCAGAGGGGCGTCCCGGGGATTTTCCCAGGGATCCAAGGCAGAGGGGCGTCCCGGGGATTTTCCCAGGGATCCAAGGCAGAGGGGCATCCCGGGGATTTTCCCAGGGATCCAAGGCAGAGGGGCGTCCCGGGGATTTTCCCAGGGATCCAAGGCAGAGGGGCGTCCCGGGGATTTTCCCAGGGATCCAAGGCAGAGGGGCGTCCCGGGGATTTTCCCAGGGATCCAAGGTGGAGGGGCATCATGGGGATTGTTACAGGATCCGAGGTGGAGGGGCATCACAGGGATTGTCCCAGGGATCCAAGGCGGAGGGGTGTCCCGGGGATTGTTTCAGGGTTTCGAGGCGGAGGGGCTTCCCAGGGACTGTCCCAGGGATCCAAGACAGAGGGGCGTCCTAGAGATCCAAGGCGGAGGGGTGTCCCAGGGATTATCCCAGGGATCCAAGGTGGAGGGACGTTTCGGGGATTGTCCCAGGGATCCAAGGTGGGGGGGCGTCCTAGAGACCCACGGCGGAGGGGTGTCCCGGGGATTCTCCCAGGGATCCAAGGCGGAGGGGCGTCCCGGGGATTGTCCCAGGGATCCAAGGCACAGGGGCATCCCAGGGATCCAAGGCGGAGGGGTGTCCAGGGGATTGTCCCAGTGATCCAAGGGGCAGGGGTGTCCCAGGGATTGTCCCAGGGATCCAAGGCGGAGGATTGTCCCAGGGATCCAAGGCGGAGGGATGTTTCGGGGATTGTCCCAGGGATCCAAGGCACAGGGGCGTCCCAGGGACCCAAGGCGGAGGGGTGTCCAGGGGATTGTCCCAGGGATCCAAGGCGGAGGGGAGTCCCGGGGATTGTCCCAGGGATCCAAGGCGGAGGGGTGTCCAGGGGATTGTCCCAGGGATCCAAGGCGGAGGGGAGTCCCGGGGATTGTCTCAGGGATCCAACGCGGAGGGGGTTTCAGAGTTTGTTTGGGACAACACTGCCTAAAGGGCGAGTTTGCTTTCCTAATAGGAATGATGTCACAGGCAGGGCATATACCCCCAGTAAAGAAGAGGAAACATACTGGTATTCAGGGTCGTTACCTGGAGAGGATGAAGGTGGAGTACAGAAAGCTGGTACATTAGTTGCACCTCCCATCATCCTCAAAGATGACAGAAGTGGGTACAGTACCTGGTGTTCGGGATGGTCTCCCAGCTGACAGGGGAGATTAGCTGGATGGAAAACGCCTCTTGAACTGGTGAAATATAGCGATCGTCTACAAGAACAAGGATACCAGGAGTTATATATATAAATCACACACAACACTGAGGAGGACATTCAACGGCTTTGGATGCCTTGAATATGTGACGGGTAGGTAAGGTAGGTCACTACAAAGGAACACAAGAATAACAGAAAAAACTGAAAGTTATACAATATTAGATACAAGGACATCTCCAGGATGGAATATGAGACAGTACTTTACATGGACTACAACACGCAGCATGTCCGCTCACCTCTCTCCATGGTCTCAAACTCCTTCTCCTCCCCAGTCATGCGAGGGATCCGAGTACACGTATCATGCACGCTTGTGACAACTGTATACACCTGCGACAGCAACAGAACAAGCAATGGGATCTCTAGGACTTAAAGAGGAGTTCCACTCACGCTGTCAAAAAATAAAAGTCAGCAGCTACAAAAACTGTAGCTGCTGACTTTTAAAAAACAGCCACTTACCTCGGTGTGTCCCCCACAGTCCGCTTCACTGGCCGTCCTGTATTCCAGGAGGCCGGCATCTTCAGTGTTGGGCATCCGGCTGTGACAGCTTGCGGCTTCACAGCCGGGTGCCCGCTGCGCTTCATGAATGGTCCTGTAGTCTTCTGGGACCTGTCACATGTCCTAAAAGACTACAGAGAGGGAGGACACCTTCCGCTTCCGATCGCCCCTAGGCAATTGGACCGGAAGTGGGAGCGGGTACCTGTCAAATTCAGGTACCCGCTCCCCAAAGGTGCCAATCCTTACTGGAAAGCAGTCCTTAAAGCAGAACTTCCCCGTTTGTGCGGAACTCCGCTTTAACAGATTCTATACAAATGGATATACAGGTGAAACGTGAAAAATGAGAATATGGTGCAAATGTTCATTGATTTCAGTGCAGCAACTTAAAAGGTGAAACTAATATATGAGACTCATTCCATGCAAAGCAAGATAGTTCAAGCCGTGATTTGTCATCATTGTGATGATTATGGCTTACAGCTCATGAAAACCCCAAATCCACAATCTCAGAAAAGGAGAATATTCCATGCAATCAATAAAACACGGATTGTACATACAACAATATCGCACCTCTGAAAAGTATAAGCATGCATATGTACTCAGTACTTGGTTGGGGCCCCTTTTGCAGCAATTACTGCCTCAATGCGGCGTGGCATGGAAGCTATCAGCCTGTGGCACTGCTGAGGTGTTATGGAAGACCAGGATGCTTCCATAGCGGCCTTCAGCTCTTCTGCATTGTTCGGTCTCATCATGTCTCTCATCTTTCTCTTGGCAATGCCCCATAGATTCTCTATGGGGTTCAGGTCAGGCGAGTTTGCTGGCCAATCAAGCACAGTAATCCCACGGTCATTGAACCAGGTTTTGGTGCTTTTGGCAGTGTGGGAGGTGCCAAGTCCTGCTGGAAAATGAAGTCAGCGTCCCCATAAAGCTCGTCTGTGGAAGGAATCATGAAGTGCTCCAAAATCTCCTGGTAGACGGCTGCGCTGACCCTGGACTTAATGAAGCACAGAGGACCAACACCAGCAGATGACATGGCTCCCCAAATCAACACAGACTGTGGAAACTTCACACTGGACTTCAAGCATCTTGCAGTGTGTGCCTCTCCATTCTTCCTCCATACTCGGGGTCCTTGTGCCTCTCCATTCTTCCTCCATACTCGGGGTCCTTGTGCCTCTCCATTCTTCCTCCATACTCGGGGTCCTTGGGCCTCTCCATTCTTTCCTCCATACTCGGGGTCCTTGGGCCTCTGCATTCTTCCTCCATACTCGGGGTCCTTGGGCCTCTCCATTCTTCCTGCATACTCGGGGTCCTTGGGCCTCTCCATTCTTCCTCCATACTCGGGGTCCTTGGGCCTCTCCATTCTTCCTCCATACTCGGGGTCCTTGGGCCTCTCCATTCTTCCTCCATACTCGGGGTCCTTGGGCCTCTCCATTCTTCCTCCATACTCGGGGTCCTTGGGCCTCTCCATTCTTCCTCCATACTCGGGGTCCTTGGGCCTCTCCATTCTTCCTCCATACTCGGGGTCCTTGTGCCTCTCCATTCTTCCTCCATACTCGGGGTCCTTGGGCCTCTCCATTCTTCCTCCATACTCGGGGTCCTTGGGCCTCTCCATTCTTCCTCCATACTCGGGGTCCTTGGGCCTCTCCATTCTTCCTCCATACTCGGGGTCCTTGGGCCTCTGCATTCTTCCTCCATACTCGGGGTCCTTGGTTTCCAAATGAGATGCAAAAGTTGTTATCAGAAAAGAGGACTTTGGACCACTGAGGACAGACCAGGTCTGTGTTTCTTTAGCCCAGGTAAGACGCTTCTGACGTTGTTTGTTGTTCAGGAGCGGCTTGACAAGAGGAATACAACATTTGAAGCCCATGTCCAGGATCCGTCTGTGTGTGGTGGCTCTTGATGCACTGACTCCAGCCTCAGTCCACTCCTTGTGAAAGTCCAACACTTTTGAATGGCCTTTTCCTGACAATCCTCTCCAGGCTGCGGTCATCCCTGCTGCTTGTGCACCTTTTTCTTCCACACTTTTCCCTTCCACATAACTTTCTATTAATGTGCTTTGATACAGCACTTTGGGAACATCCAACTTCTTCTGCAATGACCTTTTGAGGCTTTCCCTCCTTATGGAGGGTGTCAGTGATGGTGTCAGGTCAGCAGTCTTTGGGATTCCTACTGAACCAGACTGAGAGACCATTTAAAGGCTCAGGAACCCTTTGCAGGTGTTATGGCTGAATGAGCGGATTAGAGTGGGACACTTTGAGCCGAGAATATTCCACCTTTTCACAATATTCTCATTTTCTGAGATTGTGGATTTGGGGTTTTCATGAGCTGTAAGCCATAATCATCACAATGATGACAAATCACGGCTGGAACTATCTTGCTTTGCATGAATGAGTCTCATATATTAGTTTCACCTTTTAAGTTGCTGCACTGAAATAAATAAACTTTTGCACCATATTCTAATTTTTTGAGTTTCACCTGTATATAGTAAATAACGATTTATTGATCTATGCACGAGCCCTACCAGGACAGACAGAGTGAGCGGCTCCAGACCTCACACAGCCCACGGCTTTCCTGGAAGGTTCAGTAGAATTCTGTGCACTTGGTTGGTGAGATCATCCATACAGTAAAGTTTCGCTCAAAATAGACGACCAATACTGTGCAGAGCAGGAACCTCCCAAATCTCCTTCCACGTCAAATCGACGCACCAGCCGGTCAGGCCTTGGACTCACCTTAGACTCCACATGATAGGACACGTAGTGCGCCGTGCAGCGAAGAGGGATCTTCCGGACGGGCCAGGGAGCGTCATATGATAAGTAAGCAGGAAGGACACTGATCCGTAATTCACCCTGCAGAACAAATCCGCCAATATAAAAACTTACTGAGAGACAGACAGGGGGGACCTCACCACCTCCCTGCCATGCTGCCCTTCCTGCATCCCTTACTTACAGAGAGACAGACAGAGGGGACCACCCCATCACCTCCCCACCATGCTGCCCTTCCTGTGTCCTGTGAGACAGACAGGCCGGACCTCCCCATCACCTCCCCACCATGCTGCCCCTCCTGCATCCTACTCAATGAGTGGCAGACAGAGAGGACCTCACCACCTCCCCACCATGCTACCCTTCCTGCATCCCTACTTACTGAGAGACAGACAGGGGGACCTCCCCATCACCTCCCCACCATGCTGCCCTCCTGCATTCACTACTACAATGAGTGGCAGACAGAGGGGGACCTCCCCATCACCTCCCCACCATGCTACCCTTCCTGCATTCCTACTTACTGAGAGACAGACAAGGGGGACCTCCCCATCACCTCCCCACCATGCTGCCCCTCCTGCATTCACTACTTACAATGAGTGAGCAGACAGAGGGGGAACCTCCCCATCACCTCCCCACCATGCTACCCTTCCTGCATTCCCTACTTACAGAGAGACAGACAAGGGGGACCACCCATCACCTCCCCACCATGCTGCCCCTCCTGCATCACTACTCAATGAGTGGACAGACAAGGGGACCTCCCCATCACCTCCCCACCATGCTACCCCCTCCTGCATCACTACTCAAGAGAGACAGACAAGAGGACCACCCCATCACCTCCCCACCATGCTACCCTTCCTGCATTCCCTACTTACAGAGAGACAGACAAGGGGACCACCCCATCACCTCCCCACCATGCTGCCCTTCCTGCATTCCTACTTACTGAGAGACAGACAAGGGGGACCTCCCCATCACCTCCCCACCATGCTGCCCTTCCTGCATTCCTACTTACTGAGAGACAGACAGGGGGGACCACCTCACTACCTCCGCATCATGCTGCCCTTCCTGCATCCCTACTTACTGAGAGACAGACAGGGGGGACCTCCCCATCATCCCTACTCAATGAGAGGCAGACAGACGGGACCTCCCCTCCTCCCCACCATGCTGCCCTTTCAATATCTCTACTAACCAAGAGACAGACAGAGGGGACCTCACCACCTCCCCACCATGCTGCCCTTCCTGCATCCCTACTCACTGAGAAAAAGACAGAGGGGACCTCTCCACCTCTCCCATGCTGTCTTTCCTGCATCCCTACTCACTGCGAGGCAGACAGCGGGGACCCCACCACCTCTCCACCAGGTTGTCCTTCCTACATCCTTACTCACTGCAAGGCAGACAGAGAGGACCTCACCTCCTCCTCCCCACCATGCTGTCCTTCCTGCATCCCTACTCAATGAGAGACAGACAGAGAGGACCTCACCCTCCCCACATTGCCCTTCCTGCATCCCACCCACCGGGAAACATGACCTCACCACCTCCTGCCCATTGCCCTGCCTGCATCCCTACTCACTGAGAGACAGACATGGGAGACCTCACCACCTCTTCCCCACCATGCTGCCCTTCCTGCACCCCTACTTACTGAGAGACAGACATGGGAGACCTCACCACCTCTTCCCCACCATGCTGCCCTTCCTGTATCCCTACTTACTGAGAGACAGGGGGGACCTCACCTCCTCCTCCCCACCATGCAAAGGAAGGGCTCCTCACCTGCCGGTTGAAGTAGAGGAACCCTCTGGGGCAGTTGACGTTGTGGAAGGGGGCAAATGATTCAATGGATCCATCGATGGTCATGGGGTGCAGACGTAAGGCGCCACGAGAAGTGACTAGCAGCCAGTGAGGGGAGGGGCCACATATGAACACCTGAGAAGCAAATGAAGAGTAAGTGATAAACTATAACCTGCCCCCCTTGACCAAACACCCACCTCCAAGTGATCACTCACCCCTGAATATCCATAGATGTCCTGGAAGAATCGGAACCGTGCAACACGAGCGCGGGCACCAAGATCCTCCGCCGAACCTTCAGCCTTCTTCTTAGACTGTTTCTGCTTCTTCTCCCTGATATTTATATTATGAGGAACCTGTAGGAGAAGATTGGGGTACAGGCTTGAAGAGAGATTCTACTAGAGAAGGAGATCCATGGCAACAGATGTTATCATTACTCACCTTTTTAAATCGAACTTTCAGATTCCCCTGAGAGTCGTGTGCAAATGCTTCATAGATCAGCAGCTCGGAATCCACAAGGACCTGTCAATTCACAGAATAGTTATACAGAGGATGTCTGAACCATACTACTGCAAAGGGGAGGGGGAGGCAGAACAAATGTGAATATAGGGATGAACATACAGGAGGATGTCACTGGTAATACGGACCATACCAATATGCAGGAGGGAGGGCGCAGAGGAAAGTCATGTTATACATGAATATAAGGAGATGGACCAAACCACTGCAGAGGGAAGTCAGCTTATATAGGAATAAAGGCAGATGGATCATACCATTGCAGAGGGAAGTCAAATGATATAGAAACAAAGAGATAGACCACATCACTGTAAGGAAGTGAAGTTATATATGAATATAGGCAGATAGACCATACTACTGCAGAGGGAAGAAAAGTTATAGATCAATATAGAGCAGATGGACCATACCACTGCAGAGGGAAGCCAAATTTATATATAAATATAATAATATGGACCATATCATTGAAGAGGGAAGTTAAGTTTCACTGTATTGCCAAAAGTATTGGGCTAGTCCTCCCAATCATGTGATCCAGGCGTTCCAATCCCCTCCATATCATGTGATTCAGGTGCTCCAATCCCCTCCATGGACACAGGTGTATACAATCAAGCCCCTAGGCATGCAGACGGCTTCTACAAACATTGATGAAAGAATGGATCGCTCTCAGGAGCTCAGTGACTCCAAGCGTGGTCCCGTGATAGGTGGCCACCTGGGCAATAAGTCCATCCGTGACATTTCCTGGCTACTAAATATTCCACGCTCAACTGTTAGTGGGATTATAACAAAGTGGAAGCAACTGGGAGCAACAGCAACTCAGCCACCAAGTGGTAGGCCACGTCACATGACAGAGCGGGGTTAGCGCATGCTGAAGCGCACAGTGTGCAGAAGTCAACTGTCTGCAGAGTCAATAGCTAAAAACCTCCAAACTTGGTGTGGCCTCAGATGAGCCCAACAACAGTGCGTAGAGAGCTTCATGGAATGGGTTTCCATGGCCGAGCAGCTCTAGAGCAGAGGAGACGTGTTCTCTGGGGTGACGAATCACACTTCTCTGTCTGGCAATCTGATGAACATATCTGGGTTTGTCGGTTGCCAGGAAACAGTACTTGCCTGACTGCATTGTGCCAAGTGTAAAGTTTGGTGGAGGGGGGATTATGGTGTGGGGTTGTTTTTCAGGGGTTGGGCTTGGCCCCCTAGTTCCAGTGAAGGGAACTCTTAAGGCGACGTTTTGGACAATTTCATGTTCCCAACTTTGTGGGAAGAGTTTGGGGATGGCCCCTTCCTATTCCAACATGACTGCCCACCAGTGCACAAAGCAAGGTCCATAAAGACATGAGGAGCCAGTTTGGGGTGGAGGAACTTGACTGCCTGCACAGAGTCCTGACCTCAACCCCATAGAACACCTTTGGAATGAATTAGAGCGGAGACTGTGAGCCAGGCCTCCTCCCCCGACATCAGTGCCTGACCTGACAAATGTGCTTCTGGAAGAATGGTCCAACCTTCCCATAGACACCCTCCTAAACCTTGTGCACGGCCTTCCCAGAAGAGTTGAAGCTGTTACAGCTGCAAAGGGCGGGGCCAACTCCATATTGAACCCTAAGGACTAAAACTGGGATGCCATTGACGTTCATGTGCATGGAAAGGACGGCGGCCCAATACTTTTGGCAATATAGTGTATATATGAATATAAGGAAACTGGCCATAACACTGCAGACAACAGACAGATTATATAGAAATATAAGGGAGATGGACCATACCACTGCAAAGGGAAGTAAAGTTATACATAAAAAAGGCAAATGGATTGCACCATTTCAGAGGGAAGTCAAGTTATATATCAATATAAGGAAATTAACCATTCCACCACAGACACAAGTCAGATTAAATAGAAACATAGGGAGATGGACCGTACCACTGCAGAGGGAAGCCAGATTATATTGAAACATAGGGAGATGGACCATACCACTGCAGAGGGAAGCCAGATTATATTGAAACATAGGGAGATGGACCATACCATTGCAGGGGGAAGTAAAGTTATATATGAATATAGGGAGATGGATCACACCACCACAGAGGGAAGTTAAGTTACATATAAATATAGGCAGATGGACCATACCACTGCAGACAGAAATCAGATTATATAGAAACATTGGGAGATGGACCACACCATAGTGGGGGAAAGTAAAGTTATATATGATTATAGGGAGCTGGATCATACCACTGCAGACTGAAGTCAGATTATATAGAAACATAGGGGGATGGACCATACCACTGCAGAAAGAAGTCACACTACATATAAATATAGGCAGATATAAATCTGGCAAAGAGATTGCACACTAAAAAGTAATAGTGGGGGAGTTTCAGGCAGACAATGAATACTTTTCCTCAGGTAATATCTTACCAGTAAATAAGGGCGACTTTGTTGGTTTCCCAGCCCCACCAGCAGAACCTCCTTCACCAGAGGCATCTCATTCTGCCGGGTTACTTCTTCTTTTTTGGCATCTCCTTGAGTAATGGGCTGTCCAAAGGAACTATCCACAAGAACTTTCAACCCCACAGGGAAATTCTTGACGAGGAAGACCAGACGCCAGTCCGGGACCTGGTAGATCTGTGGGAAATAAATTGGGGTCAGACTGGACAATTTATGACAATGCTGGCTCTAATCTGGACAACTGGGGATTGCCAGGAGCCTGCAGTGCACAGCGATAGTTGGAACTGTTAATTCTTCTTAATGTATCGCCCAATGACACCATCACCTCCCAGGATCTCACCTCCATTATACCATTCTCTCTGACCACCACACACCAGTGTGTCGGCTCAGTCTTATACTGGGAAGAATCACGTTCTGTGGTGGGAATATTGCTCCGACGAGGCTCTTCCTTACTCGGACTGGAGAGGAATCCTGAATCTCCATACAGCATCTCGTCCTCATCATCTACAGAGCGGCTGACACCAAACACAAGATGTATGATTAGTAAACAGACGACAGATCTACCACAGTTATCTCACTGTGCTTCACCACTGCATGTCTCACCTAATCTCCTGCGACAGACTGTCTCCTTCAGATACACTCTGGGGGGCGCTGTCCTCCTTCACTGGGGCAGATCTGGTCTCTGTGGTGAACATACCACTGACATCACGATAAATGCAGACAGCGATGACCTTCGATTGCTGGACAGAGACAGCAAAAAGGGAGAGCTCAACATTAGGATGGTGCAAAGTGGAGGCAGAACCAATGAGCCCATTACCACCCCCCCCCCACCCGCCTCCCCCAGCAGCCTGTAATACATGCCCCAGGCAATAGGGAAATCTACTCACATAATGTATGTTGGGTTTCTGTAGAGCGAGCCGATGAGATTTGCCTCCATACGAGTCACTTTTCAGCTGGAACATCGCCAACTGACCTTCTGCACTAAGAATGACCACGTAGGGGTCTGCCACGGTACAGTGAACAATGGGGGAGCCCAGGTCCACCGGGATGAAGTGCAGCTGATTCACTGAGACATAAAAACAGACACAATCAACAGGTATTAGAGAACATTTGCAGAGAGGCGAAGGAAAAGCCTAGGGCAGATGCACGTTAAATTAGGGCAGCTATAAACCTCAGTTGCTGCCTATATTTCAGTTGTTTTGAGAGGCCCTCTTCACCATTTTGACCACCTCCCGTTCAACCGTTGTATATAAACGGCCGGACGGTGGCAGTGCAGGGGCGGGTGGCTGTTTATAAACGGCCTCCCCGCACCCTGCTTGTGCACACTCCCTGGGAACGCGCTGCACCACGATCTGGTGCCCACTGTGTCCGAACACCGATCGTCGTACGGGACCTCTGTGTGAGGTCTCGATCATCTGATCACTGATTGACAATCAGTGATCATGTGCAGAGTAGTACGCAAGATGTCACTTCTGACATCATTGCTTACTACGTGTGAAATCTGTGAATGATCACAGAGATCACATGGTACAAGACTATTCACAACAGCCTTGTACCATGTGACAAGCTTTGACCAATCACAGGAATGCAGCCAGAGAGAAGGAGAAATGATTGCTTTTACAGCCTTTATGGGTGTAAAAGCAATCAGTGTAAAAAAAAAAAAAAAAAAAATCTTCATCATCCCCCACAAGTAGTACAGTATGTAAAAAAACAATAATAATATAAAAAAAAATCAAATAAAAAATTTTTTTATTAAAATGATAATTTTTGGTTATAAACTAATATTTTTTTTTTTTACTAAAAAGATAACTGAATAAATTTTGGCCAAGATTTATGATGAAATATTATTTATTTGCAAAATTTTATAAGAAAAACACTTTTTTTCAAAATTATCGGACTTCTTCATTTCTAAAGCAAAAAAAATAAAAATCCCAGCAGTGAATAAATACCACCAAAATAAAGCTTTATCTGTCTAAAAAAAATGCCATGGTGACACTGTACTGCTAGGGTGACAGTATGTAAAAAAAAACAAAAAAAAAAAAAAAAAAAACTAAAAATAATATATATATATAAAAATAAAATTAAAAAAGTTTAAAAATTATAATTTTTGGCTATAAACTAAATTTGGGTTATTTTTTTTTTTTTACTAAAAGATAATAGAATACATTTTGGCCAAGATTTACGAAGAAATACTATTTATTTGCAAAATTTTATAAGAAAAACACTTTTTTCTAAATTTTGGGCTTTTTCATTTACATAGCAAAAAAAATAAAACTCCCAGTGGTGAATAAATACCACCAAGATAAAGCTTTATCTATCTAAAAAAAAATGCTAAAAAATTCATATGGGTACAGTGTTGCATGACCGCGCAATTGTCATTCAAAGTGTGACAGCGCTGAAAGCTGAAAATTGGCCGGGACAGGAAGGGGGTGAAAGTATCCGGACTTGAAGTGGTTAAAAGCATTTGGTGATAGGTAGAGTAGGGGATATTTATTTCCGCAGCACCTTTTTTAAAACGTCAGGTGGCCAGTGCGCCTGTGAGGATGACTTTGTTACTAGACACAGCGTACGGGGCCAATCTGAGCGGCTCTGTACCTTGGGATCACTGTGATAAGATATAGTATTCATCCACCAATGCATACATTTAGGATCAGTGTTAAGGTTACCATACAGTACATGCCAACAATGCAGCACATACTTCTTAATAAAGATTGTTGAACTGGCAGAAAGCCAAAGGAAGGCATCCAGAAGCCAGAACAGAAAGCCTTCTATACAAGCCACCACTAAACGTGAAACAGCAGATCCCATCACTCACCTCCCTCCAGCAGACGGATGCCCAGGGGGGACACTTGTACTATATATTTATTGTCTCCGATGTTCCCAGCGTACACCGTAGGGCCCTGTGTGGCAAAACCGCTGGTGTCCAGCTCCATAATTTCCTGTCCAGTCTGGAGGATCTGCAAAAGGACAGAAGAGAATGCTAATCTACTACGGGAGCCATCACCAAGCACAATGATCTCTGCTGGACAGCACTGGTGGAAATGATACAGCAGATCTGTAGGGGCTGTGCAGGTGATGGACAGGACTGATATCTGGTGGACAGCACTGACAGAGATCTGTGGAGTCTGTGCAGGTGATGGACAGGGCTGATCTAAGGTGGACAGGGCTGATAGAGATCTGTGGAATATTTTTGGATGATGGACAGGGCTGATCTTAGGTGGACAGCGCTGACAGAGATCTGTGGAGTCTGTGCAGGTGATGGACAGGGCTGATCTAAGTTGGCAGCACTGGCAGCTATGACAGAGATATGTAGAGTCTATGCGGGGAAGATGAACAATGCTGATCTTAGGTGGACAGCACTGACAGCAATGATATAGATCTGTGGAGTCTGTGTGGGTGATGGACAGGGCTGATCTTAAGGTGGACAGCGCTGACAGCAATGATATAGATCTGTGGAGTCTGTGTGGGTGATGGACAGGGCTGATCTCTGGTGGACAGCACTGACAGAGATCTGTGGAGTCTGTGTGGGTGATGGACAGGGCTGATCTTAGGTGGACAGCACTGACAAGAGATCTGTGGAGTCTGTGTGGGGTGATGGACAGGGCTGATCTTAGGTGGACAGCACTGACAGAGATCTGTGGAGTCTGTGTGGGTGATGGACAGGGCTGATCTTAGGTGGACAGCGCTGACAGAGATCTGTGGAGTCTGTGTGGGTGATGGACAGGGCTGATCTTAGGTGGACAGCGCTGACAGAGATCTGTGGAGTCTGTGTGGGTGATGGACAGGGCTGATCTTAGGTGGACAGCAATGACAGAGCAGATCTGAAAGCCCCTTCAAAGTTCTCATGACTGCATTTTATTCAATATTGTTTCTGACTGAATTTGGACACAAAGCTGCGTCAAACCTTTCCTATCATACTCTAATATCAGCAGAAATTCACTATCATCCTGACTGCACCTGAACTGCTCATGGACCAATCAGCGGGCAGGTAACGGACATTACCCACCACTCTTCTTTTATTGTGCAAAATCACAAAAATCTGGATGTAAAGCGATGAGATCAGCAGATTCGAAGAGCTTTATTGCTCAGGACAAACACACCCAAGGGAAACCTCCACTTACGCGTTTCACCTGAGAAACTGGCTTAGCTCCTTTCTATGGTGAAACGCATCAGCGAGGGGAGTTTGTCCTGAACCATAAAGCTTTTTGATACCACCAACATGATCAGTGTGCTTGCATGGGGGGCGGGAATGGTCTCCATTCTGTCTGCACCTGATCTCCTTGGGACACGGGTACACAAGTTTGTGGAGCAGCTATTTTTCCTTGTCTACTTCCTGTCAGAAATATATAGAATATGTTGTACTAGTCCAGGACTTCCAGCTCGACCATTTCACTCTCTTCCCTCCTTCCTTACACTGCCTACACAGATATCTCCGCTTTCTAAACAATCGCTCAGTCCTAGTACAGGTGAGGAGGACATGGGAAGGATCATGCCATCACCCATCAGGAAAGAATGTTCTCAGGTATCAGATGTTCTCGCGTAACTCCACCGAAATGTACAATTTGGGTGACGCATTTTCTCTTACCATGGTGGAGTCTTCACGGCTCAGGATGAGAAAACCATGGCGGTTTTTCTCCTCATCTTCTTCTGCTTCCATGGCTGTCTCCTCCGTGTCCTCAGATTGCTGGAGGGGTGAGAAGAGATGGCGGTGAGACATAGAAACATGACAGACAGAGAGGGGCGGAGGGCAGAAGAGGCCATAATGGACCGGTATGGAAGAGGGAGAAGGAGGAGAGATTATACTGGGGGAGCAGGGAGGAGAGAGAAACATGAGCAACCATACTGGGGGAGCAGAAAGGAGACTGAAAGGTAAGAGACCATACTGGGGGAGCAGAGAGAGGAGAAGAGGATGAGTGATCAATATTGGGGGAGCAGGGAGGAGAGAGAAATATGAGTGACCATACCGGTGGAAAAGGTAGGAGGATGAGTGATTATACTGGGGTAGCAGAGAAGGATGAATAATCATAGTGGTTAGGGTTGATGGGGAAGGGCGGGGGGGGGGGGGGGGGAGGAAGGATGAATAATCATAGTGGTTAGGGTTGATGGGGAAGGGCGGGGGGGGGGGGGGGGGGGGGGGGGGGTTGAGAAGGGGGGGATGAGTGAATATACTGGGGGGGGGGGGGAGAGAAGGATGAACAATCATAGTGGTTAGGGTTGATGGGGAAGGGGGGGGGGGGGGGGGGGGGGGAAGGATGAATAATCATAGTGGTTAGGGTTGATGGGGAAGGGCGGGGGGGGGGGGGGGGGGGGAGGGAAGGATGAATAATCATAGTGGTTAGGGTTGATGGGGAAGGGCGGGGGGGGGGGTGTTTGAGAAGGGAAGGATGAGTGAATATACTGGGGGGGGGGGGGGGGGGGAGGGGGGGAGAGAAGGATGAGTGAATATAGCAGGGGGGGAGGGGAAGGGGGGGGGAGGAGAGAAGGATGAGTGAATATACTGCGGGGAGCAGGGGAAGGATGAGAAGGATGAGTGAATTTACTGGGGGGGGAGGAGAGAAGGATGAGTGAATATACTGGTGGCTCGGGGGGAAGGAGAAAAGGATGAGTGAATATACTGGGGGGGGCAGGGAAGGAGAAAAGGATGAGTGAATATACTGGGGGGGCAGGGGAAGGAGAGAGGATGAGAGTGAATATACTGGGGGGGGTCAGGGGGAAGGAGAGAAGGATGAGTGAATATACCGGGGGAGCAGGGAAAGGAGAGAAGGATGAGTGAATATACTGGGGGGAGCAGGGGAAGAGCAGAGAAGGATGAGTGACTATATACTGGGGGAGCAGGGGAGTAGGAGAGAAGGATGAGTGAATATACTGGAGGTGGTTCAGGGGGGGAAGGAGAGAACATCGGGGATGAGTGAATATAGGGGGAGCAGGGAAGGAGGGAAGGATGAGTGATATACCGGGGGAGCAGGGAAGGAGAGGGGGAAGGATAGAGTGTTATACCGGGGGAGCGCAGGGGAAGGAGAGAAGGATGAGTGAATATACAGTGAAGCAGGGGAAGGGGAAGGAGGAGAGGATGCTGAGTGATATACTGGGGGCTGCAGGAAGGGGGGATGAGTGAATATACTGGGGGGGAGCAGGGGAAGAAAGGATGAGTGAATATACGGGGGGAGCAGGGACAGGAGAGATGGATGAGTGAATATACTGGGGGAGCAGGGGAAGGAGAGAGGATGGCTGTGAATATACTGGTGGGAGCAGGGAAAGGAGAGAGGATGAGTGAATATACTGGGGGGAGCAGGGGAAGGATGAGTGAATTATACCGGGGGTGAGGGAGAGTGAATATGAGCGGGGAAAGGATAACGGGGAGCAGGGGAAGGAGAGAAGGATGATGAATATACTAGGGGAAGCAGGGGAAGGATGAGTGAATATACTGGGGGAGCAGGGGAAGGATGAGGTGGAAGTGGACTATACGGGGGGAGGGGAAGAGGATGGATGAGTGAATATACGGGCGGGGAAGGAAAAGGATGAGTGAATATTACTGGGGGATGCAGGGAGCAGGAGAGAGGATGAGTGAATTATACCGGGGGAGCAGGGGAAGGAAGGATGGGAGGGAAGGATGAGTGAATATACGGGGGAGGGGGAAAGCAGGGTGAATTTACCGGAGAGCAGGGGACGGAGATGATGAGTGAATATTACCGGGGGAGCAGGGGAAGGAGAGAAGGATGAGTGAATATACTGGGGGAGCAGGGGAAGGAGAGAAGGATGAGTGAATATACTGGGGGAGCAGGGGAAGGAGAGAAGGATGAGTGATATATACGGGGGGGAGCAGGGAAGGAGAGAAGGATGAGTGAATATACGGGGTGAGCAGGGGAAGGAGGGAAGGAAGGAATGAGTGAATATTACTGGGGGGGAGGGAAGGAGATGAGGAGGATATACTGGGGGGAGGGGAAGGAAGAGAATGAGTGATATACCGGGGGGAGCAGGGGAGGAGAGAAGGATGAGTGAATATACTGGGGAAGCAGGGGAAGGAGAGAAGGATGAGTGAATATACTGGGGGAGGGGGAAGGAGAGAAGGATGAGTGACCATATGAGCAGGGGAAGGAGAGAAGGTTGAAGTGAATATATGGGGAAGATGGGGAAGGCAGAGAAGGATGAGAGAATATACTGGGGGAGCAGGGGAAGGAGAGAAGGATGTGAACCATATGGATTTCTGGGGTAGCAGGAACATGGGGGGGGCAGATAAAAAGGATGAGAGCTCGTGGAATGGGGGGGCGAGCTCTCGTGGAGAAGTAGTAAGGACGGATAAGTGACTATGTTGAGATGGGGGGCAGGAAGGAATGAGAAGGATGAGTGACCATACTGGGGAAGGAGAGAAGGAGGTGACCAATATTGGGTTGTCAGGGAGGAGAGAATCATGATGGGGAAAGGAGGAAACTATCTGGGAGGAGAGGGAGGTCAGATGGGTAGAGAATCCATTTCTCCACTCCGTGCAGACAAGGGTCAGGGAAAACCGTAATTAGAAGCTGTGACGGGGAAGATGAGTGCTGGCAGTAGGTGCCCATGGCTCCAAACAGTAACAACAGACATGGCCGACATTCAAGTGCTGGGTCTGGGTATGAAGGTGCAGGCTACTGGTGCTCATACAAGCACCCCGGCTACGTTTGCCCCAACCGCCCGGACTTTGCATTTCCCCAGATGGAACACCAACCTCATTTGAAGAAATGACTGTCCACATATCGTGACAACCAGGGAGTTCAAACGTCGTCACCACTTGTGGCCGGATACTCTTCTAAATTGATAAAAAAAAGCAAAGATTGAAGGATAATTTTTGCTGCACCAATTAGTTTATAACATTATGAAAATGATTCTGCTTAAAGGTGTCAAACATGTTAAAAAAATAAAAAAAAAGTATGCAAAAACAAACATATTGGTACATCTAGTCAGAACACATACAGTATGTATATTATATATACAGTTGTGTTCAAAATAATTGCAGTGTGTTGAAAAAAGTGACTAAAGCTGAAAATCCTTCTAATCCTTTTATTTCCATCCACACAAATGCATTGGGAACACGACACATTCTATTCCAAATCACAACATGAAGAAAAATACATCAAATTTGTGTTGTTCCTCTAAAAAAAAATGGAAGAAAAGTGAATATTAGACGGTTCAAAAAAAATGGCCGTGTTTGTATTCTTCTTTACAAACTCAAACATTCACTATATAAACTGAGAAATGTTTGAAGATTTTGCTTTCCTTTGAATGACTTCATGAATATTTGGTTGTAGTCGCACTGTTTCTGAGAACTGCTGTACATCTGTGTTGCATGGAGTCCCCCCAACTTCTGGCCCTGTGATCAGGTATTCCAGCCCAGGATGATTGGACCACATTCCACAGTTCTTCTCTATTCCTTGGTTTTGCCTCAGAAACGGCATTTTTGGTGTCACCCCACAAGTTTTCTATTGGATGAAGATCCGGGGATTGGGCTGGCCACTCCATAACGTCCACCTTGTTGGTCTGGAACCAAGATGTTGCACCTTTACTGGTGTGTTTGGGGTCGTTGTCTTGTTGGAACCCCCATTTCAAGGGCATTTCCTCTTCAGCATAAGGCAGCATGACCTCTTCAAGTATTCTGATGTATTCAATCTGATCCATGATCCCTGGTATGCGATAAATAGGCCCAACACCGTAGTATGAGAAACATCCCCATATCATGATGCTTGCACCACCATGCTTCACGGTCTTCACAGTGTACTGTGGCTGGAATTCAGTGTTTGGGGGTCGTCTGACAAACTGTCTCCGCCCACTAGACCCAAAAAGAACAATCTTACTTTCATCAGTCCACAAAATGTTGCACCATTTCTCTTTAGGCCGGTCAATGTGCTCTTTGGCAGATTGTAACCTCTTCAGCACACGTCTTTTTCCCAACAGTGGGACTTTGCGGGGACTTCTTGCAGATAGCTTGGCTTCACATCGGCGTCTTCTAATTGTAACAGTCCTCACAGGGAACGTCACACCTTCTTTCATCTTCCTGGAGCTGATTGTTGGCTGAGTCCGCCCCATTTTGGCTATTCTTCTATCCATTCCAATGGTAGTTTTTCGCTTTCTTCCGCGTCTTTCAGGTTTTGGTTGCCATTTTAAAGCATTTGCCATCATTTTAACTGAGCAGCTGATCATTTTCTGCACTTCTTTATGTTTTCCCCTCCAATCAACTTTGTAATCAAGGTACGCTGTTCTTCTGAACAATGTCTGGAACGACCCATTTTCCTCAGAATTTCAGAGAGAAATGCACTGTAACCAGCATGTACAACATTTGCTGCCTTCCTTCCTTAAATAAGGGCAATCATTGCCACCTGTTCATCAAAGAATGAATGACCTCACTAATAGAACTCCACCCTGCTATTATATTGAACACGCCCCTTTCAATGAGTGATTCAATGACACAGAATCAGCAGCATGCATGTCATGACTGTCGGGTCTGTTGGATTTCTATGACTCTACTACACCTGCTAGGAAATTATTTGCCATGTAGAAATATCATTTCCACCAAAAACAGTGATTGATCCGGTTAGTGATGTCTGACGGCTATTATTTTGAACACAACTGTACATATTTCCTGTTTTATCCCTGTAAGAATGTTGCGAATACAGAGAAATCTGTGTTGACCTGCGAGAAATCCAATGAGCCGATGCCTTCCTCTGCTCTCTGCGTGTGCTGACTGTTATGTTGATGCTGTTACATTGTTTCTGGTTCACTTCAAGGACTACAGAACTCCGTGTTATGGACAGGAGCAGAGGGGGAGGATTTCTGTAGTCCTATCCTAGGGTGGTAACACTGCCCTCTATAGATACAGTACAGCAGTACACTATCAGGACAAAGGGATTCTGAGGAGTAACACACCCAGCATACCCACCCTGCCCACATCTCTACTACCCAATCATCCAGCTCAGTATTTAAAATCTATAAATGTGAACTTTCCTGCAAACAAACAAAATTAGATGAACACGTGAGAACACAAAAAAGTCAGCAGCCTCACCTGAAGCACAGAGAGCGCTCCGTTCTTCCCGTATCCAGAACACAAGACGATCTCCAAGTCTGGCTCCGGGCTATTCTGAAACTAAAACGTCAGCAAAGTTATTACAGATGGTGGGGGCAGAAAAGAGGAGGAGCCACAGCAGATGAGAAGAGTAATGCAGACAGGAGGGGGGAGGAGCCACTGCAGAGGGGAGGAGAAATGCAGACAGAAGGGAGGATCCACTGCATATGGGAAGAGCAATGCAGACAGAAGAGAGGAGCCACTGCAGATGGAAGAGTAATGCAGACAGGAGGGGGGAGGAGCCACTGCAGATGGGAAAAGCAATGCAGACAGGAGGGGGAGGAGCAATACCGAGGGGAGGAGCCACTACAGATGGGAAGAGCAATGCAGACAGGAGAGGGGAGAGGCCATTTCAGATGGAAGAGTAATGCAGACAGAAGGGGGGAGCAGCCACTGCAGATGGGAAGAGCAATGAAGACAGGAGGGGGAGGAGCAATGCAGATGAGAGGGGAGGAGCAACTACAGATGGGAAAGAGCAATGCAGAGGGGAGGGGCCACTGCAGATGGGAAGAGCAATGCAGACCGGAGAGGGAGGAGCTACTGCAGATGGGAAGAGCAATGCAGACAGGAGGGGGAGGAGCAATGCAAAGTGAGAGGAGGAGCCACTACAGATGGGAAGAGAAATGCAAACAGAAGAAGGGAGGGGCCACTGCAGATGGGAAGAGCTATGCATACAGGAGAGGGGAGGGGCCACTGCAGATGGGAAGAGCAATGCAGACAGGAGAGAGGAGGGGCCACTGCAGATGAGAAGAGTAATGCAGACAGGAGAGGGGAGGGGCCACTGCAGATGGGAAGAGTAATGCAGACAGGAGAGGGGAGGGGCCACTGCAGAAGGGAGGAGCAATGCAGACAGGAGATAGGAGGGGCCACTGAAGATGGGAGGAGTAATGTAGATAGGAGAGGGGAGGGTCCACTGCAGATAGGAAGAGCAAAGCAGACATGAGAGAGGAGAAGCCACACCGGAGAGGAGAGCAGCCATAAAGCAGCCAAGGCCACTTACCTCCTCAGACAGGAAGGCTGGCTCCCCCATGGATGCCATGGCACAAGGTCCGATGTTTAAGATGCTGTCACATACCTGTATGGAAAGCCGAAGGGGAACATTTCATAACACTGTGCTTCTACATAAACTGCCTCACCCACAGTTCTTATTCTTTATTCTGCAATAATCCATAGGGGCAAATCAGAGTTTACATTGATAAATATGGAGCAGGACAGGTTGCTATTGGTAGTCAAACTAAAGTAAAAATCTAATAAAAACTCTGTACTAAGGCTGAACGGAATCCTATGCAGATTTTGCACATCTATACGCCTAAAATGTAAGTGACAGCACTCCTTATGTGCTACTATTGTCCCACCTGGGAAATACCCTAATGGCCTATGTTACGTGTGTGCCACCATTACCCCCACCCTGGAAATACCCCAGGAGCCTGTGTCATGTGTGCTTCACCATTACCCCAGGAGCCTATGTCATGTGTTCTCCACCATTACCCCAGGAGCCTATGTCATGTGTGCTCCACCATTACCCCAGGAACCTATGTCATGTGTGCTCCACCATTACCCCAGGAACCTATGTCATGTGTGCTCCACCATTACCCCAGGAGCCTGTGTCATGTGTGCTCCACCATTACCCCAGGAGCCTATGTCATGTGTGCTCCACCATTACCCCAGGAACCTATGTCATGAGTGCTCTACCATTACCCCAGGAGCCTGTGTCATGTGTGCTCCACCATTACCCCAGGAGCCTGTGTCATGTGTGCTCCACCATTACCCCCGGAGCCTACGTCATGTGTGCTCCACCATTACCCCACCTCACAATCACCTTACAATCACCCATGAGTCTATGTCAATGGGGTGACAGGACAGCACTCATTTTGTCACCATCACCCTACCTGGAAAACAGCCTAAAGGCCTATGTCAATGGGCTTTGGTTTGCATCAGACCTGCTTCCCTTCCCCATAGAGGTCAATGGGAAGGTAACAGCTGCTTCACAGGTCAGAAGGAGGTCAGCTGCAGGTTAAATGCACCTCTCAATTAATTTGGAACGATCTCAGAAGCATCTGATGTCAAAGGAAGAAGATGTCTTTGCAACGGACACAAATGCAGAGTTCCATTGACAGATCCTATATTCCGCTTAGAAAGGTCTGGGAAAAATAAGGGCGATAAAAGGGAAATACACATTCATGTCTCTAATCAGTCTCTGCAAACCTCAAAGGAGTATGTGGAGAGCTGTGTGCCCGACTGCAGCTCACTGCCGTACACCTCGATCTCATCAATCTCATCCACCGGGGCCCCCTTTACCACCTGAGGAGATATAGAAAGTAAACAATGGGGTAAGCAGCTGAATATTCCTCCGTAACAGAATAAAACATATGCATGATGCAGAAGATGAAAGAACATTGCACTGATAAATGAACGACAGAGAGAACACAGGAGACAATACAATATCCATCCATAGGGGGCAGCACTGAGCAGTGGTCAGGCACATGGAATATACTATGGAGGAGGCAGCAGAGAGAACACAGACAATACAATATCCATCCATAGGGGGCAGCACTGAGCAGTGGTCAGGCACATGGAATATACTATGGAGGGGGCAGCAGAGAGAACACAGGCAGTACAATATTCATCCATAGGGGGGGCAGCAGTAAGCACTGGAATATGACAGAGGGGCAGCAGAGAAAATAGAGGCAGTACAATATTCATCCATATGGGGGGCAGCAGCAGTGGGCATTAGTTTTATACACACACACACACACACACACGCTTGAAGAAAGAGAGGAAATAATATTAATCCATAGGGGGCAGCAGTGAGCAGTGGTCACACACAGGGAGGGGGCAGTGAAGAGTGGCAATAAATAGCCATCATCCATAGGGGGCAGCAGTGAGCTGTGGTCACACACAGGGGGGACAGTGGAGAGAGACCACCCATAGAGGGCAGCAATGAGCCGTGGTCGCACACACAGGGAGGGGACAGTGAAGAGAGGCAATCCATAGCCATCCATAGGGGGCAACAGTGAGCAGTGGTCACGCACACACAGGGAGGGGGCAGTAGAGAGAGGCCATCCATAGGGGGCAGCAGTGAGCAGTGGTCACACACACACAGGGAGGGGGCAGGGAGAGAGGCAATCCATAGCCATCCATAGGGGGCAGCAGTGAGCAGTGGTCACACACACACAGGGGGAGGGGGCAGTGGAGAGTGGCCATCCATCCACACAGGGAGGGGGCAGTGGAGAGTGGCCATCCATAGGGGGCAGCAGTGAGCAGTGGTCTCACACACACAGGGAGGGGGCAGTGGAGAGTGGCAATCCATAGGGGGCAGCAGTGAGCAGTGGTCACACACACACACACACAGGGAGGGGGCAGTGGAGAGTGGCCATCCATAGGGGGCAGCAGTGAGCAGTGGTCACACACAGGAACATGAGCCTTGCGCACTCACCGGGCCGGGCTAGGGTGGTCTCCACTCGTTTCTTCTTAGTGGGGGGCTCCTCCTGGAACACAACTGGTTTATTAGACTGGGGAGAAGAGTCAGGAGCTGCACCCCCGTCCTGCAGCGGCCTGGTACTCACCACCTTGTCGGGGTCCTTGCTGGGCGCAGAGGAGGGGCTGTCCTGAACCTTCTCTGTGTAGCGGAGGAGCAGCGAGTTCCCCAGACGGGACCCCAAGAATAAATATCCGGGCTCCATTAATGTCATCTGTGGAGGGGGAGGGGAGGTTAGTGGGGAATGAGGGGGCTCCGAGGTCCCTCCAGTCCTGACAGCGCAATACTCACCGATGTGGTCAGCACGCTGGCTGCGGCCTTGTCAAAGTAAAAAGAGCGAACGCTTCGCATCCCGTCCGTGATCAGAGTCAGCACATAGCTGGGGAGAGAATATAGGAGACGATGCAGGGACATCACACACCTGTACTGGTATTATATAGCAGACGATGCAGGGACATCACACCTGTACTGGTATTATATAGCAGACGATGCAGGGGACATCACACCTGTACTGGTATATAGGGGACGATGTATGGACATCACACCTTATATCAGGTGTCCCCACTAGAGTGCCCTCTTACATCGGGTGTCCCGCCAGAGTGCCCCCTTACATATCAGGATCCCCCATCAGAATGCCCCCTTACATCAGGATCCCCCATCAGAGTGTCACCTTACATCAGGATGCTCCCATCCAGAGTGTGTCCCCCTTACATCAGGTGCCCCACATCAGTGTGTCCCCTTACATCAGGGTGCCCCCATCAGTGTGCCCCCTTACATCAGGTGCCCCCATCAGAGTGCCCCCTTACATCAGGTGCCCCCTTACATCTGGTGCCCCTACCAGAGTGCCCCCTTACATCTGGTGCCCCTACCAGAGTGCTCCCTTACATCAGGTGCCCCTACCAGAGTGCCCCCTTACATCTGGGGCCCCTACCAGAGTGCTCCCTTACATCAGGTGCCCCCATCAGAGTGCCCCCTTACATCAGGATCCCTTCATCAGAGTGCCCCCTTAGATCAGGTGCCACAACAAGAGTGCCCCCTTACATCAGTGTCCCCTCAAGAGTGCCCCCTTACATCAGTGCCCCAGCGTGCCCTCTTACATCAGGTGTCCCATCATCTAGAGTGCCCCTCCTTACATCAACTGCTCTCCTTACAATCTGATCAGTGATCCCCCATCAGAGTGCCCCCTTACATCAGGTGTCCCCTACCAGTATAGTGAATCCCTGGTACATACAGACGGATCCTTTTAATCCAGACCTGTCCCCCTCCCCCTCCAGGGATTCCCCCCCCCCCCGACCAGACCATTATTTTGCTACACGGCGCTGCGTTACTTTAACTGACAATTGCGCAGTCATGCAGGCTGCACCCAAATTAAATTTAGTCCTTTTTATCCCACAAATTGAGCCCTACATCTGGTGGTATTTGATCCCCTGCGCGTTTTTTATTTTCCCACTCTAAAAAAAACCAAATACCGACAATTTTGAGTGAAAAAAAACAAGATTTTTGACATTTTTGCTATTAAACACGTCCAGTAAAAAAAATGTAAAAAAATAATTCCGTCATAAATTTAGGCCAAAATGTATTCTGCTCCGTGTCCTAAAAAAAAAAATGCCCCAAAATATGTAAATTAATCGGTTTACGTGAAAGTTATAGCGTCTATAAATGGCGGGAAAGTGCCCTGGAGTCTTTTAGTTTTTTTTTTTACTTTTAATGGCGGCGATCAGCCCCGGGAGTGACTTGGGGTCACTGACATCCCCAGTGACACCAATACAGTGATCAGTGCTAAAAAAAAAAAAAAAAAGCACTGACACTGTACTAATGTCACTGCAGGAAGGGGTTAACATGAGGGGCGATCACAAGGGTTAACTGTGTCCACCAGTGTTTTACCAGGGGGCGGGGTCTGTGTGCTTCACTGTACTCACACTGATCTGGATGGCTGTGCAGTGTGCACGAGCTGACAGGGAGGAGGACTGTTAGTAAACAAAGCTGCCCCCCTCCCTGTAGGTGATCCTCGGAAATCACCGGTTGGGACCCGGTGATTGACAACCACGAATGGCGGCACAAACAGGGCGCGCGCCCCCTACCCGGAAATACAAAATCACGTATATAGAAGTGATTTTGTGCACCCCAGCCACCCTGTAGCAGTATATCCGTTATAGGGCGGTCGGGATGTGGCTAGAGATGGATCTCTAGGAATCTGGCAGTGTATTGGTCAATCTATCGGATTCTGGAAGTATACTGATCACTCTACAGGAATCTGGTGGTCTAGAGATGGATCTATCGGATTCTGGCAGTATATGATCATTGTTTGGGAGTGAAGACAAAATAATGACACGCAATCCGACTCACATCTCTCCTCCCTTCAGAGAAATCACCATTTTGTCGTAGGAGATGAAGGTGGCCTGAGAGCAGTCCAGGGTTATCCGGAAGCCATCCTGTGACTCTGCGGACAGATAATCGTTCAGTTAATACGAGAAAGGACACGAGAGATATGTATGGATGTGATGGGACAACGGAGGGGATGGGGGGCAAAGATAAGGCACACACACTCTATTGCCCCAAGTATTGGGCCCCCCTCCCAATCATGTGATTCAGGTATTCCAATCCCCTCCCAATCATGTGATTCAGGTGTTCCAATCCCCTCCCAATCATGTGATTCAGGTGTTCCAATCCCCTCCCAATCATGTGATTCAGGTGTCCCCAATCAGACCCTCCCAATCATGTGATTCAGATGTTCCAATCCCCTCCATATCATGTGATTCAGGTGTTCCAATCCCCTCCCAATCATGTGATTCAGGTGTCCCAATCCCCTCCCAATCATGTGATTCAGGTGTTCCAATCCCCTCCCAATCATGTGATTCCGGTGTTCCAATCCCCTCCCAATCATGTGATTCAGGTGTTCCAATCCCCTCCCAATCATGTGATTCAGGTGTCCCAATCCCCTCCCAATCATGTGATTCAGATGTTCCAATCCCCTCCATATCATGTGATTCAGGTGTTCCAATCCCCTCCCAATCATGTGATTCAGGTGTCCCAATCCCCTCCCAATCATGTGATTCAGGTGTCCCAATCCCCTCCCAATCATGTGATTCAGGTGTTCCAATCCCCTCCCAATCATGTGATTCAGGTGTTCCAATCCCCTCCCAATCATGTGATTCAGGTGTCCCAATCCGTTCCCAGTCATGTGATTCAGGTGTCCCAATCCGTTCCCAGTCATGTGATTCAGGTGTTCCGATCCCCTCCATATCATGTGATTCAGGTGTTCCAATCCCCTCCATGGACACAGGTGTATACAATCAAGCCCCTAGGCATGCAGACGGCTTCTACAAACATTGGTGAAAGAATGGGTCGCTCTCAGGAGCTCAGTGACTCCAAGCGTGGTCCCGTGATAGGTGGCCACCTGGGCAATAAGTCCATCCGTGACATTTCCTGGCTACTAAATATTCCACGCTCAACTGTTAGTGGGATTATAACAAAGTGGAAGCCACTGGGAACAACAGCCACTCAGCCACCAAGTGGTAGGCCACGTCACATGACAGGGCGGGGTCAGCGCATGCTGAAGCGCACAGTGCGCAGAAGTCACCAACTGTCTGCAGAGTCAATAGCTAAAGACCTCCAAACTTGGTGTGGCCTTCAGATGAGCCCAACAACAGTGCGTAGAGAGCTTCATGGAATGGGTTTCCATGGCCGAGCAGCTGCATCCAAGCCTTCCATCACCAAGTGCAATGCAAAGCGTCGGATGCCGTGGTGTAAAGCATGCCGTCACTGGACTCTAGAGCAGTGGAGGCATGTTCTCTGGAGTGGCCAATCACGCTTCTCTGTCTGGCAATCCAATGGACATGTCTGGGTTTGGCGGTTGCCAGGAGAACGGTACTTGCCTGACTGCATTGTGCCAAGTGTAATGTTTGGTGGAGGGGGGGTTTGTGTGTGTGGGGTTGTTTTTCAGGGGTTGGGCTTGGCCCCCTAGTTCCAGTGAAGGGAACTCTTAAGTCGACATTTTGGACAATTTCATGCTCCCAACTTTGTGGGAGGAGTTTGGGGATGGCCCCTTCCTGTTCCAACATGACTGCCCACCAGTACACAAAGCAAGGTCCATAAAGACATGGAGGAGCCAGTTTGGGGTGGAGGAACGTGACTGTCCTGCACAGAGTCCTGACCTCAACCCCATAGAACACCTTTGGGATGAATTAGAGCGGAGACTGCGAGCCAGGCCTCCTCCCCCGACATCAGTGCCTGACCTGACAAATGTGCTTCTGGAAGAATGGTCCAACCTTCCCATAGACACCCTCCTAAACCTTGTGGACGGCCTTCCCAGAAGAGTTGAAGCTGTTATAGCTGCAAAGGGCGGGGCCAACTCAATATTGAACCCTACGGACTAAGACTGGGGGGCCATTAAAGGTCATGTGTGGAAAGGGCGGAGCCAACTCAATATTGAACCCTGCGGACTAAGACTGGGAGGCCATTAAAGGTCATGTGTGTGGGAAGGGCGGGGCCAACTCAATATTGAACCTTATGGACTAAGACTGGGGGGCCATTAAAGGTCATGTGTGTGTGGCAAGGGCGGGGCCAACTCAATATTGAACCCTATGGACTAAGACTGGGGGGCCATTAAAGGTCATGTGTGTGTGGGAAGGGCGGGGCCAACTCAATATTGAACCCTATGGACTAAGACTGGGGGGCCATTAAAGGTCATGTGTGTGGGAAGGGCAGGGCCAACTCCATATTGAACCCTATGGACTAAGACTGGGGGGCCATTAAAGATCATGTGTGTGGGAAGGGTGGGGCCAACTCCATATTGAACCCTATGGACTAAGACTGGGGGGCCATTAAAGATCATGTGTGTGGAAAGGGCGGGGCCAACTCCATATTGAACCTTATGGACTAAGACTGGGGGGGCCATTAAAGGTCATGTGTGTGGGAAGGGCGGGGCCAACTCAATATTGAACCCTACAGACTAAGACTGGGGGGCCATTAAAGGTCATGTGCGTGGGAAGGGCAGCAGCCCAATACTTGGGGCAATATCGTGTACACAAGACAAGGGAAAGGTTGGGGGACATATAGATGGCAGGACCACAAGTCAGGAACAGTTCTGCAATGCAGCACACACATACACAGGACGGGGAGGAGGTGAGAGGGACATGTACATGGGAGGACCACACAGTCCCAATCAGCTCTGCAATGCAGGACGCACGCACGCACGCGCACACACGCACACACACACACACACACACACACACGACTGGATGGATGGCAGGGGGGTGGGACATACTGAGAGGAAAGGAGGTGGTCCCATTGGTCAGACTGTTGAGTGACACTCCATAGGGGGGAACACTTTGGTTCAGATACAGCAGAGAGTTCACAGCGAAGATCACAACCCCACCTGTGGAGAGAAGAGCCATCAAAGCCATGTCAATACAAATGCTGTCTTCACAAATCTAGGGACTGGGAATTTCCAGAGAACAATGTAAAATATACTCCTATATACCTCTATTCCATGCCCCGGGTCACGTGACTGCCTTGCACTTTCCCTGATCAGAACGGGCCACGCGGTGGAGGAGCCCAGCCTCCCCGCCATGCATTGAAATATCAGGAGGGGCCGCTAGCAAACACCCTTTCCCTCCCTGTCAGGATCCCAGCCTCACCACCTGATGGGGCATGTAAGCAGTGTTTGATTGACAGCGGCTCCTCCTACCACTGCAATTTATGGTAAGGCACACTGATCCCGCCTACGCGGATCAGAGGGAAGAGCAAGCCATAGATGCATTATTTTTATTTACTGCCACTAATGTAGGCCATAGACAGGTCCAAAATCGGCCGATTTTCGCACTGTTAGTGGGTTAATTGGTCGGCTGTTTTTCGGGGTTTTGGCACTTTTTTTATTGGTGAAAAAAAATCAGCCGATTTTCCCGGAAATGATGGGCAAATCGGCCGATCGTTTTACCGATAAAAAATCTACGCATGAGCCGTGACCTGCAAGAAGAAAAAAAGAAGAAAAAAAAAGAAAAGAAAAAGAAAGAAAAGAAAAAGTAAAAGAAAAAAAAAAAAAAAAAAGAAGAAAAAGATGAAAAAGAAAAAGAAGCAAAAGAAGAATAAGAAGAAGCAGAAGAAAAAAAAGAAGATAAAAAAGAAGATGAAGAAAAGAAGAAAAGAAGATGAAAAAGAAAAAGAAGAAGTAAAAGAAAAAGAAGAAGTAAAGAAAAAGAAGAAAAAGAAGAGGAAAAAGAAGAAGCAGAAGAAAAAAGAAAGAGAAAGAAGAAGAATTCCAGTCCGCTATTATATTTGACATGAAAAAGTATTGCGGTTGCAACAATGTATCTATTTGTATCTATTTGTATCTGAATAAAACCATCTGTATCCGAAATGGATACATTGTTGCAACCGCAATACTTTTTCATGTCAAATAAAATAGCGGAGCTCTCTGCAGGGACAGAAGTAATTAAATGCCGGCCGTAGACGGGACGAAAATCGGCCGATTTTTTTTTACCGTTGTTGGTAACGTCGGCCTATTAAACGACCGATTTTTCTTTTTTTTTTTTTTTAAACGGCTGGTTTTCAACCCATCTATGGCCTGCATAACAAGAGGAAGTTACTGGCAGGATCAACAGTTACTTCATATAATTCAATGTAATGAAAAAAAAAAAAACAAAAAGATGCAGAAAGTTATACAGAATGTATTGCAGAGACTATGTGTGCGGTTGGCTTTTCTGGGGTGGGGGGAGGGGTGGTATTGACACTTCAATACATGGTGCTCGTCCAATCACTTACCGATGGGTTTGGGGACAGCCAGCGCCTGGGTACAGTCAAACGGTAAGCTGGAGAGGGACCAGATGACAGGATGGACCTTCTGGAGGATGTTCAGAGAGATGGCGACAATACTGCACGTGTCCTGGCGTACGGCGACACGTCTGTGAAGAGACACGGGACACGTAAACCTTCAATGGGCTCTGCGCACAGACCATGGCGGAGGGGGGGGGGGGTTGGGACACAGGAATCGGTCACCTACCCCGGCCACGTCTGGTTTGGCTCAAAGAGGATGAGGAGGGTCGGTTCGTAGTACCCGTGCAGGAACTGGAGGTCGATAATGTTCAGCAGCTTCTCATCTAATTCCCGGACGTCGATGATGTAGCTGGGAAGAAAGCTGGACTTCTGCCTGCAGGGATGAGAGACGGCCTGGATTACCCATCTGTATGCTGCTATATCTCCTCCCTATATCCCCTCCCACACAGAGCTGACCCCCCGGGCCACAGCAACCAATGGGAAAGGTTCAATCACCGATCTACATACCGCTATATCTTCTCCCACACAGAGCTGACCCCCCCCAGGCCACAGCAACCAATGAGAATGATTCAATCACTGATCTGTATACTGCTATATCTCCTCCCACACAGAGCCCCCCCCGGACCACAGCAACCAATGGGATTGCACATCTTATAACTCCCGCCTACACACACCACAGTCCACGGCTTCTATTCGCCACTGTGCTACATACTGGGCAACATGCCACAGCAACCAATGGCAATGCAAACCCCATAACCCACCCATACACACCACTGTCCATTGCTGATGTTTACTGCTGTAAGTTGCTCCCCCCTCACGCAGCCAGGCCCCTCTGTCCTCACGCCGCCGGGCCCCTCCGCCCCTCACGCAGCCAGGCCCCTCCGCCCCTCACGCAGCCAGGCCCCGCCGCCCCTCACGCAGCCAGGCCCCGCCGCCCCTCATGCAGCCAGGCCCCTCACCCCGCCAGGCCCCTCTGCCTCTCACGCAGCCAGGCCCCTCCGCCCCTCACGCAGCCAGGCCCCTCCGCCCCTCACGCAGCCAGGCCCCTCCGCCCCTCATGCAGCCAGGCCCCTCACCCCGCCAGGCCCCTCTGCCTCTCACGCAGCCAGGCCCCTCCGCCCCTCATGCAGCCAGGCCCCTCACCCCGCCAGGCCCCTCTGCCTCTCACGCAGCCAGGCCCCTCCGCCCCTCATGCAGCCAGGCCCCTCATGCAGCCAGGCCCCTCATGCAGCCAGGCCCCTCCACCCCTCACGCAGCCAGGCCGCTCCGCCCCTCACCCCGCCAGGCCCCTCACGCAGCCAGGCCCCTCCGCCCTCACGCAGCCAGGCCCCTCACGGAGCCAGGCCCATCCGCCCTCACGCCGCCAGGCCCCTCACGCAGCCAGGCCCCTCCGCCCCTCACGCAGCCAGGCCCCTCACGCAGCCAGGCCCCTCCGCCCCTCACGCAGCCAGGCCCCTCCGCCCCTCACGCAGCCAGGCCCCTCCGCCCCTCACGCCGCCAGACGCTCACCCCTCAGACATCGGTCCCTCGTGCTCCTCTGCCAGGGTATCCCTCCGGAAAGGCAGTACCACCAGTCTGGTTCCATAGATCAGCATAACAGCACATCGCCCGCTGGGGTCCACCCGAACTTTGGGAATATGGACATTGTGCACAAAGCCGTCCTGTGAAGAGAGAGCCGGGAGACGCACACAAAGGGTTAGACTGGAGGACAGCACTATATGGTCACATAGACTGACCAGAGTTTACCATCGGGGGGATGCGGGGGACCATTCCACCCTCACACACCCCTTGTACAAGGGTGAGGACCTGCTGGGCGAAAGGCCGTCCATTCCAGTGATGGGACCTTAGTGAGTCTTAAAAGCCATTAGCAGATCTAAAGGATATCGTACAATCAGATTGCATGTGGTCTGCTTATCAGTGACCACTGTAATTCACACACTACAGAGCTAGCAGGGTGGATGGGAGGACAACAGAGAGGAGACCCCTGTGCCATACTGAACAGCAAGGTGAAGAATAAGGACACCATCCAGCTGATTGGGCAAAGAAGAAGCAGCAGAATATGGCAGCAGCTATCTCGATCCTCTCTCCTCCTGTAAGTGAGCACTCCCTGTGCTAGACAGACAGTAATGTGCAGTGCAATGACTGACCGGCTCTGACTGCTCATGGGCGGGTTCAGAGCTAGGGACTTGATGCACTGCCCAAGCTCTCATTCTATTGGCTACCATTTTTTACCCTTTCAGTGTGGTTGGATGATGCTTATATGAACCCCCTATGACTGGGGACCCCGGGGTCTATAGTAAGGGCAGAACTCAAGTATTTCATGTGACCCCCCCTTATTTCCCAGCACTAACATTTCGGGTTTATCCGCATTTTGCATGAGTCGGTAAGGCTGGGGGGGGGGGGGATTGTCTGGCGATTGTACAATCACTTTGTATAGTGTATGGCTCGAGTTATGTACATTATCAATTTTAGATACATTTTACTCATTTTTATATATTTATCCCCATTAGGTCCATATTGTAACCGGAATGTATCATTTTGATAAATATTATTTGTATTATAATTTTTTTACCCAATCGATGAACTGAAAGGGTTTAGCATTCACGCTCTCATATTTGTCTGAGGTTTTAGTATTTTCATTTTGGCACTTCCAAGGCTACTGGCCGTTTGGTTTTAACCTCTTTACGTTGGCCGAACGCAAGTGTGCGGCCTACGGCATCCGGGCCTAGACGCTGAGCGGCCACACATTTGCGTTCAATTAAAAAAAAAAAACATATGTGCTGAGAGCGCTCGCCCTGCGCACTCCCAGCACACATGTCCGGTACTCACGGAAAGGTCCCAATCTCCTCTTTCGATCGGGATCTTTCCCGATCATGTGACCGCCGTGACAGGGCAGTCACATGATCCTAAACCCCGCCTTTTGAAACCCTTAAAGGGCTGGGAGGCGGCAGCGTGAAGGGGTCAAATAAGACCCCAAGGAGGCGACAGTGTATGGATATTGGACTGATATGGAGATGTCCTCAGGTTTTCTCAGGCCCCAATGAAGCCGGCGCTCTTGAACCCCTGAAACGCGTTGGCTACTTTTTGTGCTGTCCCCCCCAACTTTGGAATAAAGTTGTATCCGGAACTCTTAGCAGTGGTGTGACTCTTCAGTTGCTATTAGTCTTACATTACAGTACAAGCCAAGGAGACCATAGAGAGCATCTAGGACAGGGGTAGGCAACCTGTGGCTCTCTAGCTGTTGTGGAACTACATTTCCCATGAGGCATTGCAAAGATGACAAAACTGACAGTTACAGCTATGACTATACAGCAGAGGCATGATGGAACTTGTAGTCCTGCGGCTCTCAGGTTGCCTACCCCTGATCTAGGGTGTAGAAGGCTCCTTCCCGGAGACCAGATCACTGACCTCAATAATGGTTGTAAACCTCAGACATGAAACATGAACAAAGCATATCCCTCTATAGTGTGTACTTGTCTCGTGCCAGAGCTCTAAGTGTCATTTCTGTCTGCTGCCTCCTTCCTCTGACAAGCTTTCCTGACATCAAGAGAAAAAAGGTGACAGGAGAGGGAACTCCAGCACACAGCCTGTGATTGTCATCTTCAGCTCTGTTCCTCTGTGCTGTGTGAATGGAGTGTGTCCCTTCCCTCCAATCAGCTCTCAGAGCTCTCCTTACTGAGTGTAATTTCAGCTCCCCACCCCTGCTTTCTGAAAGCTCAGACAAGCTATATAAACTCAACATTTTGAATGGCTGTAGGAGAGAAGACAGCAGATAAACAGGTACAACTTATGTAGGAGGATTTGTTTCATCTCTGTGTATGAACCGAGGCCAGTGACTGCACTGGGGATATGGAGGGTTTACAACAGTTTAAGATATAAATACCAGTGAGGATACCCTGTGGGCCCAGCACTATTTTTTTCAGCTTTCTTCCACTTTCCTTCTGACACCATAAGTCCATAACAGAGAGGAGTGAACAGAGGTGTCATACAATGAGATTACAGGAAGTACACGGGGATACAATGTACAATCAAAAACAAAGAGTCAGGACCCCACAGTGAGCAGAACCCGGCCTCAGGACTGAGTTCAGTACGAGAGACTTCCCACCCACCCGCAGCTCCGGCTCCTCGAAGTAATGCAGGGAGAGAGTCTTCAGATCGTGTATTTCCGGGTCATATTCCACCACCGACAGCTGCAACACACAAAACATGAGACCAGGTGTCAAGGATTCGCTTTAAAACGATCACCCTGTCACGTGTCCACCACACGCCACGCCCACAGCGACTAGCTAACCGTGACGCACGCGTGCGGCCGAGACAGGGTGGTAAAGAGGGGGAATAAAGAGATTTACACTTAAATATCTCAAACCGTATATAAGATCAGCCGTGATACCTTTTCACAGCCCGCACTACCTCTGGCCACCACCAGATGGAGACTCCACTCCAATCCAGCTGGTCGGCCACACACTGGCAGATACGATCTTACATACAACCTGATGCCCTGATTAGAGTTGAGGACCAGCTTAGTAATCACACACCCTTCTAAAGGTCCCTTCAGCTATCCTAGCTTGAACCCCGGTGTTGATAACCCTTCCACTGTCCACACACCCCCACACCAGACGCACCATAAAGGTAGCCTGCCACCACCCAACAGTTTATCCGCAGAATGGTCTGTTGAGACACCACACCCACACAGATCTCCGTCTGGCAGATCTGTTACCTTTGCAATCTGCGTGCAATCTGCCCACTCACAGTGCAGTTGCATACAGATTGGCAATGAGCTTAACCGAGCGTTTTAAAGGCACTAAAATACAATACAATATAACCCAATCTAATCTCTCCAATCTAATCTCTCCAATCTAGTCTCTCCAATCTAGTCTCTCCGAAGATATGAGCACGTGCTTAAGTACACAGAAGTTCACTAATTAATTTTAAGATTTAATTTCCCAAAGTGGGCAGTGCATAAAAATATGTACAAAAGATAAAAGGTTACAGCAAATACAAAAGATATAAGAAGACACACAAATGACTAATTACTATAAAATAAAAGGGAATAAAAAGACAGAATAACACTTTACCCTGCGGCTGGAGCAAGCCAGAAACTTGGCAATCCGCTAGTCAATCGAACCAGCTCCGTACGGATCACCCTGTCCAAATGTCCATGCGTTCAATTTATTGCGATTTGGACATGGGCGGGACACCAGTCTTCGGCCAATTGACTCTGGGGGAGGTGGTCCCGACCTGCCCACAAAGAGGTACTGTGTATGGACCTGCCCAAGTTCAATTGGGCCGAGACTGGCCTGAACACCAAGTCGGGGACTGGATTTCTGACACCGGCGCATCAGCCCGATCGCAACAGTACCAAACACCATCCGACTGTCGCACCCCCGCGTCATCTAATCATTCCATGCATTTCCCTGGCTTCCTCCCCAAGCCACAACTATGATTCTTATATGTAAATGTAGCGCACAGAATGGTCTGCACAAAGGAAGCATTTCCATCTCTCTCCAACTAATATTTTGGCTTTTGTAAGAGATTAAACATACTTCTTTGATGTGAATATTACTTATAGAGCTTTCCACAAAAGGCAGACCGTCTGTCTGCTGTCACTGGTTTTCCTAGAAGGTGATAACCTGATTGACACACAAAAGTTGTCACCTCCAGGAACCTGGCTTTAGACTAATTAATGCTAAATGATGATTGGGTCTGTAAGGCCTATTGAGTAATTGTGTATACATACACATCTGACCCCAGACCATTTGTACCTTCTATTCATTTCCCTACTGCCCAGGGGCTCAATGTACATCCTTAATGACCAGACTGTTCCTGCACACACCTTTGTAATGAAAAGGCGCCCTGACATAATCTAATCTACTCAACCTGTCATGGCTATGATACCATATTTCCACTCAAATCTTACATGTCCGTTACAATAAATCTTACATGTACATTACACCAGGGTTAGGACTGACAGCAGGTAGAACATGGACCCCAGGGTCAGACAGCAAACCTATCCCGGATCCCAATGGAGGGGGTGAAGGACTTTAAAATAAGAACCACAGGGGGGGGGGTTGGGTGCTGGACGATATCACAGAACATTGGCCGTGTCATGGAGCACAATGTGGGCGGAAGGTGGAAGACATCAGACAGACAGTGGACGTATCACGGAGCCCAATGTAGGGGAAGGTGGAAGACATCAGACGTATCATGGAGCCCAATGTAGGGGAAGGTGGAAGACATCACACGTATCATGGAGCCCAATGTAGGGGAAGGTGGAAGACATCACACGTATCATGGAGCCCAATGTGGGGAAGGTGGAAGACATCACAGACAGTGGAAGTATCATGGAGCCAAATGTGGGTGGAAGGGTGGAAAACATCAGACAGACAGTGGACGTATCATGGAGCCCAATGTGGGTGGAAGGGTGGAAAACATCAGACAGACAGTGGACGTATCATGGAGCCCAATGTGGGTGGAAGACATCACAGACAGTGGACGTATCATGGAGCCCAATGTGGGTGGAAGACATCACAGACAGTGGACGTATCATGGAGCCCAATGTGGGTGGAAGGGTGGAAGACATCACACAAAAAGTGGACGTATCATGGAGCCCAATGTGGGTGGAAGGGTGGAAGACATCACACAACAGTGGACGTATCATGGAGCCCAATGTGGGTGGAAGGGTGGAAGACATCAGACTGACAGTGGACGTATCATGGAGCACAATGTGGGGGAAGGCGGAAGACATCAGACAGACAGTGGACGTATCATGGAGCCCAATGTGAAAAGTGGAAGACATCAAACAGACATCAGACGTAGCATGGAGCGCAATGTGAGGGAAAGGTGGAAGACATCTGGCAGACAGTGGACATACCACAGACAAATGCGACCCATCAGATAGGCTGACAGGTGATATGGTAGGATGGGGAACCAACCTTGGCCTCCTTGAAGCTCAGTAGAAGGGCATCTCTCTTGGCTCCAGCCAACTGAACACTGGCCATAGACATGACATTGCCGAAAAAAAATGAGAATGACGCCATCAACTCCAACTTCTCCTTGTGACCTTTGACCTCTGTGTAAAATATGCAGTATAAGAGGAGAGACCAGGGAAGGGGGGGGGGGGGGAAAGATAGAGGAGAGAAGTGGAAGGAAGACAGAATAGAGCAAGGAAGGAAGGCAGCATTTACTGATCCCCTCAGCTTTAGATGATCAGAAGGAAAGGGGAGCAGAGAGAGAGAAGGAAGACAGGCAGGAAGCATGGATGGACGGCAGGTAGGCAAGAAGGAAGCATGGATGGACGGCAGGTAGGCAAGAAGGAAGCATGGATGGATGGAAGGCAGGAAGGAAAGACGTATGGGGGGGTACAGCGGTGTCACCTGATCCTCTCTCAGCTTTAGATGAGCTCTGTAATTACAAAGAAGACAAAGTCAGAATTATGTGGGGGGTCTTCTGACTCAAACTACACAATCTGGAGTATATGGGGGTCATAATTCCCAACACACGGTCAGGAGGAGGACGGCAGGGTCCTCTGTCTCCCCAGTCATGAGGAGTACGGCAGGGTCCTCTGTCTCCCCAGTCAGGAGGAGGACGGCAGGGTCCTCTGTCTCCCCAGTCAGGAGGAGGACGGCAGGGTCCTCTGTCTCCCCAGTCAGGAGGAGGACGGCAGGGTCCTCTGTCTCCCCAGTCAGGAGGAGGACGGCAGGGTCCTCTGTCTCCCCAGTCAGGAGGAGGACGGCAGGAGCCTCTGTCTCCCCAGTCAGGAGGAGGACGGCAGGAGCCTCTGTCTCCCCAGTCAGGAGGAGGACGGCAGGAGCCTCTGTCTCCCCAGTCAGGAGGAGGACGGCAGGAGCCTCTGTCTCCCCAGTCAGGAGGAGGACGGCAGGAGCCTCTGTCTCCCCAGTCAGGAGGAGGACGGCAGGAGCCTCTGTCTCCCCAGTCAGGAGGAGGACGGCAGGAGCCTCTGTCTCCCCAGTCAGGAGGAGGACGGCAGGAGCCTCTGTCTCCCCAGTCAGGAGGAGGACGGCAGGAGCCTCTGTCTCCCCAGTCAGGAGGAGGACGGCAGGAGCCTCTGTCTCCCCAGTCAGGAGGAGGACGGCAGGAGCCTCTGTCTCCCCAGTCAGGAGGAGGACGGCAGGAGCCTCTGTCTCCCCAGTCAGGAGGAGGACGGCAGGAGCCTCTGTCTCCCCAGTCAGGAGGAGGACGGCAGGAGCCTCTGTCTCCCCAGTCAGGAGGAGGACGGCAGGAGCCTCTGTCTCCCCAGTCAGGAGGAGGACGGCAGGAGCCTCTGTCTCCCCAGTCAGGAGGAGGACGGCAGGAGCCTCTGTCTCCCCAGTCAGGAGGAGGACGGCAGGAGCCTCTGTCTCCCCAGTCAGGAGGAGGACGGCAGGAGCCTCTGTCTCCCCAGTCAGGAGGAGTACGGCAGGAGCCTCTGTCTCCCCAGTCAGGAGGAGTACGGCAGGAGCCTCTGTCTCCCCAGTCAGGAGGAGTACGGCAGGAGCCTCTGTCTCCCCAGTCAGGAGGAGTACGGCAGGAGCCTCTGTCTCCCCAGTCAGGAGGAGTACGGCAGGAGCCTCTGTCTCCCCAGTCAGGAGGAGTACGGCAGGAGCCTCTGTCTCCCCAGTCAGGAGGAGTACGGCAGGAGCCTCTGTCTCCCCAGTCAGGAGGAGTACGGCAGGAGCCTCTGTCTCCCCAGTCAGGAGGAGTATGGCAGGGTCCTCTGTCTCCCCAGTCAGGAGGAGTACGGCAGGAGCCTCTGTCTCCCCAGTCAGGAGGAGTATGGCAGGAGCCTCTGTCTCCCCGGTAAGCATTGGTACCCCGGGGGCCCCGGCGGTCACACATACCTCGGCGTGGTGGTTGAGGCGGTACACATAGAGTTGGGATGTTCCGGCCACCACCAGGTTCTTCTCGGTGTTATTGAAGAAGTTGCAATACATGGAGAACTCCAGGCCGGTGGGGGGATGGGCCTGCCGGTACACCGCGTACATCCTGTCCAGAGAGAGCACAATGCATGTACACCACCAGAAAACGCGCGCGTCTTTTTTCAGCCAGACTAACTATGTACAGACTGGGGGGGGGGGGTGGTGATTTCCCTGGGGGGGAGACACCGAGAGGAAACAATACTGGGGGGAAGGGATTCCCTGGGGGACACACAGAACAGAGTACTGGGGGGAAGGGATTCCCTGGGGGGGGGACACAGGGGACAGAGTACTGGGGGGAAGGGATTCCCTGGGGGGGGGACACAGGACAGAGTACTGGGGGGAAGAGATTCCCCTGGGGGGGGGACACAGGACAGAGTACTGGGGGGAAGAGATTCCCTGGGGGACACACAGGACAGAATACTGGGGGGAAGGGATTCCCTGGGGGACACACAGGACAGAATACTGGGCGGAAGGGATTCCCTGGGGGGGGACACAGGACAGAGAAAAACTGGGGGGAAGGGATTCCCTTGGGGACACAGAGGGCAGAATACTAGGGGGAAGGGATTCCCTGGGACACACAGGACAGAGTACGGGGGGGGGGAAGGGATTCCGTGGGGGACACACAGGACAGAGTACTGGATCCCTGGGGGGACGGGATTCCCTGGGGGGGGGGTTTCTGGGGGGGGGGGGGGACACAGGACAGAGAACTGGGGGGAAGGGATTCCCTTGGGGACACAGAGGACAGACTACTGGGGGGGAAGGGATTCCCTGGGGGACACACAGAGGACAGACTACTGGGGGGAAGGGATTCCCTGGGACACACAGTCCCCCCAAGATCTCACCTGCCGCTTTTTTGCCCCCCACGCCGGTAGAGCTTCTCAGACACAAAACCAAACGGATATCCGGTCAGAAGACCATAGAGCGTTCCTGACAGACAAGCCCGGCGTGTACCGCTGACGTTTCCATGGCGACATGCGGAGGAAAGGAAGGACGTTCACCCATCTTTGTCTACCCGGAAAAGTAATTACATCTAGCGGACATCTTTGTACACCTTTGTGCGCTCCACGGTTATGGCACCATCTTGATACACCCAACATTTTGTCTGGCGACGGAGACTCCGCGCCATCTTGGTACACCCAGGTATCGGTATGCGCTCCAGGGGTTCTGCATGCTCTTTATACAACCAAATGACGATCAGTGTGCTAAGATTCGGTGCCATCTTGGTACACTAAGGTATTGGTCTACCTTCCTGGGGCTTGGTGCCATCTTGGTACACCCAGGTATTGGTCCACTTTCCAGGGACTTGGTTCCATCTTGGTACACCCAGGTATTGGTTCATGCTCCAGGGTCTCAGTGCCATCTTGGTACACCCAGGTATTGGTCCACTTTCCAGGGACTTGGTACCATCTTGGTACACCTAGGTATTTGTTCACCCTCCTGGGATTGAGTGCCATCTTGGTACACCCAGATATTGGTCCACTCTCTAGGGACTTAGTGCCATCTTTGTACACCCAGGTATTGGTCCACTGTCCTGGGACTGGGCACCATCTTGGTACACCCAGGTATTGGTCCATGCTCCAGGGACTCAGTGCCATCTTTGCACTCCCAGGTGTTTGTCCACCCTCCTGGGACTCGGTACACCCAGGTATTGGTCCACTGTCCTGGGACTTGGTTCCATCTTGGTACACCCAGGTATTTGTTCATCCTCCTGGGACTCACTGCCACCCTGGTACCCCCAGATATATATATATTGGTCCTCTCTCTAGGGACTCAGTGCCATCTTGGTACACCCAGGTATTCGTCCACTTTCCAAGGATTCAGTGCCATCTTTGTACACCCAGGCATTGGTCGACTGTCCTGGAACTTGGTGCCATCTTGGTACACCCAGGTATTGGTCACTTTCCAGAGACTAGTGCCATCTTGGTAACCCCAGGTATTGGTACATTTCCAGGGAACACATATTAGGTTTTGTGGCTGATGAAGGTGGTAATTAAACTCACCTAGTACCTTATCTGCATTAAATTAGCCCTGTGTCATTAATATGTGTTTGGGTTTAAAGGGATGAGGTGGCAACCCAACTCCAGGGACACGGTGCCATCTTGACATGAAGTCTCTGAGTGACTTGGGTAATGTCAGGGACGTGAACAGATCTCCAATGGCCAGTTATTGTTAGTCAAGCAGCAAATAGAAAATCAACCACTACAGTCCATAAAGGGTTGAAGGTCTACACCTACGCTCAACAAGTGGAGGCGCACCACCACCGTAGTGAAGGGTATTAAGTGTTACTTCTGCTAAGATTCGGAAAACTGAAGACCAGACGCTTCTAAAATGTTTACATGCCCATGGAACAGGGGTCCCTAAATGTTCTATACAAAGAGCCAGTTTGCTGTTCTGCAGACATTAGAGGGCGGGAGCTTGGCCAGTGGGGTGGTAACCAATACACATTTTTATAGCGGGCGTGTAAGTCTCGACTCATTTCCAGCCTGGAATGGAAGGTGGCTTCAAAGTTGTTTTTCAGAATGGTAGAGTGAAGTACTTAGAGCCATACTGTCCAGGCTTGGCTTGTTTGCAGAGTTCTATAGGGAGTCTCCAAATTATGGCCCTCCAGCTGTTGAAGTACTAGAAGTCCCATCATGCCTCTGGGAGCCTTGTCTGTGGCTGTCAGAGTCTTGCAAGGCCTCATGGGACTTGCAGTTCCTCAACACTTTAAGGGCCATGGTTTGGAGACCCCTGCGTCTATATGGAAGCCTTCAAAGTGTCCAAAGGTAAAGAAAAAGGAAGGAGAAAATACTTTATTCAGATATAAGTGGAAGGATTTCCAGTTACAAAGCTACATTGTGCGATGTATGTCTCAAGCTTCTTCTACGGGGGGTCCCTGTTACCCGTAATACTGCAGAAGACCGGACCTTTTGGTATTCCTGGAGGTGGGATACATCTGAGAGATGGTGGAACCTGGTACCCAGGTACAAATACATCCGAAATAGAGAAAACTGAGGGAATATGAACTGGGTCATGGTGAGGAGCATCTGGAGAGATACCATGGGGAATGTAGCACCCCTCTGACACCCCAAAGGTAGGACAGCACCTCCAGAGGCCAGGGGCAGGCTAGCATTTCACCCCAGGGCTGAGTCCATGGCTAACATGGGGGGCCGAGGAAGGATATTGGGCGCCAGTCACTTTTTATCGCAGAACGGTGAAGGAGGTGAGGGTTAGGGGTCCCAAATACTGTAGCAGATCATCCACAGACTCTCCACTGTGTCATATCCTTTAAGCTGAACGTGCGACACTGGAAGCACATTCCCAAATTTCAGTGCGTCCTCCAAGTGAGTCACCAGGCACTTCTGAGAGACCAGCCTTCTTCCTGGCTCTCTCCAGCAAGGGGCCTCTCCTGGGGTCTCCTCCTTGGCCCAGCTTCCTCCAGACCATGCAGGATGGCTTCAGGACCACTTCAGCACACGTTTGGCCCCACATGGGCTATTGGACCCAACAGCAGAGCTCCATCCAGCAGTACCTGCCTAGGCCTAAGCCCAGGGGAAGAGAATGAACACATGCCCTGTCCCAAATATTTATATCCTCCCCCAGTATGCATCAGCGGCATAAACCTACTGGATTGGCTGAAGGAAATATAAATACTCATAACTCAGTCTTGTTGGTGAAATCTCATACTATGGCCAGGGGTAACAGTGACACCTACTGGCCACAGTGAGAAATCACAAGCCAGCTTAAGCTGAGGGAAAAACCAAGTGAAGAACTATACAATCTGGGCTAAGTACCTCCCGGCCGAGGACTAAACGGCAACAATAGTCCTGATTAGGGCAAGAGGGGCTACAGGAGCACTCAGTACCCCGGAGTAACCGGCAACTATTGCGGAGTCACTTCAGTCCTCAAACACCAGTAGAAGTTTCTTCAAAAAATTTTGGAATGTTTCTACCAGTTAGTGGGATCAAATTGGTGGTCTGTTAATGAAGGTGAGAAGATGTGAAGGAGCGGGATGGACACCGCCCTCCGATGAACATTTCAGTTGTGAGTGTAGGTTTGGGGAAAAATCACATCTATGGAAAATCACAGGCTCTAGCTGCAAGAGACACCCAATTCACACGTCTGGAATTCCATTCCATGAAATTAGCTGACTCTATCATGGCGAGAAAGATTGTTGTAACAAAGTTTCAGGATTTCTGGGTGAAAGTTCAAATGAAATTCTACTGATGTATGGCCAGCTGGAAGCAGAACAAAATCACATCTGTGCATCACTATTCAAAGCAAACTCCCCCATCCATCCATCCATCCATGTCTTCATCCATGTCTCCATCCATCCATCCATGTCTTCATTCCTGTTCCCATCCATTCATATTGCCATCCATCCATGTCTCCATTCCTGTTTCCATCCATTCATTTCTCCATCCATGTTTCATTCATGCTACCATCCATCCATGTCTCCATCCATCCATCCATGTCACCATCTTCTTCTATTCTTCTGGAAGAGCTGTGTGAGGCCTTCAAGGTCAATGAGGAGTTGAGTCTGGTGTCTGAGATGGGTTCACCTCCCAATCACCCGGAGCCGGTGTTTCCTGTTTTCATTGGCTCTCAGCCTCTGATTCCCTTTTGGACATGTCCACCTCATGCCAACATGGGGGAGAGAGTCAGCTTGCTGAGTGGTCAACTGTTGATTTCATCCTCGAGGAGCTGAGCTGAGGATGTTTGCTGCCTTGCACCATCACTGTGAATCCATGCGACCACCCCCCCGTCCTCCACCATGTTTGTTAGAGGAGGCCCCAGGACTGTTTTCGCAGACATCTTTCATATGGGGGCAGGAAGGGGTTCCATGAGTCGTGAATTTGGTTGGTGTACACTCGGTGGCCATAAAGATGGAAGCCCTGGACCTGAACTTCAGGTCACAGCTGACTCCACAAGCTCCTGACGTCTCCTTTTCTAGAGACGGGAGTGCTTGGTGCAGCTGCTGAGGGTTGTTGGGTAGTTGAGCTATGAGATCCCTTTTATTTTTTATTTTTATAACTTTGATGTGATTGGCCCCATATGAAAAGGACGAGAACCGTGGTATGGTGACT